CAACACATTCATAGCAGACCCTAGGGCAGTGGTCATAGTTAGTCACCTATGCTCAAAAGCGTATTATTACTTCAACATATTTGTGGGAGAAGAGATGAATAATTACAAGGACATTGATGATATTTATTAATGAAAATATGAAAAATATTTTTGGAATCTTAAGGAGTTCAGTTCATTCACTTTTACTTACACCTTCTTTTATTAACTTTAAAGTGCATAATTACATTTTTACTCATACAAAAAATCAATAAATTCATTTTTACTACCTTAATGATAAAGGCAGATGTGCACATTATATAGCCAAAGCTCATTAAAATAATAATAAATGTACAAAAACCTGCAAATATTTATCAGATATCAATGAAGTAGACAGCTATATAAAATTTAAAAGTACAATCATGCTCATGTAAAATGTAGATATGTTCTACTTGCATGATAAAACAAAATGTGTACTGGTTATCTGTTTGATTTGTTTATTCAATTTTGTAGTTAATTTGTTTACAGAAACAGTAGTGCATATTCCTGATCAGCCCTATTAACAGCTGATATTGTAATTATATTTATTCCCTTCACATACATGTATGATTCATGTAATGCATAGAACAGCTTGGGCTAGAATCTAAACCTTGAACATGTACATGTAACAAACCAAACATTGCTTTCATAAGATTTGCTATACATTAGTCAAGAAGATGTGGGGTATATGTAAAGCAACCTAACAACACAAAACCAAAAAGAAATATATATTAATCCGGATATGGTGTACCAATTTTTGCACCTCATGTTTGCGGTATACCATCTTTTCTGCAAGTTTATTGTTTTCTGTTTGATATTAAATTAATAATTAAAATCCATTTTGTTACATCTGGTGATCCGTTTATTTGGCAATCGCCATGGCAGTCAGCAGGGTTTAAGAACATCTGTTGTTCGACCTGCTAGTCAAATGCGTTTTGTTAAAATATACTTTTTCAATTTTTTGGTCTTTTGGAAAATGTTGTTTGTGCTGTATTTAGACGCCTCTACCAAGAAATTTGTTTTGCATGCACATGTATAAAAATTGTGGTTTTTATCCAACGCAATCATAGGTTTGAACGTTGTTTTCAATTTAGACTTGTTTATTCATGGATATATTCATTAATATTTGTATATGTTTTCATCAAGAAAACAACTGAACAATTACCAGCTGGACAACACATGTTAAATATTCAATACAGGCAGCAGTCCATTATTCATACATGTACATTTGTATAGGTTCAACCGTACAACTGAAACTGACTATAAAATTGTTAAATAAAGAAATGGTGATCAGATCTGTGGGTGAAATCCATGCAAATATATACATGTTAGGCAAATGCAATTTATGTAAATTTCCCACATGTGCATCATACATCATGTTGTGTGTTGTTATTGAAATCCCAGTACCACCATCAGTATGATCAGTGTGGAGAACAGGTGGTACATGTATTAAGATAGATAAATTCTATGAATTTACAAGATGTATAAAGATCTATAAAGTACAAGACTCATTGCTTTAAAAAAATTAATAAAGCAACAGAAAATAACCCTTAAAAAGGATAATTTATTAGTGAACACACTTACTGCAAAAAATGTTGAAAACAACAAATGTTTTTAGATGGCACCATATTTTCTCTTGTTTTCATTTACAATGTACAAATGTACCTTAAAAAGCTGAATTTAATTTTTGAGAGAGTAACAAGCTTCCTACGTTGTCTTTCATTAAAACATTGGTTCTTCATTTCTAGTTGTTTTTATATTATTAAAAGTAATAATAATAAACTGATGACACAGAGATACATGTGTGTCTCGCCTGTATATAATTTTCATAGAAATATGCAAATGCTCAAATCAAAACAGCAAAACTTCAACATGAAAATTATGCAAAATACTCAGTCAATGAACCATGACTGAAGTAACCGGGTTAACTTCTTTCTGAGATATAAGATATGCCAATGCTAATACAACTGCATACTAAATATCATTAACTTATCATAAGTGGTTCCCCTTAAACAGACCTAATCACAAACTTTTTCACGTACAGGTAAACTAAGTTGATTTTTGACTTGGACAAGGCAAGACAAGAATTTGTAGATGAATTTGATTGAGTCATGTGCCAAATTGTAATCATCTTGAAGGATTTCTGTATCAATAGAAAACAAGAGCTAGTGCACACGCTGAAATGTCTCGCCTTCTTTACTAACCATTGATATTATGTTGATAGTCCTAAATATAAAGCTTTACTACAACTATCACATAAACTTAACATGATCCAAGAAAATGAGGTCAAGGTCAGATGAACCATGCAAGGCAGACATGTACACCTCACATATAATCTATGCATTAAATATAGTTGACCTTTTGCTAATAAAATCTAAGAAACAAACTTAACCATAAAAACTTAACATTGACCAATGAACCACCAAAATGAGGTCAAGGTCAGATGATACCTGCCAGACAGACAAATACAGCTTACAATCCTTCCATACAACAAATATAGTTGATCTCTTGCTTATAGTTTAAGAAAAAAGAACAAAACACAAAAACTTAACACTGAGCAATGAACCGTGATAATAAGGTCAAGGTCAAATAAAACCTGCGAGACTGACATGCACATCCTAAAATATTTCCATACACCAAATATAGTTATAACCTATTGTAAATAGTATTAGAAAAAAAGCCCAAAACTCAAAAACTTAACTTTGACCACCAAAATGAGGTCAAGGTCAGATGACACCTGCCAGTTTGACATGTACACCTTACCATCATTCCATACACCAAATATAGTAGACCTATTGGATACAGTATAAGAAAAACAGACCAAAACACAAAAACTTAACTTTAATCACTGAACCATAAAAATGAGGTCAAGGTCAGATGACACCTGCCAGTTGGACATGTACACCTTACAATCCTTCCATACACCAAATATACTAGACCTATTGCTTATAGTATCTGAGATATGGACTTGACCACCAAAACTTAACCTTGTTCACTGATCCATGAAATGAGGTTAAGGTCAAGTGAAAACTGTCTGACGGGCATGAGGACCTTGCAAGGTACGCACATACAAAATATAGTTATCCTGTTACTCATAATAAGAGAGAAATTAACATTACAAAAAATCTTTACTTTTTTTTCAAGTAGTCACTGAACCATGAAAATGAGGTCAAGGACAATGGACATATGACAGACGGAAACTTCATATCATAAGGCATCTATATACAAAGCATGAAGCATCCAGGTCTTCCACCTTCTAAAATATAAAGCTTTGAAGAAGTTAGTTAACGCAGCCGCCGCATCACCATCCCTATGTCGAGCTTTCTGCGACAAAAGTCGCAGGCTCAACAAAAACCTATGTACATGTAAGTAAAACCGGTTTAAGGAAATGTTCCCCTGCTAAAAGTACAATTTTGTAAAATATCAGAATAAATAAAACAAGATTAAGACAATTAATTAAGTACAGTCAAACAACAGTTCCAAAAAACACAAATCTTCAGATTGAGCAACTCAAACCCCACAAAAAAAGGTGAATGAACTCTTGAGCTTCAGAGGCATTTAACTTTTTGAACATGTACAGCATTTCCTGATCCGCTTATTGCATGTTTGGTGTTGTTAATGCCAGGCAAAAATGTCTTGATTTATATAAGTTGAAAAAAGGTGATAACCCTTAGACCAATTAGCCAGCAGGTCATGCAAAGGACATTTGTGTCCATCTTTAGAGAGCAAATAACAATTCCCAGAAAATAAAAATAGTTTTGCGATATAAACATATTTAAAACTATTTGAATACTAATTGATTCTTTTTGAAACATAAACATGTATTTTAGGACCCAAAAATTCAATTCAAAAGAATAATGGTTTAAGTTCACATCACAATGACAGATCTGAGGTCAAGAGATGCAGTTTGTTTTTTCCTGTAATTCTTTGCTCAACACTAAGCAGGTGCAGATACAGGATTTGATATTACTGCATATTGGGTCTGTTAGCACCCTTTTTTTTTAATTCAAAGCTTATTTGGTATCATTGTTAGTGTGTTTAAAAATCATGATTCTTGTTATACATTTGTAATAAGTAAATGCATGTGCCTACATAAAATGTACAATGTAGCTTGGTATGAGTAATACATGTACATGAAACAAGAAGATTTTTAAAAAAAATCATGAAAGATAATTGCTTTTAACAGTTTGGACCCTTTGATCTCACAAAATTAAGAGGCAGTAACAGATCAGGAAGTCATTTTGTCAAAATAGTTCACAAAACACGAAAGGAAACATGTTTACATTTTTAGAATGTCACTTTATTTTAAAACAATAAAAAAACAAATTATTATCTTTAATTTATAGCAATACACTTACTAAAACACGACTCAAAAAAGTTTTCAACAAAAAACCTTTAAAAGGGTGTGAACATGTAAGGTGCGAACGTGAAATGAAGTGAACATGATTTTGGTCAAAAGGACCCAGACTCATGTTAGGTGGGGGTCCTCAGAATTAAGAGCACCTTGTTTAATACCTTTTGGGATTCTGAATCAGGACAGCCAAATCAGAAAATCACACTGGACACAAAATCCCAATAGGGTTTAAACCTTATTTTGACACAAAATTGGCTGTTATTTTAATACATTTTTCCTGTTTATTAAGGGGCGTGTGCCAGGTGTGCAAAGTCTGTGTGGTCAAGAGTGTTAAACTTCACAATTGTTCAAGTTTAGTCAATACTGTCAAGTGCTAGTTACCCATATAAATTTCGTTTGGCTTGATCATTTAAAAGCAAATCTGTTTAGAAATAAGTGTACATGTGTATTGCATAAAAAGGTTCCCAACAAATTGTTTAAACACCAAAGATATGCCTTTAAATATCCTGTTTTATCAGAGACATAAAAAGTCTCTGGTTAAAAAATATCAATGAAACAACTTAATAAGGGTCACTTATGTGCAGATTTTGACGCGATATTTGGAATAGGTGGGAATGTGCAGTCAACATACCTTATTATTTTGAAGAGCCTCTGCAGAATGATGTTCCTTTGCTCCAAAACAGCTCTGACATTTAAGTTTGTTGAATATATTTGGTTCAAACTTTCTGCATTTAAGAGCCATTACACTTTGTTTACATTACTTTCCTGGTACTTTCGAACTTATATCTAATCATGCAATTTCACTTTAAATTAGTCATTGTTTTAATTTATCCGTCTGTTTTTTACTTATAAAAAATAGACCACGAAAAGAAACAGGCAACATATTCACGAAATTGTTTTATCAACAGGTCTTCTGAAACAGGTGTGGAACTGTCAACACGCGTAGTAATATATAAGGTAACCGGAACTGAAAGGTTACACATTTGCTAACCTGGATATTTTAATCTTGAACTGAATAATTTTACCAGAGATATATATTATATATGCGGGACAACTCGGCCTGGAAACAAGTCGGACCGAGTCAAATCGGGCCGACTCATAAGTCAACTCGGACCGTCTATGAAGACAACTCGGACCGTCAATAGGCAAATCGGAACAGACTAATAAGTCAACTCGGACCGTCTATAAAGACAACTCAGACAAAGTATTAAAAGAGAATTTTAACTATATAAATGATCATAAATTATTAAATGTTATGTTTTACATGACAATATCAATTGCTGCTGAATTTGCAAAACATAATTAAAAAAATATTGTATAATGAGAATTCAAATTTTTACATATCTTTATCAATTTATTATAAAAAAAAAAGTCTAGGTGGAGAGTTGTCTCACTGGCAACTCGGGCCGTCTATATTGCCAACAAAGTATAAACCTGGAGTTTGAGTTATAATATGATAGCATGTTATATTTTACATCAAATTATCCTTTAGTGTAGATTCTTATTTCTACTTCATCATGGTGATTTTATATTTTGAATAAAATCTTCATTAATTCATGAAACAAACTTATAAAATTAATCGAATAATTAAACTCGTTATTTCGTCATAATAATTAAATTACATCAACAACCAATAATGTAAATTTAATTATTCTAATTGAATGATAACGAAAGTGATAATCCAATTACACAAGCGCATTACAGGTCATTGAGAAATCAATAAAAAGACCTCAAAATCGGCGTAAAATCTTTATTACAGACTTCGCTTTTGACACATAATGGAAAGCACCCCTAGTAGTCGTCTTTTTCATTTAATCTGGGACTGTTATACTAATATATTATGTCCCAGATTTAATCATTTATTTCGTCAAAAGGCTAATTTTATACTTATTCTGAGTTGTCATAATAGACGGTCCTAGTTAACTTTATAGACGGTCCTAGTTGTCTTGTTAGACGGTCCCGAGTTGTCTCCGGGCCGACTTGTCTCGCACCCATATACATGTTTCTGATTTTACACAATCATTTGGATGAAATGAAACACAAAATTTATCAGCAAAAACATCAATCATCATTATCTAAATCAATTAAGGGTCATTCTTATTTGCTCAACTCTTGGACTATTATACTAAATTTAGTATAATAGTCCCAGCTCGACTATTTTTAAAAAGATATATAATCAAAATCTTTATTTTGAAAACTACTTTATATGGACAATTTTAACCAAATCTGACACAGGGTTGATATATGGCAGGTCTTCTACATGTAAACCGCATTTTGTTTCGACTGAATGAAAAATGGAAGCTAAAGGCAATCGATGATTCTGATTGGCCAATCACAGTTTCAAAAATCTTCTTCTGTGATTATGGGGTTCTAAGAAAATGCAATTTCAATTTGAACTGGGACTATTATACTAACTATACTTAGTATAATAGTCCCAGATTTGAAATATCTTACTATTAAAACCCTTGGCGGGGTGAATCCGGGGTTGTCATATCACAGTGATTTCAGTCTGCATCAGTAATAAGGAGGATTGTGAAAACTTTCAATATTCTATTATCCTAGAGCATCGTCCCGTATAGCTTAACTGGACTAATAGATCATCAGTAATGTATAAATCCCATCGTATAGTTACTGTTCAGTGCAGAAAAATAACCAAATATATAATTTCAGCAAATATAAAACAATTTACACAAAATTTGCAAATGAGAACAAGTAAGATGGAACTATTTAAAAGTAGCCATTTTCATTCATTCGGCCACCTCAAATTCATTAATTCAAATATTTCAATTTGAACTCTTTATCGTGTGTGTGCTACGAACGTTGTAGATGTATGTCGAAGCCAGAATTTGAAAAGGGAAGCCAGGTGCTGATTTGAAAAGGGAGACTGATTTGCATGGATAAAGGCACTTTAATGACTGAATTGTGAAAAGTGCACTCAGTTATGGTGATAGACAGTTTGAAGAGATAACATACGGATTCCTTATATATATATATTTAATGAATATTTTTATATCCTAAGTAATCAGATAGATGATTTATTTTGCTTTGTTATCAGTGTTCCAACAAAGGAATAATTATCCATATATTGCCCTTTTAATTGCTGACGACCTAACATGAATTGTTGTACAATGCATGGGAAGATCGACTAAATAACGAGTTTTGCTGGAACACTGAACTAAAATATACAATTCAGCTTTCAAACTGCAGGTAGCAATCAGAAGAAGGACAAAGTTGTGTTCTTCCAAGGAGTAACACTTTGTCTGATAATCAATAGCATGTCATTAATGAGTAAACATCTCAGATATCCACAAGGAGTGCTATTGCCACGGTCTAACGAGAAATTGTCTTTACTGATGATGAGTAAACATCTCAGATATTCTCAGGAGAACATTGGTCTGACGAGAAATTGTCTATAATGAGTAAACATTTTCAGATATCCCCAAGGTGTAATATTCGTTTGACGAGCAATTGCCTTTAATCAGTGAACATCTTAGATATCCCCAAAGAGTAACAGTGGTCTGACGAAAAATTGTTCTTAATGAGCGAACATTTCAGATATTCCCAAACAGTTACACTGCCACGGTCTGACGAGAAATTGTCTTTACTGAACATGAGTAAACATCTCGGATATTCCCAGTAGTAACATTAGTCTGACGAGAAAAATATACTTAATGAGTAAACATATCCACAAGGAGTAACACTGGTACTACGAGAAATTGTCTTTAATGATTAAACATCTCAGATATATCCAAGGGCGAGTGAGTAACACTGGTCTGACGAGAAATTGTCTGTAATGAGTAAACATATCAGATATTCCCAGTAGCAAATTTGGTCTGACGAGAAATTGTATTGAATGAGTAAACATATCAGATATCCCAAAAGGAGAAACACTGGTCCTACGAGAAATTGACTTTAATGGGTAAACATCTAAAATATATCCACGGAGTAGCATTGGTCTGAGAAGAAATTATCTTTTATGAATAAACATCTCGGTATCCCCAAGGAGTAAAATTGCCACGGTCTGACGAATATAATTGTCTGAACGGAGTAAACATTTTTGATGTGCCTATGATTAACATTGGTCTCGAGAAATTGTTTTTAATGAGGAAAAATCTCAGATATCCGTTGGAAAAAGAGTTAACCAAAATATAACCATATTAAAATAAAATCCGTCTAGATAAGATTAGTCTACTGTTATTTACTACTTAGATGCTGTTTGTTAAGATGAGTCTTAATTAAGGTAACGGATGTGTCATTATTTAAACCATAAAATATCAGAATTTCAATATTAATTTGACCTTTCTAGTTTTTGGGTAAAGATTACATGAAATGCAATCAAAACCCTATGTTACTGGCTTGATATCTAAATCTTCCAAGGTTTATCACTACCTTTGAGATACACAAAATTGCATTGATCATCTTTAAAAATTGGAGTTATCTTCCTTTGTCCAGAATTGTAGTTGAATCAACTACAACCAATGCTTTATACAATGCAATATTTAATTTTACTTCCAACTGATAAATTAAAGCAATCTTTATCCTTCAGTGCTTACAAGCACTTTGATTATTCGTAAACTTTTTATCAGGTTCGTTTTTCAAAACCTTTTAGATTATATTTGAAAATATGCTGAAAATGAAGAAAAAACAACTAAAGGGATATGTCGAAACGTAAAACAGTACATTCGAAAATGTAGCCAATTGTTAATCTCAGTTCATATACTAGTTGTATATGTCTCGATTATAACGATGAATACGATCTAGGTCCGTTTCTAAAACAGGCTGCCTTTCAATTGACGCTTACCACATATTCCCTTTTTCTTGTTGAGTCATATTGAGGCCTTCATCAACATGCATGCCGTAATCAGGGCGTTGGATGGTTATGAAAAACAAAACTGTGCACAATAAAATGAATAGTGTTAACTTTTTATACATTGTGACTTGGATGGAGAGTTGTCTCATTGGCACTTATACCACATCTTCTTATTTATATCAAATACTCGTATACGCCTAAAAAGTGTGCAACACAAACAAAAAAAAGAAAGAAAAAGTTAATGCAAGTTCCGATAACAGATATCCTTCATCGGTATGATGCAATATGAATCGTATCAATCTATGCTGATTTTCCTAAACAAATCTTGAATGTAGTACAAATCAAAAACCGAACTACGCTGTTTAATTTTAAAATAACGCAAAATAAGTATTTACAATGGAGGCTGTGTATGTATGCATCAAAAATGAAACTAACACATCCATCTGTTGTGTTAAGCACTGAGCGATTTGAACTACACCTTTTCATTGATCCAATTTGGTTTCAACGTTTTAAATTTTCTTATCCAAAATCTTTCCCGAGTGATCATCACCTCCCTAAACCAAGCAGTGTTGAGGTCAATGATGGTAATAGTCAAGTCGATTGATATCTGCCTTAGTTTTGTCAGGGGATCACTAATGTTAACTGTGAGGAGGTCTGGCTTACATTCATAGTCACTACGATGGCCGTTCATACGGTTGTGAAATGGCTGTTCTGACTCATCAACATACTGTTTACCACATTTATAAATACATAGTATTTGTAGTCTTGCAAGTAACATTGCAAAATATGGTGTACCGGTAGAGTGATTGTTAAAAGTTCGGGTATGCAGTATCTGCTTGCAAGTCAAAAATGGTTTGTTCTGGCAATACTCGCAGGAGCCTGTTGAGCCTGGTTTAGAGGATAAACAGCTAGCCCTCACCAGAAAGTCTTAAAAGCTTTGTGGCATATGGAAAGCCAGTATGGGTAACTTGGGGAAGATCTTGGATAGTTTAGGATGGATTTCGAATTCTTCCCAATTTTCGCGGATAAGGTTTGACAATTTTTCAATTTTTGGATGGCAACTCAGCACAAACGAGACTCTTTTCTTGACCTTTTTCTCTTTGTATTGTAGAAGTTCATCTCGACTTATGTTGTTATAATGAGAGAAACCTCTATTAAAGTCTTTTCTTCTATATCCCCGATTTTTTAGGTGAACGTGAAGTTCTTGTTATCGCTTTGTCACAGTATCATTGATGGAGCAAATCTGCTTTATTCTGATGACCTGGCTGTAAGGAATACTATTGGTGCAGTGTTTTAGATGACAACTCAGGAGAGATAGACATTGATGTTTGTCTTTGGGCTTGCAATGCAAACCTGTAAATATGAATCCATCCTTCACTTGTGTAGCAGTGCCAAGGAATGTGATCTTAGGTCTTAGAGGTTTCAAATGTTAATTTTATTGAGAGATGAAGTCGGTTGGTACGCCGAAGTGAACATGTTAAGTTCTTGTGCAGTATTATCCCATTTCATGTCAATATGGCAATGAATCGTAATAGAGGTTGATAAAGAGATGTAATGAGAATTTACTGTTCAAATTTGCTCATAAAAATATTGGCATAGGTCGGGGCCATCTCTGTTACCATTGCTGTTCCACTAACCTGATATAGTTCACATTGGATGTGAATGTATTGCATTTCAATACTATCATGTTAGAAGCTGGACTAAACATTCAACTGGCGGTGGGTGTAGGTGCTGCGAGAGTTCCAGACTTCCATACAGGCTTCAATACCATCTCGATCCATGGGGGATATTAAAATAGAGATAGGTAGCGTCAACTGAACGAGACAAGGATTGTTTCAGGTGGACGAGTGTTCAAGGATCCCATTTTCTTATGTGCTGAATGTGGTATGTAGGATGTTATTTTTTTCTACGTGTGGTCTTAGATGCAAATCAATAAATTCTGGTAATTTCTCTGCATGTATATAACAGGTGACTCTGTTCACAACAATAAAAGAAAATTATCAATTTTAAGATATTATACAACCTTTCTTATTCACACTTGCGCACGAGTTGACGTCTTTTTGTGAATTGCAATTCGAGTTATTTAAATACTTTTGTGTTTTTTTTTTGTACAGGAAAATAAACATTAAAAGCCTCTTTAATTTAAGGGGGAATTTTGTTACGATTTAGATAAAAAAAAAATCAAAATGTGTTTTAAACATTTATAAAAGCGGAATGTAGAAATTATATTTCGCTATTAGCAGTCAGTTTGGTTCAATTTTGTCAAAATAAGTTAAAATCTGTGTGACATCACTGATGTATTATTGGAATTCAACCTCACTTGAAAGAGTATTCATACGACCTAACCTTTGTTGGAAACGGATTGCGCGTGTGCTCAGCATGTCCAGGGATGCATAAATGATAAATGTCAGATAAAAAGTGAAACTAGGTTATACAGGTTAATGCCTCACATTTAATTTATATGTTTTATCTATGAAAATGAGATCAAATAGAACTAAGAAAATCGACCCGTAATATGGGTCTTCAATGATAAACATTAAACAAACAAACCTTGTGGGGCATACAGACACATATATGTTACGAGAATAGAGTGATCCAAATAGAGATAGCAATAATATATTTATTTTTATTATTTATACATGCGGATTCCTTTTTATGCTTATGTACACTGACCATTAAAAATATTTTCTCGAAAATAGTTCCAGAACTTAATTCTATACTTACTAAAATATAGTTCCAAAGTATTATTCAAACTATTTTACTTTACTTTGCAAATTGTATCAAAATCTTTTTTGTCAACAAACCATGTTTTCGATTTGTACAGATAGTTATGAACTTATGTGCACTATCAACACTTAAATTTATTTTTAGACAAAGTTCATATGTAGGGGAGACAACTGAGAAAGTCAACAAAATGTCACAAACAACACGTCTCACAGACGGAAGGAAAAGTTTTGAAGTAAAAAAATACACCTTCTCCACCGAAGTCATTCCAAGACTGAGCTGTCATGATCCAGAATGTGAAGAGCGTATCGAAAATGGAGTATGTTTTCAAATTAATTATGTCTAGTTTCATTTCCAGAGTCAACTTTCGGTTTCCATTGCTACATATATACCATAGTTTTCTCCAAATTAATTCATTCAAAGATATCATCTTGATTTTGGTCTAATTGTAGTCATGTAAAAACCCTACATATTACATTATGATAATTGTTATTCAAAGGTCAAATCTAATAGTCATTAATATTAATTTAAAATTTGTCTACCCGAGTTCAGGGATATCATATATGACATATAACATTTTTATTTAGAAGATATAATTGAATGTTTAAATGTTTGCATTGACAACTTTCAAATCAGTGCAGTAAGAGTCGATTATTCAATGCAGATGGACCTCAAGTCAACTGGTCTAACTAATTCATAAAAAAAAAACCTTGAGATTGCCATCATTGGTCTATTATACAACAGTACAAATATACACCTTATCATCATTACCTGGATACCTAGATCTGTGCAATGATCTTTAGTCAATGACTTCTTTTATTGCCTAGTGTTAAATTATTCTAAGTCATGTTAGTACAAACAAATGTATCAATTTCTAAATCAACTTTCAGTTTCCAATACTAGTCTATAGTGTATCAGAACTTGGTTTCTCTGGCTTTGTTGCCTTCCTGTTGTCAACCCTTAGTTTAGACATATATAGGATAAACCAATTGAATATATAGATTTATATTATAAATTTTTTTTTTGAAGAAATAATTTCATACATCAGACTCCATACACTTCACCTTATTGCTTTTACCTGGATAACTGAATCGGTGCAATGACCTTAAGTCGATTGGACAAGTATTCAAATAGTTATTTTAATTCATAATTTTTTAAAGCTAATTCAAAACCAACTTTAACTAAATAATTTTCATTTTTTTTAAAATTTGAATTAAGATTATTTTGAACATTATTACTAATTTTAAGGACATCAAATATTTTTACTTACAACATTACAAAAAAATCATTTAAAAATAATCAGATATATAAATGGATTTATCAGGTACATAAATGGAAATACACTATGTCATTGAATTCAGATTGAAATAGGAAAATGTTCCCATGTTGGTCATGCTGTTGTGCAATTAGAAAGGGGGAGACATTAAGTTATCAATATGGTCAGACCATGATTTTAGAATGAGTGAGTTTTAGCATTTTAGGAAAAGATTAAAATGGGGGAAAAAAAAGAGACAACTTAGGGTGTTCTTATAGAAGATCTCTTCCATGGTACAGATGGAGTGGTTTTTTAAGACAGTGACTGCTATACTCAGATTAATTCAATATTATGCATACATTCCAGGTTTCTTTGAACCTTCAGTGGTGTGGATTTATTAGGGCCCTGCCTAGTGGCGGATCGCCCTATAGTGATCAGTCTGTCTGTCCGTCCATCCGTCCGTAAAAAATTGTGTCCGCTCTATATCTAGAGAACCGTTATAATTTCATACTTTATACTTGACATGTATATTAACCAACACCAGAGGGTGTGTCATAATGTTTGTACAACTTCCTAGGACGAAGTTCATGGTCAAAAACTTTGGTTTCAGTTGACAACCCCATGTCCTATGGTAAAGGGGCCCACAGAGATGGCTCCCATCTCAATGATGTCTAGTTATGATTAAGAACAACTGACTTTTGAACAATGTGATGAAAACACTTAAATAGTCTATTTTATCATTATTCTCTGAAAAAAAAATCTACAATAATTATTTAATTCCTGATATGAGCTTACATCAGTTAATTTCTATTTCTCAAGGTGTCTTAAACGAAGGAGATGTGGGGTAAACTCTGTAAGAAATGATTATTCAACTTCACATGTTTATAATTGATTTTTTTTTTTCAGTTGCCAGTAGTAATTCCAGATGCAAATTTAGTTGCATCAGCAAGGCATTGGAACATAGATTACCTCCGTGATAATATTGGCGATGGAAAGTTTATGACATATTTTTCAAACAGTAAAAAATTCAAATATTATGATGACAAAAAATGTCCAAACATAAAAAGCTTCAAGAAACCAATGGAACAAGAAGAGCTGACATTTGATGAATTTGTGAAAAAAATCAACAAAGGAAAATCGAAAGGACAAAGGTATGAAAATATTTTTTTCCCAAAATATCTAAACATTATTAAATAGCATTCATCATGTGGTATGATTGCCAATGAGACAACAATCCACCTGAGTCCAAATGAGCGATATATAAGCAACTTTACAATGTAGGTCACTGTACATCCTTCACCAATGAACAAAATTAATACCATTTAGTCTGCTAAAAGCCCAGACATGACAAAAGGTTAAACAATTTAAGCGAGAAGAACAACCTAATTTATTACAAAACAACAAATGAAAAGCAAATATGACAGACACAAACCAACAACAACTGAAGTACAGGCTCTTGACTTGGGACAGGGACATAAAAAATCATGTTCACCTAGAATAAAGTATCAATCAGTACACATCCAATGGATTTAGTGTAAAGATGTCATAAACAGTCAGAAAAAAGCAAGACCAAACATTTTGATGTCAACATAAGGCCTTCATTAACAAACATCCATACCAATCATTGCAGCCACAATACAGTCATTGACATGTGAAATGTTTTAGATAAAGATAACTGCATATCCCTAAATTTCAACTCTTTTCATATTTGCCGTTATAATTATTTTCAAGCAAAGTCGGATTACTTTCATTTCCATCCATATTTAATCTGCTACATTGAGAAAAAAAATTTCCTAGTTCTCTGTTATGAGTGCTTAGCATTACAATTACCTCAGTTATTAACACATTATTGAAAATTATAATAAAATTAGGAAATATCTAGAATTAGTATAATATGACGGGTCAAATTTATATGATTTAGATATATTCCCCATTCATATACATGTACACCTTTGTACTAAAATACTAATTAAGTCCTGTTATTGAAGTTTGCAGAAAAAAACTAAGTTTCATAACAAATCCAAAATTGAAAATCGAGCTAAAATCCTTACAACTATTCTCATAACAATGATATACAAAACTAGTGTACTAAAAAACTAAAGGTGCATGCTATATATTTTTCATAGAAAGTTACTATAATAAAGCACAGGGATATTTTTATGATTAACCTCGACATGTATATAATATTATATTTGTTCTTATGTATTAGATACACCGTGAGGGCGTTAGCCCAAATGGGTGTATCTAATTTACACCAAGATAATTATTGTCAATGCAGAATGATAGTTTTCAATAAAGGTGGGGGGTCTTTCAGTGATTTGACCATATGTTATTGAAAAGCATGATAAATGCAGGGTATCCAATTTCATTTAAGACATCTTGGTGTAAACAAAGAGTAAATATCTATTACAGTTTGTTTGTATTATTTTTTTGTAGATTATACTTACAACAGACATTAAATGAGACAGTTGGAAAGAACATTGTTTCAGACTTTCTTGGATTTAACTGGAACTGGGTAACAGCTCAACAGAAAAAGAATAGTTTTGGCCCTCTTACAAATAACATGTTACTAATAGGCCAAGAAGGTATATTCAACGTTTTGCTTCTTATAAGTTCCCAATTTGACTTGTACAACTTTTGAATGGAAACAAAATAATTTTGTAAAATGTCTTTTTACCAAGGAAAGAATAGGTTTTGTTAACTAACTCCATAAATGACTGCTATTTTTATACGACCGCAAAAAAATTTTTGTGGTCGTATATTGGTATGACGTTGGCGTCGTCGTCGTCGTCCGGCGTCGTCGTCCGAAGACGCATTAGTTTTCGCACTCTAACTTTAGTTTAAGTGAATGGATCTCTATGAAATTTTACCATAAGGTTCAATACCACAAAAGGAAGGTGGGGATTGATTTTGGGGGTTATGGTACCAACAGTTAAGGAATTAGGGGCCAAAAAGGGGCTAAAAATAAGCATTTTCTAGTTTCCAGACAATAACTGTGGAACGGTGTATGGATCTCTCTGAAATTATACTACAAGTTTCCATACCACAAAGGGATGGTTAGGATTTGCTTTGGGGGGTTATTGCTCAAACCGTTTAAGAATTAGGGGCAAAAAAGGGGGAAAAACAAGGTTGTCCTCATTAATGGACAAATACTTTAGTACAAAACATAATTTAAAGCAGTGTAAGGGAGATAAATCAAAGACATCATTGAAATTATCTCCCTTACACTGCTTTTAAATTATGTATAAAGTAATGGTTAATGAACAATTAAGATAATCTAAAACAGTGTAAGGGAGGTAATCCAAATACAACGTTTTGGTTACTTCCCTTACACTGCTTTTAAATTATGTTTAAAGAAATGCATATTTATAAAGGAAGACCAGTATGGCGCATTAGATTTGTAAAATCTGTGACCACATTTATTTATTTGTTATGCCAAATCTAACCGTGTATTTAGATTTTTAATTTTGGGTACAGTTTTCAAATTGGTCTACATTAAGGTCCAAAGGGTCCAAAATTAAACTTTGTTTGATTTTAACAAAAATTGAATTTATGGGGTTCTTTGATATGCTGAATCTAAACATGTATTTAGATTTTTGATTTTTGGCCCAGTTTTCAAGTTGGTCCAAATTGGGGTCCAAAATTAAACTTTGTTTGATTTCATCAAAAATTGAATTATTGGGGTTCTTTGATATGCCAAATCTAACCATGTATTTAGATTTTTAATTTTGGGTCCTGTTTTTTAAATTGGTCTACATTAAGGTCCAAAGGGTCCAAAATTAAACTTAGTTTGATTTTAACAAAAATTGAATTCTTGGGGTTCTTTGATATTTTGAATCTAAACATGTGTTTAGATTTTTGATTATGGGCCCAGATTTCAAGTTGGTCCAAGTTGGGGTCCAAAATTAAACTTTGTTTGATTTCAACAAAAATTGAATATATGGGGTTCTTTGATATGCTGAATCTTACCATGTATTTAGATTTTTTATTTGTGGGCCCGCTATCAAATTGGTTCATATTGAGGTCAAAAGGGTCCAAAATTAAACTTTGTTTGATTTCATCAAAAATTGAATTATTGGGGTTCTTTGATATGCCAAATCTAACCGTGTATTTAGATTTTTAATTTTGGGTCCCGTTTTTTAAATTGGTCTACATTAAGGTCCAAAGGGTCCAAAATTAAACTTAGTTTGATTTTAACAAAAATTGAATTTTTGGGGTTCTTTGATATGCTGAATCTAAACATGTGTTTAGATTTTTGATTATGGGCCCAGTTTTCAAGTTGGTCCAAGTTGGGGTCCAAAATTAAACTTTGTTTGATTTCAACAAAAATTGAATATATGGGGTTCTTTGATATGCTGAATCTAAACATGTATTTAGATTTTAGATTTTTGGCCCAGTTTTCAAGTTGGTCCAAATTGGGGTCCAAAATTAAACTTTGTTTGATTTCAACAAAAATTGAATATATGGGGTTCTTTGATATGCTGAATCTTACCATGTATTTAGATTTTTATTTGTGGGCCCGCTATCAAATTGGTTCATATTGAGGTCAAAAGGGTCCAAAATTAAACTCTGTTTGATTTCATTAAAAATTGAATTATTGGGGTTCTTTGATATGCAAAATCTAACCGTGTTTTTAGATTTTTAATTTTGGGCCCTGATTTTTAAATTGGTTTTACATTAAGGTCCAAAGGGTCCAAAATTAAACTTAGTTTGATTTTAACAAAAATTGAATTCTTGGGGTACTTTGATATGCTGAATCTAAACATGTGTTTAGATTTTTGATAATGGGACCAGTTTTCAAGTTTGTCCAAGTTGGGGTCCAAAATTAAACTTTGTTTGATTTCAACAAAAATTGAATATATGGGGTTCTTTGATATGCTGAATCTAACCATGTATTTTGATTTTGGACATTGGACCATAATAGGTAAATTAAAAAAATTGAAGTTCTTAGACCACATTCTTTCTGTGTCAGAAACCTATGCTGTGTCAAATATTTAATCACAATCCAAATTCAGAGCTGTATCAAGCTTGAATGTTGTGTCCATACTTGCCCCAACTGTTCAGGGTTCGACCTCTGCGGTCGTATCAAGCTGCGCCCAGCGAAGCATTTTATTATTTCCTGTGCTGCTGAGGAGATGTGTATGTACCAATTATCAGGTTGTTTGCATATTGATATCGTAAAATATCAGCTGCGAGTCACAATATGAAGATTTTTTCGAGTGAGCGCAGCGAACGAGATCAAAAAGGCTTCATATTGTGTCGAGCAGCTGATATTTTACAATATGAATATGCATACAACCAGATAATCGATTTATGGGGTTATATTTGCGTATTTTGCATGATAGAGATAAGTGTTTTCCTTGTTTCACCAGCAAACCGGAAGATGATGTGATAAGTTCGTGTCAAAATTATCAATGTCGGTTCATATATTATGACGTCGGTGATATGTCCGGGTCAAAGTTAATAATGCCGGGTCAACGTATTTGACGTCACAAAGCCGTGATATGCAATTTTATTAAGAGCTGAGCAGAGTGATACAGACAGAGGGACGACCGCTAAATGTTCTTTCTCAATACCAATTAAAACGATATTAAGAATAGTATTTAAGCCACAATTTGTACTTGCTAGCTTGCCACCCTTGCAATTCCTAATGAATTTTTATCAAAATTCATATAATATTTTAATTGAGATGGAAAACCAATGCCATTGAGAAATTTAATGGGAGTTCATAATCAGTTATGCTACTTGGAAATTTCATGACATATTTTCGATATAAATTTATTTGAAAGGATCTTTATCGAGTTAAAAAAATGTTTTGGGTAGTTAATGCCATTGAAAATATAAATTGTTTGAAAATCGAAAAAATTCCTTGTAAGAGTTCTTATGACTGCTAACTGGATGTTTAGCATGCAACAATCAATCAATGATTAATGCATGTAAACCTATTTACAATTACACTGGAGTACTATTGAGTAAATTCAGAAGATACATGTAGGTTTTTTTAATTGTATTAAAAAATGAAGATAGCTTTTATTATTTTACCTCCCGGAGTTGGGGCTATAATGCAATCACCTTGTTAATTGATCCTCTGTCCGTTTGTCCAACAAATATTTCTGTCACACTTTTCTCAGGAACTACTGAAAAAAATTTTGACAGCAGCTTAACAGGGATGAGTTGTAATGTTTTAGTGCTGTTTGGATTTGTCAGACACCTACTTCCTGTTTTCCAATCTTTGAATTATGAGTGGGGATAACTTAGCATGAAAAAGAGTGCAACTTCTAGTTGTTCATGGAAGTGACAGTGTTAAAAAAATGATGAGAGTGAATACATGTATGTGTATAGCACTTATATATATTTTCTACATGTATTTTTGTTTAAAAATTAAGTGTTCATTGTTCATTGTAGGAAACATTACTCCAGTCCATTATGATGAACAAGAGAATTTCTTTGCACAAGTATATGGGTATAAGAGATTTATTTTATTTCCACCAGAAGAATTCCCGAACTTATATCCACATCCTACCTATCATCCATGTGACAGACAAAGTCAGGTTTGTAGAGAAACATTCCCAATATGTTATATGGAGACAATGAATTATTGTGATATTTATCCTTAATTTTCCTTCAGAAATGTTTTCAATGTTTTATTTTACAAAAAGTTAAAACTTGTTATATACTTTGTTTTCTTGCTACTTGTATTTTAAATCCATACTTTCATTTCATGCATATGTGCTAAGGTGGCATTACGAAACCAAAAATAGGTCTATCATTTTGACCTCTATCAGATCAAATTACCTCCATGTGATGCTTACATTATGGGAAATTTACATTGAATTATTTAAATTGTGGCTTATTGGAAGTTACTTCATAAAAAAAACCGGTAATGACAACATTGTACTAAAAAAGAGGAAAAAAAAGTGAAAAATAAAAATGATTTTTAGAAATGTCTTCTTGTTCTGTAGAGGCTGTAAAGAAACCAAATATGAATACCCGTATGAAAATTTCAACAGGAGTTCAACTGGACTCCAGCTGGACTTGAGACGTATTCCAGTCTGACTTTGAAAAGTACAGTCTGACATGAGCCGTACACGTACTTTTTCTTATACTTGGGTTATTTGCCAGCCGGTATTTTCTTAAAAGTCCAACCGCACTTTTTGTAATGCTGACAAGAAAATAAACACGGCTGGACTTTTGAGGAAATTTATTCCTTTCTGTAAAATGATCAGCAGGATTTTTGTCTTAGAAAATTTTACATTCATTTATGAGCAGGAATTTAGACTTAGAAAATTCTTTAACATCAATTAGAAACTTGAGCCATATAACAGTGATTTAATAGCAGTTAGTCTTGTAGAAATGTGCCATCTGTTTTCAATTAACCTCAGTCTGGACAGGTCACAGGAAGTACTATCTCCACAGAGATTGAGGCCATATGTAGGAGAACACATTTCGAAATACATATTTCTGCAATTACTATCACTTTTATTAAAAATTTCATAATTAAACAAATTAATAATTGATTTTCTTTTTTTTTTAATATATCACATATTAAAAATTAAGGCACATGCAATTAGTCATAAGAGGAACATTTAAAACAACTCCTCAAACAACCTCATGTATTGCAATACAACACAATTTGATTTTGGAATAAACAGGAAGATATGCTTCTTTCTTGAACAAAATGAGAATTTTACATAATTGTGTGTAAAGCAAATGTTTGGAAGTAGTTCTTTTCACATTAAATAGAGAAGATGGATCCTTCTGACTGGCATCAATGACAAAATTATTTAGGAAGATTGTTGTTTGCATGTGTTTTGGATTGCATATTCTGGTAAGTACAATAAATTGAATTCCACCATTTTGGTGGTATTATCTGATATGCTCTTTTTATTCAAAATATAAATAGAATAATTACAATATTATAAATAGCTTAATTCTTATTTTTGAAGAGTCAAAAGAATAAAAAAACCTACATCAAATATTTATATTCATGCAATAATTTTCATCTTGTCTGTTATGTCACTGTCACTTCCTGTTTTGAATTGTTAACAGGTTTTGTAAAAAAATGTATTGTTATATTTTTTATTCCCTCTGTATTAAGGAATGGTTATTATTTGAGTTGTTTTGAAAGTTTTTTAATTTCTACACTTTAAGTGATTTTCAAAGCCAACTTTATTTTATTTTTAGCCACTTTAAAATTATTTAGGCTATTATAACCACAAATTATTAGAAGTTAGCATTTAGCTTCTCAGTTCCCCATTTCTTGGATTTGCCAGTAAGACAGTACAAAAAAGAAAAAGAAATAACCAGTATATATGCATAATGTCATCTGTTGTTTTTGTATTTTCAGATTATAGCAAGGGATGCATGATGCAAATTAAATCAGAAGAACCAACCATCTGAAGAAAAACTGAGCAGTGGCGGATCCAGGGGGAGGGTTCCGGGGGTTGGACCACCCCCCCCCCCCTTTATCCTCAGTTAGGAACCCCTCTTTTGAAAATGGCAGGATTTGCCCCTGCTGAGATCATCTTTAAAAGTCAAACCGCACTTTTTGAAGTCCAGCTGGACTTTTTAAAGTTCAGCCGTACTTTGTAAAGTCCGGCTGAACTTTATAGAGTCCATATTTTTGCCATAAATGCCGGCTGGATTTTTATTCAGACGTACTTTTATTAAAGTCCAGCTGGACTTTATGAACCGGACTCCTGCTAATTTAAATATTTCGAGCCGGTTTACGGCTAATTTCGCTGAAAGTCCAGCCGGGGTATCTATTATAAGCAATTCAAAGAAAAGTCCAAATGAATATTATAAGTACGGTTCTCAGTACGGCTACAGTACGGCTACTGTCCGGCTGGAGTACGTGTCATGTTTTTCGTACGGGTAAACAAAAAAAAAATATTATAAAAATGTATGAAGCACAAATTTAAGTTCCAGCTTTAAATATCTTATGCGGTATTGATCTTTCAGGTTGATTTTGATGAGCCAGATTTTGAAAAATTTCCAAAGTTTCGAAATGCCTCAGGTTTTGAGACAATAGTTGGTCCTGGTGATGTCCTTTATATCCCTATATATTGGTAAGTTTTTTTAGCTTTAGTATTGTTTCATGAAATACATAACAATGAAAGGCTTTTCATACCTTTCAAATTAAAGTGTACAGTTTGATCTGTAATGAGATGAACATTTTACTGTAACATTGATTCTTAAATCCCTCACAAGGGCACATATCAAAACTAGGCTGCTTCTGAAAACAACTGTATAAAGTCTCATGTTTTCAGAAAAATTTATTATTTTGGAAAGTTTATGTAATCTTCATCAAAATTATATCTATTTGTATAGTGTAATGATAGATAAATAGTACACAATTCACTGTTTGTAAATAAAAACAAAAATTATGCAAGGGAGATAAATTCAAATAAAAATATGCTGTTACATATACCATGATTACATTACTACTACATAGGTAACATCATGACAAAAATAATTTTTAAGGGTAACCTGGCTTCTACCTAAAAGAGGCATAATTTGAGATGTGATGATGATTGCCTACATATTTCAGGTGGCACCAGGTTGAATCTATACCAAACGAAGGACACACTATTTCTGTCACATTCTGGTACAAGGTAAGAATATAAAGATGTGTCATCATCAGAAATGTCCAAATATTTTTTATCAGAAAATGGGTATGTACCAGTATGTGAAACATACCTTCGACGGCTAAATTTTACGGTCGTATATTGGTATGACGTTGGGGTCGTCGTTGTCCGAAGACACATTGGCTTTCGCACAATAACTTTAGTTTAAGTGAATGGATCTCTATGAAATTTTACCATAAGGTTCAATACCACAAAAGGAAGGTTGGGATTAAGGAATTAGGGGCCAAAAAGGGGCCAAAAATAAGCATTTTTCTAGTTTCCAGACAATAACTTGTGGAACGGTGTATGGATCTCTCTGAAATTATACCACAAGTTTCCATACCACAAAGGGATGGTTAGGATTTGCTTTGGGGGGTTATGGCTCAAACCGTTTAGGAATTAGGGGCAAAAAGGGGGAAAAAACAAGGTTGTCCTGGTTAATGGACAAATACTTTAGTACAAAACTTAATTTAAAGCAGTGTAAGGGAGGTAATTCAATTACATCATTTGAATTACCTCCCTTACACTGCTTTTAAATTATGTTTTAAGAAATGTATATATATAAAGGAAGAACAGTAAAAATATCTGCACATGTTGCATCTTTTTTTTTTAACAAAAAAATCCATATGAAAGATTTGAAACCATATTTTAAATTCTATTATAAAATAGATTAAGTTAGCACTTAGGTAAATTTAAATGGGTAATTATGGTTGCAAACTCCATTGGAAATTTGAATTGAGATTATGACCATATCTTGAGGGAAAGAATTTTTTTGGGGGAAATTGTGGGGAGTCAATTTTTTCTCATATCAGATTTCAGAAATTAAAAAAGAAAAATTCTTCAAATATTATTTTTTTTGCAAAAAAAAAGGGGTGGGGGGTTAATACGCAACAGCATAGTGTATTGCACAAAAGCAAAAAAAATAGGGGGGGTACATTTTTTTTTTTTTTTGGTGGGGGGAGGAGGGTCAATTCGCAACAGTAAAGTGTATTGCACAAAAGCAAAAAATTGAATATGAATTCAAATCATATAACCAATTCTAAGTTCTTTGACTATAGTTATTCTGTGTCAGAAACCTTTTATGTGTCAAATATTTAATTACAATCCAAATTCAGACCTGTATCAAGCGCGAATATTGCGTCCATTTTTGCCCCAACTGTTCAGGGTTGGACCTCTGCGGTCGTATCCAGCTGCGCTCAGCGAAGCAATTTAGTGTGTAATTATTTTAAAAGGACTTTGCAATATATGAAAGAAAAAAATGCTAGAATAAATGTACAAGTGCTTCAGCTGATGAGTCACAATTCTCAAGTTAGTTGATCAATTTTGTTAAAAAAAAAAGTGAACCCGTCAAAGGAAATTTGTTATAAAGACCTTATTGAACATGTCTTTAGTCATTGTAATAAAGAATGTTAGAAGACTAAATTCTCTATAAACAAAATTTTGTAAACACACACTAAATTTGTTTGCCTTCAGAATTTTCTGAGAACAAAAAAAGATACAATTACTAAACAAAAAGTCAATGCTGTTTATTTAAAATTTTATGATTGATATCAATTTACATATTAAAAACAAAATATTTTGTGTATAACCTTTGATACTTTTTTTTTATTCTTTAAATTTTAAGCTTAATTGCATATCTGCATATTTATTGATTTCAAAAACAATATATCTTAGATTTTACAGTGTTCCAGTGTGTCCAGGGTGCTAATCTCAAAAGGCCATTTTAGTGTATTAAAACTGAATTTAAAAAAAAGGTCACATTATCATGTAAATGAATTGGATAATTGCATTTTATAGTGATAAATAATTTGAAAAAATGCAACATTAATTGTTGACGTTTTTATACGACCGCAAACAAAATTTTGTGGTCGTATATTGGTATGACGTTGGCGTCGTCGTCGTCGTCGTCCGAAGACACATTAGTTTTCGCACTCTAACTTTAGTTTAAGTGAATGGATCTCTTTGAAATTTTACCATAAGGTTCAATACCACAAAAGGAATGTGGGGATTGATTTTGGGGGTTATGGTACCAACAGTTAAGGAATAAGGGGCCAAAAAGGGGCCAAAAATAAGCATTTTTGTAACTTCCAGACATAACTTGTGTGTAAGTGTATAGATCTCTCTGACATTGTACCACAAGGTTCCATATCACAAAGGGAATGCTGGGAATGATTTTGGGGGTAATTGCCTCCAAATTTTAGGAATTAGGGGCCAAAAAGGGGCAAAAAACAAGCATTTTTCTAGTTTCATGACAATAACTTGTGTGTAAGTCTATGGATCTCTCTGACATTGTATCACAAGGTTCCATATCACAAAGGGAATGCTGGGATTGATTTTGGGGGAAATTGCCTCCAAATTTTAGGAATTAGGGGCCAAAAAGGGACAAAAAACAAGCATTTTTCTAGTTCTTGACAATAACTTGTGTGTAAGTGTATGGATTTTTATGAAATTGTACTACAAGGTTCCATATCACAAAGGGAAAGCTGGAATTGAGTTTGGGGGTAATTGCCCAAAAAGTTTAGGAATAAGGGGCCAAAAAGGGGCCAAAAATAAGCATTTTTCTAGTTTCCAGACAATAACTTGTGTTCAAGTGTATGGATTTCTCTGAAATTGTACTGCAAGGTACCATACCACAAAGGAAAGGCTGGGATTGATTTTGGGGGTAATTCCCTCAAAATTTTAGTAATTAAGGGCCATAAAAGGGCAAAAAAACAAGCATTTTTCTAGTTTCAGGACAATAACTTGTGTGTAAGTGTATGGATCTTTATGAAATTGTACTGCAAGGTTCCATATCACAAAGGGAAAGCTGGGTTTGAGTTTGGGGGTAATTGCCCTAAACGTTTAGGAATTAGGGGCCAAAAAGGGGCCAAAAACAAGCATTTTTCTAGTTTCCAGACAATAACTTGTGTTCAAGTGTATGGATCTCTCTGAAATTGTACTGCAAGGTACCATACCTCAAAGGGAAGGCTGGGATTGAGTTTGGGGGTGATGAATCATAAGGAGGTTCAAAAAATTGGGGGGGGGGGGGGGGGGTTTCCTTTTTATACGACCGCAAAAAAATTTTTGTGGTCGTATATTGGTATGACGTTGGCGTCGTCGTCGTCGTCGCGTCGTCTGGCGTCGTCCGAAGACACATTGGTTTTCGCACTCTAACTTTAGTTTAAGTGAATGGATCTCTATGAAATTGTACCACAAGGTTCAATACCACAAAAGGAAGGTTGGGATTGATTTTGGGGGTGATGGTACCAACAGTGAAGGAATTAGGGGCCAAAAAGGGGCCAAAAATAAGCTTTTTTGTAACTTCCAGACATAACTTGTGTGTTAGTGTATGGATCTCTCTGACATTGTACCACAAGGTTCCATATCACAAAAGGAATGCTGGGATTGATTTTGGGGGTAATTGCCTCAAAATATTAGGAATTAGGGGCCAAAAAAGGGGCAAAAAAACAAGCATTTTTCTAGTGTCATGACAATAACTTGTGTGTAAGTGCATGGATCTTTCTGAAATTGTACTACAAGGTTCCATATCACAAAGGAAAAGCTGGAATTGAGTTTGGGGGTAATTGCTGAAACTTTAGGAATTGGGGGCCAAAAATGGCCAAAAATAAGCATTTTTCTAGTTTCCAGACAATAACTTGTGTTCAAGTGTATGGATCTCTCTGAAATTGTACTGCAAGGTACCATACAACAAAGGGAAGGCTGGGATTGATGATGGGGGTAATTGCCTCAATATTTTAGGAATTAGGGGCCAAAAAGGGGAAAAAAAAACAAGCATTTTTCTAGTTTCAGGACAATAACTTGTGTTAGTGTATGGATCTTTCTGATATTGTACTACAAGGTTCCATATCACAAAGGGAAAGCTGGGTTTGAGTTTGGGGGTAATTGCCCTAATTGTTTAGGAATTTGGGGCCAAAAAGGGGCCAAAAAACGCATTTTTCTAGTTTCCAGACAATAACTTGTGTTCAAGTGTATGGATCTCTCTGAAATTGTACTGCAAGGTACCATACCACAAAGGGAAGGCTGGGATTGAGTTTGGGGGTGATGAATCATAAGGGGGTTCAAAGAATTTGGGGGGGGGGGGGATTTTTTTTTTTTTTCCTTTTTTTTCTTTTTTTTACTTTTTTTTTCTTTTAAAATTTTCCATTTTAAGTTGGTTATTTCTGATTTATATTTAAAAGCAAATAATAATGATATGGTAGGAGATACACACCAAACAGGATGTGTAAATTATTATATAATAAGTATTGTGCAATAGCAAGAAATTTTCAATTGCACAGTATTGCACAATAGCAAGAAATCTTCAATTGCACAGTATTGCGCAATAGCAAGAAATCTTCAATTGCACAGTATTGCGCAATAGCAAGAAATATCCAATAGCACAATATTGCGCAATAGCAAGAAATTGTCAATTGTACAGTATTGCGCAATAGCAAGAAATATTTAATTGCACAGTATTGTGCAAAAGAAGATACTTCGTATAAATTGCTTATTTCTTGACCAATTTCAATGGGGTTTTATTCTTGAATTCTTGGGATTCTTTAATATGCTGAATCTAACCGTGTATTTAGTTTTTGGATTTTGGGCCCCGTTTTTAAATTGGTCCACATTGAGGTCCAAAGGGTCCAAAATTAAACTTTGTTTGATTTCATCAAAAATTGAATTATTGGGGTTCTTTGATATGCCGAATCTAACCGTGTATTTAGATTCTTAATTTTTGGTTCCGTTTTCAAATTGGTCTACATTAAGGTCCAAAGGGTCCAAAATTAAACTTAGTTTGATTTTAACAGAAATTGAATTCTTAGGGTTCTTTGATATGCTCAATCTAAACATGTATTTAGATTTTTGATTATGGGCCCAGTTTTCAAGTTGGTCCAAATCGGGGTCCAAAATTAAACTTTGTTTGATTTCAACAAAAATTGAATATATGGGGTTCTTTGATATGCTGAATCTAACCATGTATTTAGATTATGATTTTTGGGCCCCGTTATCAACTTTGTCCACATTGAGGTCAAAAGGGTCCAAAATTAAACTTTGTTTGATTTCATCAAAAATTGAATTCTTGGGGTTCTTTGATATGCTGAATCTAACCATGTATTTAGATTTTGGATATTGGACCATAATAGGTGAATGTCCAATTTAAAATTTTTAAGTTCTTAGACCACATTCATTCTGTGTCAGAAACCTATGCTGTGTCAAATATTTAATCACAATCCAAATGCAAAGCTGTATCAAGCTTGAATGTTGTGTCCATACTTGCCCCAACTGTTCAGGGTTTGACCTCTGCGGTCGTATCAAGCTGCGCCCTGCGGAGCATTTTATTATTTCTTTAAAATTTTCCATTTTAAATTGGTTATTTCTGATTTATATATAAAAGCAAATAATAATGATATGGTTTGAATAGGTAAATTAAAAATTTTTAAGTTCTTAGACCACTTTCATTTGGTCAGAAACCTATGCTGTGTCAAATATTTAATTACAATCCAAATTCAGTGCTGTATCAAGCTTGAATGTTGTGTCCATACTTGCCCCAACTGTTCATGGTTCGACCTCTGCGGTCGTATCAAGCTGCACCCCAGCGGAGCATTTTATTACTGCATTGTAACACTGTATGACTGACAGATATAATCTTTTTTTTTACGACGAGATTTTATTGAAAGTAAATGCACACTTTGTAAAGACGTACATAATGTTTTTCGTATAATTTAGTTATGTCCAACAGTACAGAACATATCCTATCAATGCCTCCTTTATAATGCTTATAAGTATTACTGTTATCATCTCTTCATTTTGCTTTAGGGTCGTCCAACACCAGAGAAAGTTACGTATCCTCTGAATGCACATCAAAAAGTTGCAATGATGAGAAACATAGAAAAAATGATTGCCCAAGCACTGAATAACCCAGATGAGGTGAGATACCCTTTAAGATAAAAGCAGAACCTCTTCTTTGATGATAAGTTTACTATTAAAAGTTGAAGGTTTTTTTTTCTGAAAAGATCAGATTCTTAGATAAAGTCTTACATCAGTTTTAAATTGAGTAAAGTTTACTAAGAATTCAGTTTAACTCCGAGTATTGGTTCAGCAATTCTTTGGAAATTTGTATTTTTTTCCAAGGCTATTTACATTTTAACTTGTGAAAAAGTTTTTTTTTCAAAATTTAGCAGAGCATTTTTAAACAATAAAAAAGTAATAATTTTTTTTTTTTAGAAATACTAGAAATGACACAAAAGCAAATGATCAACTATTAAAATAGGAGATTTGGTATGATTGCCATGAAACAACTATCCAATAGAGTCGAAATGAATCAGAGTTAAGCAACTATAGGTCACTGAATGGCCTTCAACAATGAGCAAAACCCATACCGTATACTGCGTAAAGTCAGATATAAATGGCCTTGGACTTACAAAATGTGAAACAATTCAAACAAAATTCCCAAGAATGCAACTAGCAAAAAGACAAAATACACAAATTATTGATCTATGAGTACTTACAGTCACTGAAAACTAGTTTAAAGCCAATAATCTATTATTGTCGAGCCTGCGACTTTTGTCGCAAAAGCGAGACACAGCGATCCTATATTCTGTCGTCGTTGGCGGCGGCGTCCACAAATATTCACCATGTGGTTAAAGTTTTCAAAATTTTGATAACTTTCTTAAACTATCCTGGATTTGTACCAAACTTGGGCAGAAGCTTGTTTATGATCAAAAGCTAGTATCAAGAAGGAAATTTATTTCCTGTTTTTCCGTATATTACTTATAAATTGACTTAGTTTTTCTTCCAGTTAACATTACTGCAATTAAAGTTTTTAAAACATTTATTAGATTCATAAACCATCCTGGATTTTTACCAAACTTGGACAGAAGCTTCTTACAATCAAAAGATAGTATCTAGAGGAAAATTTTTAATAATTTTTTCCCCATTTTTGTTGAGCCTGCGACCAACAGCAAAAGTAGGCGAGACACTGGGTTCCACGGAACCCTTACGAATTTTTAAACTAATAATAGCTCATAAATAACTCAAGTTAACCTTTTCAAGACACTTTTTATTGAAATTTTCATATAATGAAATTAAATAATGATAAAATTCTGTTTTACAGGTTCCAGAATTTATGCAAAATATGGTATTAGGGAGATATACTTGAAGAGTTAAAGTTGCACTGAACAAAATCATCAAAACAAATTTTCATCCATGTATGAAATTCAAGATTGTGCTAGCCAAATATGGATAATTGACCTTGAAATCAAAAGATTCATTATTCGGTTTATATTCATATTTAATGCTGTATTTCATATGCTTGATAATAGTATACTTATGTTTTGATTTAAAAAAAATAATTTAAATAGAATTTTCATTTTGACTGTTGAAAAACATTATATGAAATCAATCCTCTTATAATTGATACATTAATTTTGTAGTATGCATTAGCTTTGTTTAGTTGAGGGACTGATATTTAATCAGAATTTTTATTTCCTCTATTAACATTTGTCAATCATATTTACAGTCCAAATAACACTGTGGAATTAATATTTTCTGAGTAACGTGCATTAGTGAAATGAACAGATAAATTAGTTATTAAAGATATTATGAATTACAAACTGAAATATTTCATATCGTCAAAATTAAGAGAACAAATGACTTAACCAATTATATTGCATATATTTAAAACAAGCTCCTTCATCCTGGTTGGTCCACTTTTCATAACCTATCTTTTATTTTTATTTTTGATTTGTTATTGTCAATAAAGTTTACTTTGTTATGGTCCTGAATAGGCATGAAATATTTGCCACTGGACATAAAGCAAACAGCAATCATTCAATGAAACAAACTCCATACTTGTACACATTCTATGATAAATTCAGTTAAAGGCAACAAACACTTGATATTGTAGCAGCCACTTTTTTTCCAGCTAAATTGTATTTTTTTTCACTTAAACCGCTTGGCAAATTTGAACCAAACTTATTTTGAATCTTCTGTCTTTGCAACCAAAATGGATTCCGTTTGTTTCATTGTGATGTTTAATCCAGAATAGGCCAAAATAAAAAGAGTGTAAAAACACTCATTTAATAGTGTCTGATTTTGGTTCATATTAGCTTGAAATTTTGAAATAACTGAAAAATTTATATGTTTTTGCAATATCAGGAACCAGATAATGACTCTTTTCATACCTCCTTTTTTGAAGTCTTTGTTCTTTAGGTGTTTTATGTTGTATTATAACTCTTAAGAAAGTTATTACTTGTGCTTTATTATACTTTTAACTACATTGGTATACTTTTTAGTTTGCTATATGGCATTTTTATACGACCGCAAAAATTAAAAATTTTTTGGTCGTATATTGGTATGACGTTGGCGTCGTCGTCGTCCGGCGTCGTCGTCGTCCGGCGTCGTCCGAAGACACATTGGTTTTCGCACTCTAACTTTAGTTTAAGTGAATGGATCTCCATGAAATTTTACCATAAGGTTCAATACCACGAAAGGAAGGTTGGGATTGATTTTTGGGGTTATGGTACCAACAGTTAAGGAATTAGGGGCCAAAAAGGGGCCAAAAATAAGCATTTTTGTAACTTCCAGACAATAACTTGTGTGTAAGTGTATGGATCTCTCTGACATTGTACCACAAGGTTCCATATCACAAAGGAAAGGCTGTAATTGATTTTGGGGGTAATTGCCTCAAAATTTTAGGAATTAGGGGCCAAAAAAGGGGCAAAAAACAAGCATTTTCTAGTTTCATGACAATAACTTGTGTGTAAGTGTTTGGATATTTCTGAAATTGTACTACAAGGTTCCATATCACAAAGGGAAAGCTGGAATTGAGTTTGGGGGTAATTGCCCGAAACGTTTAGGAATTGGGGGCCAAAAAGGGGCCAAAAAACGCATTTTTCTAGTTTCCAGACAATAACTTGTGTTCAAGTGTATGGATCTCTCTGAAATTGTACTGCAAGGTACCATACCACAAAGGGAAGGCTGGGATTGAGTTTGGGGGTGATGAATCATAAGGGGGTTCAAAAAATTTGGGGGGGGATTTTTTTTTTTTTCTTTTTTTTTTTTTTTTCCTTTTTTTTTTCTTTTAAAATTTTCCATTTTAAGTTGGTTATTTCTGATTAATATTTAAAAGCAAATAATAATGATATGGTAGGAGATACACACCAAACAGGATTTGTAAATTATTATCTAATAAGTATTGTGCAATAGCAAGAAATTTTCAATTGCACAGTATTGCACAATAGCAAGAAATCTTCAATTCCACAGGATTGCGCAATAGCAAGAAATCTTCAATTGCACAGTATTGCGCAATAGCAAGAAATATCCAATAGCACAATATTGCGCAATAGCAAGAAATTGTCAATTGTGTAGTATTGCGCAATAGCAAGAAATATTTAATTGCACAGTATTGTGCAAAAGAAGATACTTCGTATAAATTGCTTATTTCTTGACCAATTTCATTGGGGTTTTATTCTTGAATTCTTGGGATTCTTTAATATGCTGAATCTAACCGTGTATTAAGTTTTTGGATTTTGGGCCCCGTTTTTAAATTGGTCCACATTGAGGTCCAAAGGGTCCAAAATTTAACTTTGTTTGATTTCATCAAAAATTGAATTATTGGGGTTCTTTGATATGCTGAATCTAACCGTGTATTTAGATTCTTAATTTTTGGTTCCGTTTTCAAATTGGTCTACATTAAGGTCCAAAGGGTCCAAAATTAAACTTAGTTTGATTTTAACAAAAATTGAATTTTTAGGGTTCTATGATATGCTGAATCTAAACATGTATTTAGATTTTTGATTATGGGCCCAGTTTTCAAGTTGGTCCAAATCGGGGTCCAAAATTAAACTTTGTTTGATTTCAACAAAAATTGAATATATGGGGTTCTTTGATATGCTGAATCTAACCATGTATTTAGATTTTTGATTTTTGGGCCCCGTTATCAACTTTGTCCACATTGAGGTCAAGAGGGTCCAAAATTTAACTTTGTTTGATTTCATCAAAAATTGAATTATTGGGGTTCTTTGATATGCCGAATCTAACCGTGTATTTAGATTCTTAATTTTTGGTTCCGTTTTCAAATTGGTCTACATTAAGGTCCAAAGGGTCCAAAATTAAACTTAGTTTGATTTTAACAAAAATTGAATTTTTAGGGTTCTTTGATATGCTGAATCTAAACATGTATTTAGATTTTTGATTATGGGCCCAGTTTTCAAGTTGGTCCAAATCAGGCTCCAAAATTAAACTTTGTTTGATTTCATCAAAAATTGAATTCTTGGGGTTCTTTGATATGCTGAATCTAACCATGTATTTAGATTTTGGATATTGGACCATAATAGGTGAATGTCCAATTTAAAATTTTTAAGTTCTTAGACCACATTCATTCTGTGTCAGAAACCTATGCTGTGTCAAATATTTAATCACAATCCAAATTCAGAGCTGTATCAAGCTTGAATGTTGTGTCCATTCTTGCCCCAACTGTTCAGGGTTCAACCTCTGCGGTCGTATCAAGCTGCGCCCTGCGGAGCATTTTATTATTTTGCGTAATTGAATTCAAGAGTTTTAATTTAGTAGTTATAAAAAATCTGAAGGTAGGCTGGTCATCTTTGAAGGTAAACAGCATAATGATTTAGATCTTTACCTTATCAGGACTTTTTATACTCTTCATATGGTTAAGTTTTTGCTCTCATTCCAGACGATGTCATGTAGACTTCAAGTTAGTTTTTTTTTTTAACTATATATTATATATTGTCCCATAAACATCCAATATGGTTTAAAGACAGATATTGTGTCAACACATTGCTAACAAGGATCTGACAACACTCTTCTACTTTCTGTTTTGGTAATTTTTATACGCCCGTTTACGGGACGTATTATGGTATATTGTTGTCTGTCCGTCTGTTGTCAACATGTCGAACAAAAACTCGAAAAACGCTTTAACCAATTTGCATGAAATTTTAGTGAATTGTTTATAACTATTGAGAGCTCCCTTTTGATTTTTATAAATTTTAGATTTTACAATTCCGAGTTATGGGATTTTATTCATAAAAAAGGGGGGATTTTCCAGTTTTCGGACAATAACTCAAAAGTGCTATGAGCAGTTTTCTTGAAACTTTGGTGACTGGTATATATCTATTTGAATAACCTCCCTTTAGTTTTTTATAAATTTCTGATATGACATTGAGGAGTTATGGAACTTTGCTCTTTATTACCTTAGCCAATGAAATTTCAACCTTCAACCTTCAACTCTTTGAAGGTCCGAATCATTATGACCAACCCAGAGGACCCCAAAAGGCATTTTAAACAGATTGAAGAAAGGAGCTTTGTCAGATCATTGTAAACAAAGTGTGGACCTAGGATCTGTATTTAAATCAGATTGATAAACATCTGTCCCATACCGTAGAAAGGCTTGTATAGTTCGCACTGGTACATAGTCCGCACCCCCTTCTCCCCACGAAATTTTAGGTAAAAAAACTTTTTGTAACTGTTAGAAAAGGTCTAATGAAACTCCGGTAATTTCAAATCCTGTGCGGTCGTTTGCGGTATTTTCTTGGAAGAAACTGTTCTCCATCATCAAACAGAAGCTGAAACTGCTTGTAAATGATTCTAGACCGCTTCATGATTGTTAAAATAAGTTTAATTCACTTCAAAAACAATTTAGAAACTTGTTTTTGTTTAAACAGGAAGTTTAAAAAGCATGTGTAAAAGAAGAAATTAACCGGTGAGAGTCGAAATCCGTACATAACAGATATCACTATAATACGACTTTGAAAGTAAAACAGTTCCATCCTTTTGTAAAACAGTCTTAAATATATCTATCACATTGAGGTTTGAAGGGTCTTAAGCTAATACAAACCATATTAGTCAGTATGAAACACCAAAACGGAACGAACAATAACCGATTACGTTTTGTAGTTTACAAATTCTAAGCTGGTTTACGGTTGTCTTTTTCACTATGTTTCGATCAAGCAGATACCAGTTTATTTCAACCAATGCATTGAAAAGAAACGAGAAATTTGTAATGAAAGGTTTAGTTTTTATATTTATCAGTATTAATTTGATATTGATTAGAAATAACTTATTAATATGGATGAGTTAAAATTATTAGTTTGAAAAATGATAAGAGCGCCCTCTACAATATAAATAACAAAGATGGCGGAACGTAAACAAACCACCTCGCCCGCGAAATTGAAATTTTTCTCTTATTTCTTGCTTATTGTACTCTATAGTCCGCACCCCGTCTGGAAGGTCCAATTTTAGAGAATAAAACCGCGGACTATACAAGCCTTTCTACGGTATCTTTATATTATTATATTCATTTTTTTTTCTTAGTATATATAATGTTTTGGTTGCACCTATTTTTGTATTAAATAATAGAATATTGTTAACCAACTAATTTTCACAAGAGATTTTTTTGTGAGTATTTATCGTTATGATTATGTCAAATTTGAATTTTCTCTTTTATGAAAACAACTATGTTAGAAGATCGTGAGTTAATATTCCTGTGGAATCTGCACGAAAAGGCTATGCTCAAAAATGTATCCATGAAATTAAGTTGGTGTACAGTATAGATTCCTCTGTAATGAACAAGTAATTCTTATACTTTGCAGAAGAAACAAATAATCACGGTATTAAAAAAAGTTGGACAGATTTTTTAACAGTTTTATAAGAATTTATTAATGTTTTACTAACTTGAATAATATGTTAAAGTTGGGCTTTCGGATAAATATTTGTAAGTGTTATCTAATGATAAGATTTAATTAATATAAACAAGTATATAAACTGATCTTCTTTTTTTTTTTAAAGTTGTGATCTTTTGATTATATGAACTTGATAAGGCTGTTTTTCACATTGAATGGAAGCACAAACGTAATTTTGTATATTGTCTTGGTGGTGATGAATTAGTTTGGTTTTAAAGGTGAAGGTTGTCATGTTCCACTCCGTAAAAGAATTTGCCCCTAAAAGTTATTTGAATGTCCATCTCATTGATTTGTCATTCCATAGTTACGGTACATAAATTGTCAGATTAAAGGCAATTCTTCACATATCAAGCAATTGCTAGATCTGTTGTTATTGAGATTGATTAAAGGAAACTATATTTTGATTTGGAGTATTTTCTGGTTTGTTTTTCCAGTTATGTAACTTTAACTGGGTCAATATCCCTAATGCGCCTCAAATTAAGGAACACAAAAGTTGTGCGTAAACAAAAAATCATTGTGTAGTGATACTGGACATGTTTCTATTTTTAACAAGTGACTGAGCTTAACCATTTGTGTTGATTTGGAAAGTAGAGGACCATAGAATAAGTGTGTGAAACTATGGAATAATTAAATGCATGCAAAGTATTAAATTTTCAAAGAACTTATTGTGTGAAAAAAGGGATTTTTTACCACGAGGAGCCGCATCACAAAAGGATTTTCGGGGTGAGCTAATTTATGGAAAAATGAATCTCACTTCGTACCCCCGATAATTTAACCACATATATGAAAATGTCTCAGCTTCGAAACGAGCCATCATACATATCCAAGTTTACGATATGGACTGAGCTACAGAAGAAAATGTTACCATTACCGTCTACGGGAAATCAATTACGCATACTGACCCAACTGTAAAAGTAAATTTTTGAAATGTTGTATGCCAACTGATAGATTTACTTGTAACTTTTGTTGGAATTAGGTGAAAGTAAGGTACTTTTTATTTCAAAAATTTTCTGAATTTTTAATCTAGAGTTATGGGACTTTCACCTTTAGATTGAAGGTAAATTTTTCACATGTCAGTCAGCAGGTCTAGTTTGCTTGGATCAAATAGCTACAAAATTACAGTATTGTTGGAATAGGTGAATGTAGGCTCTTTTTCTTTAACATTTGTTTTGGTCTGATGCTCAAGAGTTATGGGACTTATAAAACTGATATTTTAAAGGCAATATTTAAATGCTTAGAATATCCTGAAGCAAACTTTTCAAAAGGGCCATTTTACTGACTTCTCATTGCAACTATTAATATATGCAAGCGAAGAATGTTTCATGTGCTACTGGTGCAGCTGTTTATTAAAGTTTTCATCATTGAAAAAGATAATAACCATCTCTGAGATAAATTTTGGACTGTAAAAAACAAATTTCCAACAGTAGTGAGCACACACAAACCTGGAGCAGTTTAATGCCAACTAAAAACAAGTCTGCTACACTGTAACAAAATGTCCCCTGTGATAAATGAGAAATTAAATTGTGTGTCACAATGTGTCATTGTGGTCAAAATATGGTAAAAGTCCCATATGGCTATACCTCCTATTAATGAAGGTATAATATGGTCAACTACACATGATTGCAAACAATCCCATCAAGTGTTAGTGCTATTTGTCAAATGGTCTTACAAGAGTTTGAGTTCACAAGGTGAGACTATTACAATACACTAAAAAATTGCCAAAGTCTCATAATTCTTGTAAAAAATTGTTGGATCAAAATGACAGTTTAATATGGTCAACTACTCATGATGGAAAACAAGCCTACCAATTATGAGAGGTTTGTGTAAAAAGATCTCGAAGGAGTTGCGTTCACAGGTTGTTGTTACAATATTCCAACAAATAGTTAAAAGTCCCAAAACTCTCATAGAAATGGTGAAAAGAAATGGCAGTTCTATATGGTCAACTACAATTGATGACAAACAATAGTACCAAGTATGAGAGCTTTCTATCAAATGGTCTCAGAGGAGTTGTGTTCACAAGGTGTTATTGTCACAATACTAAAAAATGGTCAAAGTCCCATAACTCCTGTAAAAATGGTTGAATCAAAATAGTGCTAAAATATGGTCTACTATACATGATGGCAACCAATCCTTACAAATTTGAGAGCTTTCTGTTAGATGGTCTCAGATGAGTTGCATTTCAAAAGGTGTCATTGTCACAATACACCAAAAAATTGTCAAATCGAAATGAGGGTATAATCTGGTCGACTACACATGACAGATGGAGACCATTACTATATCCCTTCGGCTGGACACACAGGGAATTATTAATAATTCATTTGTACAAAATGTACTATATTGCTTTGCTAAAGCAAAATGTCCCCAGCAGCTGTATAAATGAGGAATAAAATTATTTGTACAGTATAAAATTGTACAACAGGAACATTTGATTACAAATGCCAAATCAAAATGACGGTATATATTGTCAATAACATATTGTGACAAAAAATCCTGCCAAGTACTAGGGCTTTTTGCCAGACAATCAGGACAGTTGCGTTCACAAGGTACTGTGGTACAATAGTCCAAAATATGATGGAAGTCCCATCATTCCATTAAAAATCATCAAATTAACAAATTGACTACAATATTGCCAATAAAATATGGTGGCAAACAATACTAATGATTATTTCTGTTATAATTATTTACACATTTTATAGACTGAGTACAATTTAGAGCTTGTCATATTATACAGGCACCCGTCTATTGTTGAACATTGTATGTTACCCTCTAGATTTTTTTTGATAATTTTTAACCGGATTTTCAAAAGAAAAATCGGTTATTGATTTGGGGATGTACGGTGGTCGGGCAGGTGGCTGCCAAACAGTGTCCGTTCATTAACATGAAAACGCTTTGATGAAATCTTTTCAAATTTAGATATGTTGTTTCCTGTGACTAAATGAAGGTCAAGTTCAATTTTCAGCTGTTCTCTTTGTTGAGTTGTAGACCTTTCAGTAGCAAAAGTGATTCTTATTATATGATTTATTTATTTTGAATTATTTCCCTTTGAGCAGAAATGTAGTAATTAATAAGTAATTTCTATGTCATTTGGTCTCTTTTTTTTATTTTGAGTTATTTCCCTTTGAACAGAAATGGTGTAATTAATAAGTATATGGATAGATTGTCTATCAATGATTGTATCTAGTCAGTTGTCAAAAATTTCTTTTTAACTATTTTTTTTAAAGTTTTGTGTTTTGAAGTTAGATGTCACAGTTGTTACAGGGCCTAATCTAGGATTTTGAAGAGGGAGAAGTGACTTCTCCTTCCATGAGAGAGAAGGGAGAAGTGGTCAACTTCTTGGAGAAGTGAGATTCCATTACCGTTTTGGTTGCATCGTGTTTTCATGCTTATCAAATGTATCACTAAGGAAATTGTTCAAGTTATATTCAATAAAGATATACTTGCAGTTTTTTCATATGTTATTGTACACAATGTATATATATATAGAAAGTTCTTAATAAAAAGGTTTAGACAATATATAGTTGTTATTTATTTATTGATACCATAATGTGTTCTAAATAAAATTTGTTGATTGGGACATGAGGGAGTAGCCTAGTAATATTACAAATATTATGATGCATTAAATTCATGTGCATCTGCCTCAATTTATTTTTAAAACTCCAGAAAAATATGACTCCCAGTTTACCTGATGAATTTCACATAACTGGGAATTTAACTTGTCATTATTTTGTAAAACATTATTGAATGTCCAGCACATTTATGTTAGTTGAAAATTAAGATTATCGTTAAAGATTGTAAGTCTATAAATAAAAATATCTTTCAATCGCAATATAATTATCCGTTAAAGAGCTAATTTCTATCATTTTTTAAAAAATATCATCCATATCAACGAAGTGGTCATGAGAAAAAATCCACTGCCGAGTACTATCTTGTCGAGTGTCGTACGTTTGCAATCACATTATCCATCAGCTGTTTTTCTACCTTCTTTATTTCAATTTTTATTCAATGAATATAATAAATCTACCTTTAGTTTCCACCCTTTACCTACCGAATAGTAAAATTGATCGACTCGTGTAGGTAATAAAAATAAAACAAATCAGCTGAGTGATTACGCAACATCCTCAGATTAAAATCATCGTAAAACGATAACTTAAACAGGCGGTCAGTATTCCGTTTGAACAGTTTTGAAAGTTATATCCGAGGATGTTCAAAGTCGCCGTTGTATTTATCTAATTTGATCGTTTATAGTATTAGTCCTGGGTCGTTTAGAAAATCTCGATTTTCCTTGTCAGCTGCCATTTTTTTACCTGTGAGACTTGTCAATCACAAGTTGTCTCCCTTTTACCGATTTTGATAGCGATTTGACTTCGCTATGAAGTCAGTCGGCCGGCGAGATTTAGCGATTTTCAAAATTCTTTGGCGACTTAAATCGTCATTTCGCCGGCAAGATTATGGCCTGTTGTTATGTGGTATTTTCTTTTTGTTGTGTGTTAATGTTTAATTTTTACTTGATCCTGTTTGGGGGTCCAGATTTGCAAATATTTTTTACTTGATCCTGTTTGGGGGTCCAGATTTGCAAATATCATTTTCATTAGATAATAATCTATTTTTATTCTTCCTATAAAACTACACACAATTTGTATAATAGATTTTTACAATTAACTAAATATACACATTTGTACATGTATTTGGATTAGGACAATGTATTTAATATTAATTTATTCATACAATAATTTCTACCTTTTATCAAGATAACAAACATGTGGTAATTATCAACTAACAAAATTATAATTGGAGTGACAGATTTTTTTTTGATTTTGGGCCCAGTTTTCAAGTTGGTCCAAATCGGGTTTCCAAAATTAAACTGAGTTTCATTTCAACATAAATTGAATATATACATGTATATAGGGTTCTTTCAAATGCTGAATCTAAATCTGTATTTAAATTTTGGATTTTTGGGCCCAGTTTTCAAGTTGGTCCAAATCAGAGTCCAAAATTAAACTTTGTTTGATTTCAAATAAAATTGAATTTATAGGGTTCTTTGAAATGCTGAATCTAACCATGTATTTAGAGATTTTGGATTTTGGGCTCCTTTATCAAACTGGTCCACATTGAGGTCCAAAGGGTCCTAAATTAAACTTTTGTTTGATTTCATCTAAAATTGAATTCTTGGTGTTCTTTGATATGCTGATTTTAACAATGTACTTAGATTTTGGATATTGGACCATAAAGGTAAATGTCAAATTTCAAATTTTTCAGTTCTTTGACCACATTCATTTTGTGTCACAAACCTATGCTGTGTCAAATATTCAATCACAATCCAAATTCAGAGCTGTTTTAAGCTTAAATGTTGTGTCCATACTTGCTCAACTGTTCAGGGTTCAATTTTCCCATTAGAGGGTCCAAATGAATAGACGATATCCAACTTTCCCATTAGAGGGTGCAAACGAATAGACGATATCACACTTTCCCATTTAAGAGTTCAAATGAATCGTCGATATTCAACTTTCCCATTAGAGGGTTCAAATGAATCAACGATATCCAACTTTCCCATTAAACTATTGGTCAACATTAAAACAATATTCAATATCCAAATTCAGTATTTATTTATTTATACTGTATTATCAACAGGATATTACAATGTAAATAACTAGATCCCATATTCAATCATTAGAAAACATGTACATACATTTTAAAATATACGGTTTTCTCAATCAAGCATGGATGGTACCATTATTTCACTACACCACACTTATTTTACTTGATGAAACATATGATGTTATGATGTCTTTAATGAGTTAAGTTTTTAATAAACAAACTAAAAAAGTTGTAAAAGTTGCCAAATAATACAAAAATTCTGTCACATTAACTTACTTTTAATAGGCAGCTAATTTATTCCACTAAATATATCTGCATGTATGCTTATATTTCCATGCACCATGTAATACAGATGCTCACTAGGGTTTTTGAGAATATATATTCTGATTGGTTATAGTCAAAACAAAGAAAGGTGACCCTTTGTTGCAATTTGCATCAGTAACAAGAAACATAAAACTATAACTACAACAACACAACACAACACAACATATATTTTATATTTCAAACAACAACATAGATGTTTAATGAAATTATCATGCATGTATGAACAAGCATCCAATATCTTTCTAAAAATTTCACTACAAATTCCACTGTTTTAATGTACATGTTGGCATTTTATTTTTCCTACTGTAAATCTTGATTTCTTTCTTTTTAATTCCAACTACTTTTGCAAAAGTGGTAAAATTTGTTAAGCATTTTGCCTTTTAAATCAATAAACATTTCACAAACAAGATATTTATGATACAAACTCTCTGAACAGGGTTGTGACTTTACTTTTTTCCTTGCATTTCAGCTTGCATGTAATGCAGATGATTGTATCAATAACATAGCAAAAATAGACCATTTGTCATTGACACAAATAAAATTATTGCCCAGAGGTTGTCTCTTTTCATTAGTTGTTCACTCACAGAGTTAAAATTCCTTTATTCAGAATAACTCATCTCTATTGAATTATTACAAACTTTGTCATTTGTAAGGGCTAACTAGAGATAATAATATAAAGTAAATGCCTGATTAAGGGCATACGATACAGTTTTGATCCCACGGTGAATTTTTGACTAAAGTTTGCATACAAGCTGTTTTTCACCTAGTCAATTCAAATATGTTATAAAAATTATACCTTCATGTGCTACTTTTAGAGATAAATGGGGTCGAAATTTTAGACATTTACTGGAAATTTCGGTTTCTTTGAAATGTCTATCCTTTGGAAAGACATACCTAACTTTTTTGTTTCAAAAGATAAACGCAAGCAGACTTTTGTAAATACATCTGTAATATCTTCTCTACAGGATTGTGCTTTGGATTTGTGTAACACTTCTTTGGAAATAATCTATTTATTCATATTTTCATGATTTTAGTCAAAAAATGGCATTTTTTGCTGTATAGCTATCTAATTTTAAAAAAAATTCATCTGTGATTTGTTTATAAAAATTGGCAAAAATATTCTTTATACATAATCAAGCCAAATGTCATTTTTAAAAAGAGGGGTCCATAAACTCGTTTTCAAGTTAAATCAGTCTGAATGATAAAAATCAGTCGAAAAATGCATCTTTTCCCGATATGTCACAGTTTGATGTCGCGAAAAATAACATTTTACGTTAGCAACGTCATTACCTCCCCTGTAACTGTATCGTATGCCCTTAAAAGATGCCATCTGTATATTAATTTTATATAAAAATAAGAATATGTGGTATGATTGCCAATGAGACAACTCTCCACCCAGGACCAAATGACGAAGATGTTTATAGCTGTGTATAATGTCTCAATGGCATCTATCCCATACCCCTTTTTTATTCACATTATCATTTTCTGAAAACATATAATTTTAACAAAACTCATATATTTACATCAATAATCTCAAAGATTTATGGCAGGGTAACTTCTATCATTCAAAAAAAAATTATTTTCCAGCACATTGTATTAATTCAGCACTTTTATATTATAACTACACCAAATGTGCCAACAACTTAAATGATTTATGTCAAGAAGACATCATTAAAGCATAAATAACCATACAAACATTTTCAACAAAAGCTTTTATTTTATAAGCTTGAGTTTTAATTCTCAAAAATACAAAATATTCCAGAAAAGAATAAAGCTAAGTCAGGTGATTTTTGATAGAACTACAGCTTCTGGTAGTAAAGCTCTAAAAGACTTTTCTGTAAAGCTTAAAATATTCTTACATGATTTTGCTAATAAAAAAAAATCAACAGACTAACTGTCTGATGAAAACATATTCTACACTGATATTTGTAAAGACAACATGTATAACCCTATTCACCTTTAATAAAAGGTGTGACTAGCATCTCAAAAATCAATGCTTTTATTTTTGTGACAAAATCTAACAAGAAATGGTTAACTTGAATAAAAGTTATAGCTGGGAATCAAATTGTCTATAGACAGACAAAAAACACAGCACCATACAATATAATGAATGGTACAATGGAGCAGTAATTTTAAAGGGGAAGATTTGAACATACAGTTTTTGACTAGTAACCATAACATATTCATTGGAATATTATAGTAAACAAGTTAATTCTGTTTGACTTTCTTTGGTGTTGTTCTAGGAAGGCTGTATGATTGTGTCATAATCTGGAAAAACCAAAAAAATCCAAATGTACATACACCACAAATAACTGCAATATATTCAGCATGGTTAGGAAATTTTGTTCCACAAATTGTATAATAGTCTGTGCCAGGCTTTGGTAAATTCTTCACACAGTGAAAGTCAAAAATGGCTTCATCGTAGTGGTCCAAACATAAATATTTATTCTTTGCTAACACCTGAAATATATAATAGAATTTTAAGCATGTTCACTTTGAATAAAAATTCAAACAAACAAATATAGACCCTGCATTTCTAGTATTGTGCTTATCAAAGAGGCTCTGCCCTTTCACAATACCAATAGACCAAAACATTTTTTCAAGATGTATTTTGAATTCATTTTCTCAATCTTATCTACCAGGAAACATTTCAGCCATTGCTAGAGAAAAGTTGATGAATAATGAAAACCTTTTAACCATCTTATTTGAGTGATTGGCTTATCAAATGTCATTATGGCAGAACTTTTTAGCATAAAATTTTCCAATCACTTGAAATGTACTTTTTGATGGTTCATATGTTAAATGACCACAGTAACTGAAGACAAAGCCATTATAAAGCAATTATAAAGAATGTTGTTCTATCACCTACATGTATTCTACTCCTTCTCATAGTGTCAGAATATCTATACACTGAATTTATTCACACAAATTCATGCTATGGGATTTCAATAACTCTGTCTCAGAACAACGAGTTTGCTTTTTAATTGCAGTACTTACTTTACGAAATACACATGTAGCCAATTTAAAAAAAATACTTTGACATAGTTTATAATACATACATGTTTATAAGAGACATAAAACTTACATGACCAAATGCTGTATAGACGGGTACAGTTTCCTGACAAGCTCCTACAGGTTCATGGAGACCTGTGACTACATTATTTTCTGGTTTAGATATGAATACAAGAACGATGTAGAATCCGTAATGGAGGATTAAATGAAGCAGGATCTCACTTCTGTATTTATCTAAAATAAAACTCTCTAGGTTAATCAATTAACATTTGATATATTTATAGCATAGTCTATGTTGTTCATGACTTAAATGTTACCCAATAAAGTAATCAGAAATAATACACAAATGTAATTATATTTTTTATGCCATCATTAATCACGCCATCATATTATCAATACCATATGCAGTATTGAATCTATGCAATATCAAAGAATTCCACTCAAACCCATATTAGTAATACATGAATTTTATTCAATGTTTTAAAGTATGTTTAACTGTTTTGATTAGAGTGCCACTGATGATTCTTATGTAGATGAAACACTTGTATGGCATTCCATTTATAACCTGGTATCTGTAATGAGTTTTTCTCAATTATTGTTTAGTTTAACCCCTCTGGAGTAAATCACTTATGACCATCTGTACTTGTTACTTCAGACCAGATTTTCATACATTTTTTTGCTATATATATATACTACTTATCACACAATATACTTACTTTTCCTATCTGTTGGTTTGCTTTCAGATTTAGATCTGTCTGCAGACCATATAATCATAACATAGACAGCAAACAGCAGAGCAACACAAACTTCTGAGTGTAACTTGTTGGTATCATGGAGAGGATGGTAAATTGGTAAAAATTGTAAAACTCCTAATGGCATACCAAGAAGTCCAGTTAATACACATGTGAGAAGCTCCTTAGAAAAACTGAAATAAAAAATACTGTTGCTATTAATGGTATTTAGACTACAAGAATGACAGATTTTGCCTACCAGCTTTAACAATTCCAAGATGTGGATAATAAATGTTTAGTCTTTTTTAACTTAACCACAGACCCTGTACATTAACTAGTACCTCAAATATCCAAATAACACTGGGTGTGATAGTTTATAGTCCCTTGCTACCCTCCAAAATCCATTTTAATGAAATAGCAATTACCAAAATTTGAAGGGTCAATAAAGAAAACTTACAACCTCCCTCACCTTGATGAGACCCATTTTTCTGTTTGATTATCCAGAAGTTTTCTTATTCCATGGAATACAAATGTGAATCCACAAGCAAATGTTGCATGAAAGTAATAGCTTGTCCATGGTACCCAATAATGACGATCGTAAATGTTAGGATCAGTGTCATGCCAGGTCCACCATAATGACTTTATACCCATGATGTCATAAGGCAAGTCTATGAATACAACTGATACACCAACTGCAATATAAAATAAAACAAAGTCAGTACACAGATAGCTTAATATTTGGGTATGAGAAATAAATCTGATCAATGTTGTGTCAAATCTCAACAGTAGGGAAACTTAGTGATTCATGATTATGAGATTTAACATAATGACTGCACAGAGTTAAGAAAAATCAAAACATCTTTTGTTCAATCTAACAGTTTATGATAAAATAAATGTGGATAGTGTCCACATGTGGACACAGATGATGCTCCCGCTTGCATATCATATAGTTATAAAGGGACAAAACTGAAGAACGGTAGAAGTGACGCTACCCAAATATGAACTTGATCTGAGTTTTGTGGTAATAAGCATTGTGTGTAAGTCTCATAACATTTGGTTGAGGCTAACTTAAGTAGAGAACAGAAACTAAAAATTCAGCAATTTTTCTATTTGTAAACACGCATAACTCTAGACGGTTGTGTATAAGTTTTATAACATTTGGTTGAGACAAACTAAAAAATTCAGCAATTTTTATGTTTATAAAGGGACATAACTCAAGAATGGTAAAAGTTTCACCACCAAATTTCGTATTTAATCTGTATTTTGTAGTAATAAGCATTGTGTATAAGTTTCATAACATTTGGTTGAGGCAAACTAAAGTTAGAAAACGGAAACAAAAAATTTGTACTTGATCTTAGTTTTGTGGTAATGAATATTGTGTATAGATTTCATAATGTTTGGTTAGGGCAAACTTAAGTTACAGAATGGAAACTAAAAATTTTGCAATCTTTCAATTTATAAAGGGGCATAACTCAATAATGGTTAAAGTGACACTACCCAAATTCAACTTCATCTGTGTTTTATCATTGGAAGTCAAAATTACACATTGCATTGTATAAAGCATTGATTGAAGTTGATTCAACTATAATCATGGAAAAAGGAAGATAACTCCAATTTTAAAAATTACTTAATATTTAAAAGAAATTAAAATTTTGCAATTTTTCCATTTATAAAGGGGCATAACTCTAGAACTGTTTGATCTGTGTTTTGTGGTAATAAGCATTGTGTATAAGTTTCATAACATTCGGTTGAAGCAAACTTAAGTAAGAGAACGGAAACAAAAAAATTTTGCAATTTTTCCATTTATAAAGGGCATAACTCTAGAACAGTTAAAGTGACGCCACCAAAATTCATACTTGATCTGTGTTTTGTGGTAATAAGCATTGTGTATAAGTTTCATAACATTTGGTTGAGGCAAACTCAAGTTAGAGAATGGAAACCAATTTTGGGAAGTACGGACGGACATACATATGGACGTACGTACGTACGTACGTACAGAAGGACAAGGGTAAAACTTAATGCCCCCACCCCTACGGCGGAGGCATAACAAAATTGAACTCTGGAGACTTATGAAAGTAATGAACTTTAGTTTAAAATGTAAACAAAAATTTCTATTTACCGTATTTAGCTGTGTATAGTACGCAGTAGTGTATTATATGCACCCCTATTCATCCCTCCAAAAACGTGATAAAAAGTGTTAAAAAAAGTTTAAAAAAAAAAAAAAATTGAAAATGTAAAAAAGTAAAAAAAAAGACATAGAAAGTTAAAATTTAAATATAAATATTTTTTTTTTAAAGACTAGTTCACTGTAAAAAGCCTTTAATAGGGACCAATTGACCCATGTATTTAATCTGCATTTAAGTCTATTAAAAGATAAAAATAGTAAGATTGATTGTTCAATCAAATAATTTTAAAGCCACAAACAATTAAATGGTTTACCCTTTTATCCTGTAATTAACATTTATTAGTTTCATAAAAGTTATGGTTTACCCTTTTATCATGTAATTAACATTTATTAGTTTCATAAAAGTTAAGAAATTAATTAAGATCCCTTTTGAAATCAATGTTTGTCTAAGCTTGTCCAAGCTGATGCACTGTACAAATATTATAAGGAAATAATTAAAATGATATGGAACAAAAGAAATTAGACCCCAAACATTTTCAAATTTGATTAGCAGTAATTAAAATTAATGACTCTTTAAACCGATATTTCCTTTTCATTGATCATGTTGATTTAGAGCACTGCCTGAGGTTATTATATTGAACACCTGTCAAAAGTTGACATGATTATTCAATTGCTACATACCCATACTTAATCCTTAATTATATTTTAAGCTCACTCCAGTACTTGTGTATTTATTATAGAAGGAAAAAAACTTTTTTTTTAATTTCATATAAAGAAATAAAAGAAATAACGTCTTGAACATATACTATAATGAAGAAAACAAGAGGCTCATGAGAGCCTGATATCACTCACCTGTAATTTCAGTTTCAGGCAATTGACTTATTTGTAGACCTTACTTTGCTGAACAATTTTGTCATTTACACTTTCTCTCTTTCTATAATAATATTAAAGATAATACATAACCCAAAACTGTAAAATTTCCTAAAAATTTACTATTTCTGGACAGTAACCCAACAATAAGTTGTCCTATTGGTCTGAAGATTACTTGACAGGTACAGGTTTAACACTTTCACCTATATCAGTTTTGCTCTTACTGCTTTAGTTTTTGAGATGAAAGCCAAAACCATATTTGACCCCTATGTTCTATTTTTAGAAACAGCTGCCATGTTTTTGAATGGATCAAATCCCCGAATACAATCTATAAACTAGATACCCTAAGGAACATTCAATTAAATTTTTAAGTATTTGGCCAAGAAGTTTCAGAGAAGATTTTTGAAAAAGTAATTAAGACTCACAAAAATTGGAAAAAAAAATAACGATTTAAGGGCAATAACTCCTTAAGGGGTCAATTGGCTATTTTGATCATGTTGACTTATTTGTAGATCTTACTTAGCTGAACATTTAATGCCATTTATACTTTCTCTCTATCTATTATAATATTAAAGAAAATAACCAAAAACAGTAAAATTTAATAAAAATAAACTATTTCCAACAGTAACCCAACAATGGGTTGTCGAACTTGTCTGGAAATTTCATAACAGATAGATCATGACCCATTTATCACTTTAACTCCCTTTCACTTTTGCTCTAACTGCTGTAGTTTTTGAGATATAAGCCAAAAACTGGTTTTGTCCCCTATGTTCCATTTTTAGCCATGGCGGCAATGTTTGTTGATGGATCAAAACTTGGAATACAATTTACAAACTAAATACATTCAGTTAAAGTTTGGAAGTATTTGGCCAAGTAGTTTCAGAGAAGATGATTTTTGAAAAAGTAATAGACTTGCACGAAAAAATGTAACAAATAAACGTTTCAAGGGCAATAACTCCTTAAGGAGTCAATTGACTATTTTGATCATTTGACTTATTTTTAGATCCTACTTAGCAGAACATATTTTCCTTTTACACTTTCTCTCTATCTCTTACAATATTAAAGAAAATAACCAAAAACAGTAAAATTTCATAAAAATAAACTATTTCGGACAGTAACCCTACAATGGGTGGTCCAATTGGTCTGAAAATTTCATAGTAGATAGATTTTGACTTATTCATCACTTGTCACTTTTGCTCTAACTGCTATAGTTTTTGAGATAAAAGCCAAAAACTGCATTTGACCCCTATGTTCTATTTTTAGCCATGGCAGCCATGTTTGTTAATGGATCAAAACTTCAGATACAATTTATAAGCCAGTTACCCTAAGGAACATTCAGTTAAAGTTAAGAAGTATTAGCCCCTGTAGTTTCAGAGGAGAAGATTTTTAAATGTTAGCAAACATGATGAACAAATTGTGTAAAATTTTGGACATATAAACTTTTTTGTAGATCTTACTTGGCTCAACAATGGGTTGTTTGGTTCATCTGAAAATTTCAGGGCTGATAGATCTTGACCTATTGAACATTTTTACCTCTGTCAGATTTGCTCTAAATGCTTTAGTTTTTTGAGATATAAGCCAAAAACTGCATTTGACCCCTATGTTCTATTTTTAGCCATGGTGGCCATGTTTGGTGGATCATAACTTTGGATACAATTTAAAAACTAGATACCCTAAGGAACGTTCAGTTAAAGTTTGAAGGTATTTGGCCCAGTAGTTTCAGGGGAGAAGATTCTTGAAATAGTTTACGACAACGACAGAAGACGACAATCACAGACGATGACGGATGCCAAGTGATGGCATAAGCTCACATGGCCCTGTGGACAGGTGAGCTAAAAACGCTATTAATATATATATATAAAAAAAAAAAATCAAAAACTGTCTATAGCTGTGTATAATACGCACCACTCTACCAACTACTTTTTGGGGGTAAAAAAATGCATACATTACACAACTAAAGACGGTAATTCAAAACGACCTTAATATCCTTGCATAAATTGTTTCACATTAAGGTTGTCTTCTTTATAGTATTGTTAATGAGGAAATCAGTCATTTTCTGCTTTGATCAATTTGCCAATTTAAAAAGTGTGTTACCTTTGGGTATTGCATTATATCTTTCAATATATATAGAGTTACAGTGCAGTTCGGTGTATCCACGCACCTAATACTTTTGGTTTCACTTTGGTAATCTCATAAAACCAATAAGCAGATAATATTGTGTGAAAAAATTCATGACATACTTTAATTTCATGAAATCTTCTTTATGTATGGTTTCACCCTCAAGATTTTATGTAACCACTATTTTAACAGTTCTTCTAATATCTAGTGATTTCGTGCATGCCTTCTAAAAATAGCTTATTTTGAATACAGGAAATATTTTATGCTACAAAATATAGTTCAGTTTTAACCAAATAGAGTTCCAAGGATGCAGAGCAAAATTTATTTCTTTTTAATAAAAATTGGACTTTAAATGAAAACAATTTTATCTTTAATGGAAAATGGCTAAATATGGTTAATCATGGGATTGCAATTATGAATTTATGCTTGAAGTTATCAATTTTATTCTTTTTCGTCCCTTCGGAAGACAAAAACAATTACAGGAACGATTCTGTTTTGTTACATTGCCGATATGATGAAATTAGGTAATGCGCGATATCACCAGCCGAGCGGACACATGGGATTCCACTGTAAGCCTTCTTACACCAATCTTTATAACATTGAAAATTTCTCATGTTAAGAAATCATTACACCGTCAAATTACAGTTCACATAAATATGCTTAGATTTCAAAGATATTTACATTTATATCATAAAGCCTTAAACAATAATTTTTCAACATATTTTCAATTAAAACAAATGTATGAGAAGGTTGAAAGACATCTTTATTCCCACAACCACTTTCCATTCAAATTACATGTAAGTACATTTTTTAAAAATAGCAGACCATATCCTTAAATAATGAAAGTACAGGTTATAGTATCAGTCAATGTTATTCTAGTTTTAACAAACCTGCAAATGGTTCTCCCCACCAGGGTAACCTCATGTGTGATACTGCTACAGAGGCTGTATATATAAAGTATGGATCTGTAATTAAGGAAAAGTACACTAATGTATTACAATGTTACAAACATTATGATATTCACCCTTATCTCCCTTTTCCAGTTTTCCTGCAAAGAAATTGTATTTGTGCAGAATAATGACTGATTTACTTGAATTACTGGTAGATGGTAAACTGCTTAAGTATCCATGCACTTCAGTTCTGATTCTGCACACAAAAAAGGCAAATCATAAGACTACACTCCACAAAGACATGACGTAATTTCAGAGTAATCCATTTAGAAGCTTTAGCAGTTGATGACTGCATACTTAATAATGAAAGAACTGATAAAAAAAAATATTTACACAAAAATCTGCAAAGGGTTCTATGGAACCCTGCATCTCACCTTCAACTGCTGCTGTCAGTTTTAAGGTGTAGAGGTGATTGCAGAAGCTCAGTCCATTTTATGGCATTTATCAGAAAAATGAAAAAGAAAAAAGAACAAAATTTTGCTCAGAGTGCTACATGTATGTCTTGATTATGAAGATTATGTTCATAATATGGTTTGACAAAATTATTCAAATTTGAAAATCTTTAACCACAGATCATACCCAAATGTTGACAGTTAGACAGACTAGGAAAAAAAATTGAAAACCAAACAAACACATGAACATTAAGATTTTGTTTTTTGTTGTTGAAAGTTATTAAAACACTTACATATTAAAGCAATGTATAGTGGAAGCCTGAGTCCGAGGAAGGTTACCACACCTTGGGCATGCCAGAAATTATCAATATCTGGTATAAAATAAGAAACACATTCCACTGTTATTCCATGTAAAAGGGTTGCCAACCATAACCATCGAAATCTACCACCATTTCTTATAGCTGAAATAATTAAAATAAAAAGTTATTCCTTATAAATCTGCATTATGATTTAAGAACAGATTAAATACATTTCGGACATGTAAAATAAAGAAAATGGTCTTCAATTATACACAGCATTAGATCAATAAAAGCAAACCAACAAATTTGGGTATATATGTATATATATAATAGCTTTCACTTATATGATTGAAGCACTTTAATGTAAAGACACCTAAGATGTCAATGAATAACAAATCTAAATATATATTTAATTCACAATTGCCTTTTTCTAAGACTTCAGCGATTTATAGCTAGCTTTAATGTGTGTCTTTCCTTGAAGAAAGTATGGTTACCGCCACATGTTTTTTTCTTGTTTTATTTAAATGTTTTGGGGTTGCTAATATTTATCCAACATCTCTTTTGAAGGTTTTCATTCATATGTAGTATTCTAGAACTTTTTAATTATGCCAGTAAAGATTTACTGTTAAATATAGATTCTACTTATGCATAGGGTGAAATAAGAAAAGTCTCTTAAATTTAAAGTGTGAGGCTTTCTCATTTAATTTTCATCTCTGCAGAGACAGAAGAAACAATCATATCAAACAAGATACGGTGGTGAAATTTGTTTCTCTAATGATTATTTAACTATATGTTGTTAAGCTTTATATATCTATTTCAATGACCTGCAAAAAAGATCATGTTGTTTCTATGTGATGTCATCTGGCAGGATTGCTTTTTTGTGACATAACTATATCGAAATCGGAAGACAGCTAGGGAATTTGAATTCAAAATTCAACAATGAACATGATGAAGAACAGCGATAAAAAAAAACCAATATTGATTAAAGAAGAATATCAACAATCCAGGGAAAGTATAAATCATAAAAGAGCTAGAGAGGTATATTTATATACAAACTCTTACAAGTTTTCATTTAGAAACATGTTCATTTGTACAAATGATGAAATGTAAGCAAAGCTTCTGTAAATCAATCATATTTACACTAACCATATATGATCATATATGTAAGGGTAAGCAAAGCTTCTGTAAAACCAATCATATTTACACTTACCATGTATAAGGGTAAGCAGAGTTCCTGTAAAACCAACTATTTCTACTCCAAGGAAAGAGGCATGTTTCTCTATGGTATCATATGGATCTCTGAACTGCACCCACCAATCAAATCCCTAAAAAAAATCTTCAACCTTAATTGGGTTTTAAAGGTACATCTACAGCGAACTTTTAAAAAATCAAGTAATTGAATTTCTAAAAATGAAATCTCACCAAATACATTGTAAACTAAATCTTTATACAGGTATCTGATGTACCAAGCCTACAAATGAAAATGACTTTAACCATGTTAACTAGTTAAAATTTACAAAATTCAGACCTGAATATACTATAAACATGATATAAGAATTGTATAAAATAATAACTGGACGTTAATTATAAGTAACCAACAATCAATCAATATATAATAACCCTCTTAGCCAAAAACAGGACATACAGGTAATATAAAAATAAAGAGATGTGGTATGATTGCCAATGAGACAACTATCCACCAAAGTTCAAATAAAGTGGATGTAAGCAATTATAGGCAACCGTACGGCCTTCAACAATGAGAAAAACCCATACCGTATAGTTGTCTATAAAAGGCCCTGATATGAAAAATATGAAACAAGTCCGTTTTAACATTTACCATTTACCAAGGTCCCAGTTGGTCTTTGAGGCCACTATTATCATAGGCTAGGTTCCTAAACTAAAAAGAATGAAGGCACACATCTTACAATCATTAGACCGGAACAAAATTTGAACTTGATCTGTAACTTGTCATGATAAAACTATATACCAATCATCAAATCAATATCTTCAAGCATGACAAAAAAAAGTGCGGAAAACTGATTATTTGAGTGAATTTTCTAAGTTCAAGGACCATAACTCTGCACAAAATCATCAGACCGGAACAAAATACAAACTTGATCTGTAACCTACCATGATTAAACAATACACCAAATATCAATTCAAATTCTTCAAACACGAAGAAAAAAGTGTGGAAAACTGATTTGCCAGACTGACAGACAGACAGACAGATGGAGTGCAAACCTAAAGTCCCCTACCGACTTTGTCGGTAGAGGACTTAAAAAGGGCAAGCATATCACCCCAAAACCTCCTCTAGGAATCACTACATTCATATACATGTACATGTATTTCTCAGTTAATAACAATTTACATAAACAATTTTTTATTTTTACTTTTATTAAAAATAATAAAGATGAAAACAGCATATAGAGGCCTATAAAAATACAATGTATGTAATCGTAAGATGAAAATTGCTGACCCATTGACATGTTACCTTGGTGAAATTCCAAATAATTGATATATTTTACATATTAACCCTTACCATGCGGGGACCGTAATATTACGGTCTTACGCAAAATACCGTTATTTGCATCCAATGGCTCTCCATACTTTTAGAGGTCAACTGTAGGACATTAATTTCAAGTTTATGCATGTTCCCTCAACCTTACGCTATTTAATGTCATGTTTCTCAGGTATAATGTTCATTTTGAGCTCAAATACCAACTTAGGGAATTGAAATTGGATAAAACTTGGTTTTTTGAGGGGTGGGCTTCCCTTTGATGTCTGACACGCGAAGTTCTGAGGCGTAAAACTAAAACTTCCAAAAATAGTGTAAACCAGTGGGCATATAACTACTGCTTGTGTTTATTATTGAAATACACCTGGGAAACGACTACTTCCGGTTGCAGGTCCTGTTGAAGTCAAAAATTGAAAAAAATCGTGAAAGGAGTAGGCCTGGTTAGACCCCTTTTTGGCCCCATAAGATAGCTTTTTTACAAAGTTGTTAAAATGTAAACTTTTAGCTATTTATTGGGAAGTAAAATACATTTGTTACATAAATATGGGTTGTTTTTGACAATACAATGGACATGCGTCAGGTACTAGCATCATTCATTGTCTTTTTTTCATGCAAAATTATTGAAATTTTCACAGTTTTAGCATTTGTGCTAATTTTAAGACGGTTTTTGTCTAAAATGGATGTGGCCGCACTTGTGTTCATTCTTAATATTTAAATATGTTATATTTAACGATAATACATAATATATATAAATGTTGAAACTGAACACGAATGCGGCCACTTGATTTTTCATATTTAAGCTTGAATTTGACCGTCTCTAGTGACCAAATCTGTTCAAATCTTTAACATAAACTAATATTGAATCGATTGAAGAAGACATTTAAATGTTCAAAAATGTCAAAAATCATTCATCAGATGTACTTCGAAATTTAGGCCGAAATTAGCCCTTAACGGACCTTCTCCTTTAGGATTTTTTGTGCAAAATACAATTTCATACAGTATACTATCCACGTCCGTATAGTCATGATAGTGAACAATTGTATATACTGATATGGATAGTATTCTGCACATTGCTAGTAAACAAAAATCTTGGTGCCAACATTATTCATTTAATTAAACAAAAAGATAGGCGATACAAAAAAGGTTATTCAAATTACACGACTTATAGTGAGTGTATCCACTAACTGAGTCCCTGATGATAATTTAATCATGTCTGAAAATAAAGAGTAATAAAAGGCCAAAATGACTTACTTGCACCATTATCGAGTTAAATTTTTTTGAAAAAATATGGAAAACACAGATCATTTTACTTGCAAAACATCATGTTAACCATGGGTGCGGAAATAACTTCCTTGGGTGCCGATTTAACCATGTCTCGATTTGACTAGGTGCCGAATTTCACCGTTTCAGAATTTAATGCATTCTCAATTAAGGGTAATATTTTCAAAAGCGTATACCAAAACATTGCGATTGGTTTGAAACCTACTAAACAATGGAAGTTCAACCAATGATGTAACATTATTTTCATTTTGGTGTACAAACAATCACTATTTGGAAATCTGCGCTGATTGACCCGAGAATCTGCACCACTTGAACTATTGACGTCATACAACAATCACTTTTTCATTGTGGCGTCAGTTATTTTTTATTGTGACATCAAAATTTTACGGGAACCTTTGTGATGTCCAGTAATGGCGGACAAATAGCGATAAGGTGTATAAATTACCCTTAGTCCTTTAGATTCTAAAAAGATGAATTGACTACATCTTCACTATCGTCTCGTATTGTGTTTTCGACCGTCTTACGTTTTCGACCTAATTCTACATTCACTTCCCGTATGCTGCGCATGTCCGCGTGACGTCATATTCGGCTGCTAAAATTAGTAACAATATCAAATAATACCATGTGGTGGTTAAGATGTTCCAAGTAAAGTTAATGTAATTAAGTATTTACGTTTTATTATTTGATATCACATTTTTGTACGCTTTTACTAATACTATTTTTACCTTCAAAAAGAATCTATAAAAAATAAACAAATATTCTAAAAATATGGCAGGGGGACTTTTTGCACGTGAAGTTTACATCCAGGTCATTGAGTCACATGACTGTCAGGTGGTTAGTTGTAATACTTAAAGTTATTTTTAATACGGAAATCTGCATGATCCTTACAGCTTTTTACTAAAAAAATAAAATATCGATTAATTTTAATTTACAGAAACAACAGTCTGTCAGTGGAAATTACAGACAATACTCACTCCACAATGCCTTCACTAAAGTATTGAACAAAAAAATGACCGTATACAAGATCAAACTTGCTTCCAAAGTGCCTCATGTGAAATGTGTACAACTAGTCAAATAAAGATATCAAAATAATATTTTTTATCTTAAAGTTGTATATGTAACCATTTAATTCATTAAGTCATAAGTTTGATCGCCTCCTAGCAATTTAAATAATTTGATATAGACATTGGCATCGAATTTTAACCAATTCCGGCTTTGTACGACATGTCATTTCCGACTTTGGACCAGTTTCTTAGATAGGTCGAAAACACAAGACGCTAGTTTTTGTCAACAAACGTGCCATCGATCTAATGAACTCAAATAAAAAAATAATTTAAGATTGAATATATTTCAGATACAATTATTTTATGCACAAGTATACTAGTGACTCTCAAAATATTAGGCATGTCTATGTTCAAACATATAAAAGGGAAATTCGGAGAAATATGTTAGTAGGTCGAAAATACAATACACGAGGATACTTCAGGTGATAAACTGATATGTTTCCGTACTATATGCATGATTTTTCAATGGGAATTGTGACGTCACAATGCTTTCTAAATACCACGAAAACCCATAATACAAGGATACATAGTCGCGATTTGACCAGTGTGCCGATTTAACCAGGTGCCGAAGTGACTAGAATTAATCTTGTCAATGCATTCAAAATTTCATTACTAAAAGTAAAAATAGCATTTATAAAAATACATTTCATACAGGTTACAACTAATTTTCTTTTGCTTCTTTTGTCTCTCACCTTCAATTCTGACACATTAATGTGTTTTGCCATGATAATGTTATTAAGCAGCGGCCATATCAGATCCACAATAATATCGAACGAGAAAATGCGCAAAGTTCAAAGTTCACTAAATAGTGCGACTTGCTACGAACATAGTTTTCGAATTAATTGTTTCTCTGTTTAACCGACAATTGTTTTGAAATATCTTTAAGATGTACGTATTAATTTGATTTTTAAAATCTCACACATATTTAGAGCATTTTGAATATTTATATATTTTAATTCGAAAATACAAGTGATCACGTTTTGAAAGAAAACAACAAAAATGGCGGACAGTGCGAGCGAGCTCGAAAGTGATACGAGCTCTATTGATGGGGGCCCTACGCTTAAACCACCATCTCCGGCGACATTAGAACAACTCCAGAAAAGAATAGAATCATTACAGCAAGAAAACAGAGTATTAAAAATGGAGTTAGAAACATATAAACTGAAATGCAAGACGTTACAGGAGGAGAAAAAAGAACTCCAGAAAGCCAGTGTCAACATTGTTAGCATATATTTAAATGTTAATTTATTGGAAGAAAATCATTTTTGTCTCGTATATCTTTTTAAATATTCGTAAAATGTCTATTTTTAATCAAGGGTTGAGTTGTCATTTTCGTATATTGTCACTAACAGGACTTTCATGTCTCTTTGTCATTTCTAAATTTAAGATATGATTCATAGACTTTGGTACATGTATACAATGTTTTAGTCCGTTTGATTGGAGAAGTGACAAAATGAGGCATGATGTTAAAGTACAGTATTAAAATTCTGATTGATTCAAAACAAAATGTTTTTTATGAGGTTGGGGAAAACCCAGAAAATAAGGGATTGTACCAAATTAGACTTATTATGGGTTTGTACAAAAATGAGCAACACGACAGATGCCAATTGTGGAGCAGGATCTGCTTACCCTTCCAGAGTACCTGAGATCACCCCCAGTTTATGGTGGGGTTCTTGTTGCTCAGTCTTTATAGTTTCTATTTTGTGTTTTGCGTACTATTGTTTGTTTGTTGGTCTTTTTCCTTTTTAGCCATGGTGTTGTCAGTTTATTTTCGACTTATGAGTTTGAATGTCCCTTTGGTATCTTTCGCCTCTCTTCCCTTTGCAATTCTGTGTGAGGAGCAATTTTCTGATTTCCCTTATCAAGCCCCATCAAGTCTTTTTTGGGAAAATTTTTGCCACCTACATGTACCTCACCTCGAACTGGTGTCTATAACATTCTGTACACCTGAACCAGGTAAGAATTAAAATTGAATGTTTCATAGACACTTTTGAAGACCAGTGATCTTCCCAGACTGTTTTAGTGTCATGGCATTGCGAAGCTATAATTATTTTGAAGTTTCTATTTTTATACGCCCGTCAAAGATGAGCGGGAAATTTGAAAAAAAATAAAATAAAATCGAAAAAAATATAGCAACGCGATTGATTTAGATAGCGCTACGCTCAGTTCAATAAAACAGCGGAAAATTGCGATAGCGCTAAAACGGCCTTGGGAGAACACTGATCAATATCTTATTGTTTGAACTTTCATCTAATTACCGCTTATGATCATAAAAATTATATCACCGTTAAATTGTAATCTATTCAAGTCAGACAATAGAGGCAATTAAGATTAAATAAGTGTTAATTGCCCTTTGGGTGATAACTGTTCAGATATGAATACCACAAGCTGACACTTATGACATGACTAATAACACATGGTCCGAGCGTGATCTAAGCCAATGTGTAAATAAATATGGACATCAAGAAAATGGAAATCATCAACAATTCAAAATCAGCGTTTGCATCATGGCAGAACCGTCTCCCAAGAGAAGAAAAACTACACAGGGTACCTTGATGTTGCCCAAAATGGCTGACCAAACCAAGTTGTACAATTAGACAATTTTTATCAAGTCCATGAAACAGCAAATTTTTATTTATGAGGAAAGAAATTCAAAGACATAATATATTTATTTCTTTAGAAAAGTGGTGAAAGCATTGACTACAGATTGGTCGTATGTTATTTCAAACTAAGATTTCTATTTGTATCCATCTGATGAGTTAATAGATATAAGAAGATGTGGTATGAGTGCCAATGAGACAACTCTCCATCCAAGTCACAATTTTTAAAAATAAACCATTATAGGTAAAAAAAAAAATTTATTGGGGGGGTAAATTTTTTTTCTTCAAGATTTAAGAAATTGTCAAAATTCCAAAGAAAATTTGAGGGTCACAATTACTAATTCTTTGTAACTAGTCTGAAAACAGATTTACTAAGTATTGCGCAACAGCACAGTGAATTGCACAAAAGCAAGAAATCTTCAATTGAAGTTCTTTGACTACATTTATTCTGTGTCAGAAACCTATAATGTGTCAAATATTTAATTACAATCCAAATTCAGACATGTATCAAGCTTGAATATTGTGTCGATTTTTGTCCCAACTGTTCAGGGTTGGACCTCTGTGGTAGTATCCAGCTGCGCTTGGCGAAGCAGTTTATTATAGTTTGTTCTTATGTTGTACTGTTACACCATTGTCCCAGGTTAGGGGGAGGGTTGGTGCCTTCAAACTATTGTAACCCCACCACATTCTGTATGTGCCTGTCCCAAGTCAGGAGCCTGTAATTCAATGGTTGTCATTTGTTGCTGTGTATTATATTTGTTTTTCGTTCATTATTTTGTACATAAATTAGGCAGTAAGTTTTCTCATTTGAATTGTTTTACATTTGTCATTTCGGGGCCTTCTATAGCTTACTATGGAGTATGGGTTTTGCTCATTGTTGAAGGCCGTATGGTGACCTAAAGTTATTAATTTCTGTGTCATTTGGTCTCTTATGGAGAGTTGTCTCATTGGCAATTATACCACATCTTCTTATTTTTATATTAACAACTTTTTATGAAGTATTTTCTTTCACTTCTGGTACTTGTTACTCAAGAATGTACATTACACCCCAGTTCTATTGTTATACTTCATAGTTTCTATTTCTGAAACAAGTGTACATTGAATAGATCTATTGTTACGAATAACAATGGATTTTTACCACAGGGTGTGACGAGCGGGGTTTCTGGAAACCCCTGCTTCTACATCCCGAAAACAAAGTCCATTGTTATTTATTACAATAGAAATTAATTTTTTTTTAAAAAGCATGAACATAAATAATTTCTTATAGTGTTCACTACAAGTTGTTGCGAGATATTAAAAACACATTTTAGGAAATTTCAATAGCGAAAAAAATATTAAGCATCTATTTTGAATAAAAAAAAAATCCTTCAAGGGAAAAATAATTTGATTGATAGCGTTGAAAAACTAAATAAAATTGTTTGCGATTTGCGAGAAAAAAAAATTCTGACTCCAACAAAAAACCATACCCCCCCATGGTTGCTCCCTAAATACTCCTTTGCTTGAAGGTAAAATTTTTGATCTTAGTCATATGTCTAAAGCATTGATCTTTAAAAAAAACAGGGATTCCAACTCCCGGACCCCCCCCCTTGGATCCCGGTTGTCGGGTTTCTAATCCAGACACACCTATCCCTCAGTGTGTCCGAATATGAATGTTTGTTTATTCTCGAGAAAGGGGGGGCTTTCTTTGAAAAAAACCTGTAACATAAAAAATACATTTATGATTACCTTCATTAAACTGATACAGGTAAGTACTTTGGGTTATAATAATGCCTTTATCTTTAGTCTCTTCTACCAAATCCAACGCTTGACTCAAAATGTCGTCCGTCTTATACCCCTCTATATTAACAACTGCATACAAGGAGCATGATGTATTTTTTTTTTGTGATAAGAATGCATGAAATGGTCAACCTTGAACTTCTGATCCATATTAGCACCAGGATTTAACGGGAATATGCAAAACAGCAACTTTGACATTTGTAAAATCTACTCACTTGTCAAAGTTTGAAAGAACATAGCCGAAAGGTTACTAGTGGGGTTTCATGTAAAAAAAATATTTTTCTTATAATTTATGGTTCTATTTTGTCAATAAATATGCTATCCATTCTTTTTCATTTAATAATCAATGTTAACAAATATAGAGTTTAGAACTGGGTGTAAGTTAGTTATACACCTCGGGTTACAGCGTGTCTGGATAAGAAACCCCTCCGGCCTCCAGTCGTCGGGGTTTCTTATCCAGACACACCTATCCCTCGGTGTATAACTATTACTTTAAAACATTCTAACTTTCCTCAATTTTACAGGCTATTTAAAAAAAGTTTAGCATTTATTTTTTTTAAGTTTTCTGTTAAAGGCTCCAGTTTAAATAGCAACAGTGTCTTATTTTTGAATTGACTAAAACACATGCTTGATAATTTCGATAGTCTAATATATATATATTTATATATATCTTGTTGACTGGATAGATCAGCTATTTTAATATACAACTACTGTAAAAATATTTTAGCAAGCCAGAGCTGAGCAAGAGGAAGAATTCATTAGTAATACCTTACTGAAGAAAATACAATGTCTGAAAAAGGAGAAGGAAGCATTGGCTATGAATTATGAACAAGAAGAAGAATTTTTAACCAATGATTTGTCCAGAAAATTAACACAGGTACAGTTTGATAGGAAATTCAGAAAAAAACATTCAACACAAATATTAATAAACATGATAAATGTTTTAAAAAATTTAATTTGATTAATTTTTGTTCTACAGTTCATATTTGTTTTAAACATCTGTTGCTTTTTTTTAACAGCTCAGAGTCTTAGTAATGAAGCTGAAAAGAACACTATGCAATCATAGGGTTCTGTTACAAATTTGATGGAATAATATTTTTTTGCAAGGTTATAGTAATTGCAAATCTAGCAATAGTAAATTGAATGTGAGGCAGATACAAGGGTACCTGTTTTGTGTAATCAACCATGAGACATCACACTAGAATGTTTGTATATACATTGAAGATGTGCAACTGACCTTTAATGTTCACATTTTGAATAAAGTTTGCAGATTTCTTTACATAGTGAAACTTTTCAGAAGCATTCTTAATGGAGAAACATATTTTGTGTTATCCCTCTCCAAAAACAATCCTCAATCCAGTGTTTTCTGAATTTTTAGAAGTTTGTTTATACATTGAAAATGTGCACCCAGTTTTGTGTTCCCATTTGGATAATTTTTGCAGTTTTGTGAAACTCATTCAATTTTTATCAGCATTCTTGATGGAGGTATTATTTTGTAAGTCAGAGATGGTTCTGATGTCTTGTGATCTTTTGGGGGATGTGGGAGGTCAAAGGGCTATCAATTAAGCAAACCTGGAAATTGTTGACCCAGAGCTGTCAGTTTCTGTTCCAAATTTTAGATTCATTGTCAAACAAATAAATTTTCCTGTATCACCCAGATTACAATTCTATGTTGCAATCTAGGTTGGTATATAAGCCTTGAAAATAGCTATTTAGCCTAGAGATTTATATGATTAGTTTATTCCAATCATACAATAGAATTTCTTCTATTTGGGTTCATGCCATTTCCCTTGTCAAAATAAAGAACACCTCATTGTTATTGTAATAAAAAAAAAATGTTTCTGTTATCAAATTCTTGCATAATTCTAATTTTATTTACAGCTTAGGAATGAAAAAGTAGAATTGGAGGAGACATTAGAAAAAGAACAAGAATACCAAGTTAACAAATTGATGAGGAAGATTGAAAAGTTAGAAAGAGAAACCTTGTCTAAACAAGTTACTCTTGAACAGGTACAGTTGTGACCAGATAATATTCTTATTAAACTATTCCTGGTTTGTAATATTGTGTTCTCAGTTCCCCCAATGTGTGCAGCTGGGAATCTTGATTTTCATTAAATACCTGTATTAACTTAGGTTAATTGGAAGACATTTAATTATCTCCTAAGCATACTCAGGACCATATTAATAGGACATGATTATTGGCCCTCTTTTTACTGAAATGATATTTTGAGTACTTGATGTAAACTTGACAGTACAATATACCACATCAACCACAACACTGAAAATAGTAACAGACATACATGACCTATAATTGCTAATATCATTGCTATTTGAAATCTGGTGGATAGCTGTCTCATTGGCAATCATGCCACATGTCCTCATTTTTATAAACAAACAAAGACAAAACAGCAACTAACAATACATGGTGTATTGTTAAACATCTTAATAATATGCAAATTATGAGGTGTGTGTGTGTTCGCGAAAAAAAGGGGGGAGTAAAAGAGAAACTAGCCTGAACCTACTTTTGTTACACACAACAAAATAAATTAATATAATGTTTGAGATTTATCAAATAAGCAGTCATTTTATTTATTTAGTTGAGACGAGAAAAAGTGGAATTAGAAAATGCATTAGAACAAGAACAAGAGTCCCTAGTCAACAGGTTGTGGAAAAGAATGGACAAATTAGAGGCAGAGAAAAGGTATGTTGTTAAATATCTTCTATCTTGGTGATTTTGTAGCAAAATATTAAAAGATAAAAAAAATTGGGGATCCAGGTTAACTTGATTTTTTTGTAGAAAGTTTTTACAATCTTGTTATTTGTAATTGGACCCTGTATCAAAGGTGAGAGAACCCTGTATTAGTTTGTTAGTCTTTTCAAAATAACATAACTGTAGCTGGCCAAAATTGCTGAAAATAAAACTTACTTTTGCACGATATATTCCAAAATAAGAGTGAGTTCAATAGATTAGTGTTTCATGCAGGATGCCACCACAAGCAGGTTCATTGTGTATAGTATGTTGCATTTAAGGTTGAAATCTTAAGCTGAAAGTTCAAGGTCACAAACTTAAATTTGCATACCCTTGTTTCATACCTTGATTATTGCTACAAGTTAAAGGGTTCATTATCATCGGAAAGTGTGTAAAAATAACTAACACAATTTGGGGCTGTCAATGGATGTCCTCAATCTCAAAAAGTATCTAGTCAATTTAATTTTTGGTTTTGAAAATGGATAGTTGGAATTTGATTTGTATGTTTATAATTTAGATTGCTTCAGGAAAAGTTAGACCAACCTGTGACTGGCCCTCCTTCTCCCCGTGATATGAACAATGGCGATACAGCACAGAACTTAACACAACATATAGAAAACCTAAGAGGAGAAGTCAATAATTTGAAAGAAATGCTGCGGAGAGCGCAACTAGAACGTAAATATACATTTCAGATAAAAAAAAGTGTAGGGAATGAAATAAGACTGTGACCCACATGCCAGGTGTGTTGCTTCATTTTCCATCATGAATTCCCGTTTTTCAAAATTTTCTTACTGTGCATTAGCTATGAATGAATATAATAAAACAGTTAGCAGGCTAATGTCTGTTTTTGTATAGCTTGCCCTGATAAAGTCTACTTGTTAAGGTTAGAAGAAAACATTTATTGAAGTATGGTACCTAGAATTGTTCTTCATTTATTGTAAATATTGATAATAGAGTACTAGTTGTTTAATTATCTTTTGAATTCAAAAGTATGAAATTTTTGCAATTAGAATAAAACATATTTCATTGTGTAAATTTGATCTCTTATGGAGATTAGAGTCAGTGATAAAAAGAAAGGCAAAAAAAAAACCAGGCCAACAGTATGGCCTTTGAAATTGTGAAATTTAATCTCTGCGAAAATGAAGCACTTTACTGTAAGCTTGACAGAGACTGATTTTAATTGGTTAAGCAGGAGTGAAAATTAAATACTCACCAAAATCAGGGTAGGAACTGGTTTTGAATATGAGTTAAAAATGACAAAACTGTAACTATTGGTGAATAATTTGATACATTGAATCTATGGCTAATTATTTCATCCTTAGCTCCCACTGACAGTTTAAATCAATAGGAAAATGTATAGCAATGATAAAATTCACCTGGAAAGTTCATATTGTTGATAATTAAAGGATATTTTCATAGATGAACAAAAAATGGCACAGTATGCTCAAGAAGAAAAACACATAAGAGAAGAAAATTTACGTCTACAAAGAAAATTACAGTTAGAGATGGAAAGAAGAGAAAACCTTTGTCGTCACCTGTCTGAAAGTGAATCTAGTCTTGAAATGGATGATGAAAGGTATGTTTGATTTTAAGTGTCATCTGCTTACTTGAAAACCAAGAAAACAATCATCCTTTTTTTTATGTATAAACCTGTCTCCCCTTCGACGAATGGAGAAATTATGTTTTAGTAATATTTTTTCTTCTGGACTCATACAGCCTGGACACTAAATCAGTTCCACCTAGTTTGTCCCAATGGTACTGTTAGCTCAGGAGTCAGGGCTTTGGTACTGACACAATTCATGATATACTTTTCTTAAATTCTAAAAAGCATATCTCTGTGTCAACATTTTATAACTTGAATGTCAAGTAACTTATCTTTCATATGGCAGTCATATAGACTACTTTCAAAATCCTTTACTTTCCCGTAAAATTCCTATGTCACAATTCTTATGTTATTACGTCACAGTAAGAACTTATTGTTCCATGATTTGTTTACGCTGATTGACATCAAGTCAACCGGTGTAGCTCGTTCATAAAAAACAACTTGAGATTGGTGTATTAATAAATGATAATAAATAAAATAACTTCACAGAATTACCGCTTTACTCGAGAAAAAGTTTTATTGTATAAATTCTTACATGTACATATAGAATTAAAAATTAATTATGTGAAGATGTACATAAATATGTGTTACTGCATGTTTGTTTACAGGCATTTTAATGAGATGACAAAGCAGCAAGATTTAAGTCATGGTGTTAGACCTAGAACAGTATCAAGTCCTATCCCATATGGTTCTCCTAATACATCCAGACCTATATCTCCAGGTAAGTAAAAATATATGATGCTAGCCATAGTAGTTGTTTGCATGCCCTTTAATATTCCAAGTTTTATTCAAACTTCAAAACACAATTCACAAACAATGGGAAACCAAGAACAAATCTGTATCTGGTTATAAACCACATATCTAGCAGACTTTGATAGACAGCTTCTGTAAATTCAGAAATTATTGCATGTATTTATTATTGCGATTTTTGAAGAATGGACAAAAATGCGAGTTTAATCGTTGCAATTTCAGAAAAATCTACATACAGATGTATGTATCAGTTATCAGAATGCAAGTTCTTATTATTGCGATACTCAGCCATTCTCATAAAAAAAAAAACTCGCAATAATTTCTGAATTTACAGTATTATATTCAAGGTGTTTTGAGGTTTGAATTTACACAAATTCTGACATTTGTTCCAGAACATTGCTGCAAGGATTTTCTATCATGCCACTATTAATAATGCTGATTTTTTCACATTCAATATCCAAATAAACAAAATTGAATGGATGCCATTGATATTAAGTATGTTTTTTACCTGCCACCAGAAAAAGTGCCACAAATTAGCTTGGAATATCTCTCCAAATTCAAGGTCCCATACCACATACCATATGAACATAAACAAAGATTATCTTGCTCAAAACATTTTAATTTCGTTGAAAAATATTCTTGCCGTAAGGAACCTTCACAAACAATATGTTTTATACTTTAATGTTTTCTATGTTAAGATTAATACAAAAGGAGGGGTATAATTTAGTGATCTTTTCCTGTATAACCTCTAGTTTATCAACCTGTCTACCATAATTGAAAATAGAGCAGCATATTTTTACAGTGAAACCCTTGGAATAAATTTTTTAAAGTCCTACAATCCTTTACATATGCAACAGAAAATTAAAAAAATCTTTATTTTCACTTATTTTTGCTGTATCAGAAAAAGCTGAATATAGTTCAGTTCATTTCAAAATAAGATTTAGGGTGGCATAATTGATTGTGCTTACCAGGGAAAAAATGGATAAACATCACTATACCTATCTAAATTTCCTGATTACCACAATTGAAATTTTAATTTGAATATCCTGGACCAAATAAAACATTTTTCAATTTCCACACTTTCTAAAATGCCTGTGTACTTTTTTGCCTTTTTGTATTAAGTACAAGTATGGATATAATTATAGGAATGAATTATCCAGCGTTTAGTCCTCCAAGTCCCATGAGGAGAAGTACTGGTAGTACCAGCAGTACTAGTAGTGGAACATTTCACCCTCCCCATCATTACCCGGGAACGTCACCACCTGTACATTCACCCATGCAGGTAATTATACCCCACACACACATTTTATTTTCCTATCAAGGATGTAAGTAGGCATATTGATTAATGCTGATACCTATGTACATGCATCCATTGTGATTTGATGAAGTTCTTTCTTTAAATCCACATTATATGTATTCTCAGTCTGTTTCTCAGAAACCAATATGAAACAATGATAATATTTATCCACTTTAAACTTCTCTTGTAGGACATAGTAGATCAAGAACATTTGAGTCACTTTGACCATCATTTTGGGCTTTTGTGACTGTTTTAATTCCCTACCTTACAAAATGGCAGTGCATAGTAATTGTTGTGTCTGTTGTTCATTTGTTCGTTGTCTCACTGTCTTCAGTTTGTATGTTTCTTTGTGTGTCTACCTGTTTGTACTTTGTATTCACAAATATTGCTAAACAACAGACTGGATTGCAATGAAACTTTCACAAAATACTGCCTAGTGCACATCATACCTTGTATTATCTGTATTGCAACATGATATGCACACCCTTTTTCACCACATGAATTCAGGAAAAAGTTTTTGTCACTTATTGAAAAAGTCTATTGAACCTCTGGTAATTTCATGTTGAGTGTGATCAATTGCGGTATTTTCATAGAAAAACTGCTTTCTATTATCAAGTAGAAGTTGAAAATATTTGTAAATGATTCTAGAACACTTTTGGAGTCTTGTAAGAGGACAAAATCACAAAAAAAAACCTGAAAAAGATGTGTTGGTCAATAACAAGAAATATGAAAAGAACAAATTAATTGCAAACAAATACAGTGAGAGAGTGCAGAAATTCTGTACTTAATCAATATTACAAAAGAATACGGTTTTAAAAGTAAAACTCTGCTGTCCTTGTTGAATTCTGTTAAATTTATAAGTCACATTAACATTTGAAGGACCTTTAGCCAAAACAAAACATATGCAGCAGTATGTAACACCAAATCTAAATGAATATTACGCAATTACTGACTTTTGATGAGGTTGATACAATGATTTATCAACCCTAGAGATATGATATTCACCAAGTTCAAAATAGCAACATGTCCAACATCACTGCACAGAATTTTTTTTTGTTTACATATTATATTAAAGTTCTTCACTTTGAGGCTCATTAGGGATATTGACCCATCTGTTTAGGAACTTTCCTCTTTATTGATGAATTTATATTTTCTTTACCATTCTCTTTGGACATTTCTTGTTTGAAATTGATGTTACAATCCTGTTTAATAATTATTAGATAACTTAAATTGGTATGGTTAAATTTTCATATCTATTTGGTTTAATTATTTAGCTTATAATATAATGTCAGTACAAACCTAGTGCTTAGTCAGAAACTTGAGGGCTTTCCTTATGGAATTTACTTTTGGCATTCTTTGAAGAATGTGTTGTGACCTTAAAATATCTTAAATTTGTATTGTTTTGTTCCTGCCTTATTAATATCTTTCCCACATCTGCTTTTATTCCCCCCTGCATGTTGGGCTACAGGGGGTATATTAATTGTCTCTGTCTGTCCTTCTGTCAGTCCTGCCATCCAAAACTCATCAATACTCCGAGACCTTCTGACATGTTGCTTTCAACTTGGTAGGATATTTTTCGGTCATATTCTCTTTACCATACTATATGGTTTTATCTAATTCTTTTTATTGAAAATGATAGTATTGATTCAGGTAAATATATACAATATGCTAACTAAACTCCTCTAACACATTTATAAAGCTAGAAAATTGGTGTCTTGTAAACTTACAGATGCATTGCTTTTGATTATATTTAATTTTAAGATGACCATGTAATGTATCTCTGATAAACATTCTAGCTTTGAAATGACAGGGGATTACTGCATTGCAGCAATTCTTGTCATTTAACATTTTAACTAAATTTTGCTACAAAATGGTAAATTGTAAAGCTTATCCCATGTCGGTTGATACTGAGGTAAAATGAAAATTATCAATTTGTTTATTTTTTTCAGAAACCAAGACCTAGCACTGAAAAATTTGCTAGACCAAGCAGTTTTCCAGAAAGAAATGATAAAACCTGAAAGAAGAATTCCATTTCTTGTTTGGTGCTAAAAGTGATTTGTGTTTCACGCTTATCCAAGGCCAAGATTTCCAGAGCCGACAGGGGAAAAGACTGTGGGTTTTGATTGTGCTTTGCATTATTTTTGTTATTTGCAGTCAGTTACTGTTAGAAAAGGATATTCCATCTGTTTGTTTTTACTTTATCGTTTATAATGGAGGCACTTCTTTTTAAAGAATTTGATTTTCGATATTATGTTTTTTTGTCAAGTTTAAGAGAGGGAAACACTGGTGTGTATCAGATAATTAGATTTAGCATGCTTGACCGAAGTAAAGATATTGTAATTACAGATATTATATGCTTTTGTTTGTTGTTAGTTTTGAGCACTTTATGATGAATTCCTTAAGCACACGAGGAATAAGCAGTTTAATGTATCAAATGTATATTGGCAAGTTGAATACTTTTTGTGACCTCTTTTTTTAAGTGAATATCAGTATTTGCATGTTTTGAAATATAAAAAAAGTTGTAAGGATGAAACTCATCTAATCCTGTAATTACACATAATTTTATACAGATGTTTTAATTTTCTTGCAACTGATCAGTTCAATTTAAATTTTACTTTGAGCTATTTAAATATTTGTAAGGTATTTGTATCAATTTTTCTGAAGTAAAAAAGCTAACTTGACTATAGTTGACTCTTCCTTAGATTTTATCTGGGAATTTTTTGTTTCAGCACATGATATTTTTTATAACATATCATCATAAAATTGAAGTAGAATTGACCAGTTTCATAAAAATTGTTTATAACGTTTTTATTATTGGGTGTATATTTCACTAATTAACAGTTCTGTATCTTTTAACTGTGTCATTTGAATCAAAGATTTTATACAAAATAGTCCCAAGAAATTTAGTCAGATATAGTTGCAACCAATTGTTAGTAGACTGTCTATTTAGAATTTTGTTTAAAGTTTTTGGAATGTTTCAAATTAGAATTGTTTGCAGATACATGTAAGTTTCAAGTGTGATACTTTTTTGCATCCAAGTTCACTTTGTTTTGAAGAAGGTTGTGTTCACTTTATTTAAAGAGATGGTTGATAACACACTATATGTATAAAAGTTTTGCTCATATATTTTAATTCTATGATATCATTCCATACTTACAAAGAAGTATCTTGGTTTTTTGTATTTCCTATTTGTACTTTAATTGAAGCTGACATTATTTTAAAAATTCAGTTGTATCTGAGACTGATGGATGATGTGAATGCATCTCAATAGTTTTATTTTAATTTTATTTTCGATCCTCTTGACCAATGAAAATCTTTTAAATGTGCTGGTATGTCATAAATTATTGATATTCAGATTGCATTAAAAGCCTCTTCATAATAAGTGTTCAAAGCTTCATTTTAAAAGCATTTTCAAGTTTGAAAGGATGTTTTGTTGTTGTATTCATACAGAATCAGTAATAGACTTTAAGGAAGTAGATATCTAAGTATGCTTTTTTTAGTGCGTTCCATCCTTCCCAGTTCAGTACTCTGATGCAATAATGTTTAATATACTAAAGCCATGAAAAAACAAAAAAGTTTTCTGTTCTGTGTTAGGTCTTAATGTAACTGGTGTTGTTTTTTAAAGAATGGAATTCTTTGTTTGTAAGACATATATGGATCATATATGGATGATAATAAAGTATTTCCAATATACATTATCCCAAAAAGGGTTGTCAAAACTACGAAGCAATTCCAAAAAAAAAATGAAAACAGATTTTTTTTCCTGTTCGTGAAATTATGATTATAGTAAATACCTGAAATGATTCATTTGCAGATTAATCTATAATCAAACACAGGAAAACACAAACTACAGTCATAAAATTGTTTATAAAGTATACAAAAATAACTCCCTAACAAAATAATTTGCATTCAAATAACTTCATCATTTTAATACAATTCTTTTTTTATGATTTTGCACTAATTTTTTTATTAGTACTACATTTTCTGCTATTCTTCTGACTATAACACAAACTACCATAACTACAGTTGGGTGCAGACAAAGCATAACACAAAATAAATGCTGCTTCCACATATTTCATATTTCTAGTACAAAACACAGGTTTACTATTAACATGGTCAAAATGAAATCCTTGAAGGTCTACTCAAGTAATTATATCATTACTCATTATTCATTCTTTAAGGGAGATATAAATGGGTCATGCTTCAAGAAAAAATCGAACAAAATTTAAGACATCTGAAAGTTGTTTAGTTCAAAGAGTAAATGTGCGTTAACTTTTTTTTAACAAAATAGAAAATGCTAATTTTTCTAATAAACACAGAGGTAAACATGATAGAAAACACACAATTACTTTTTTATGTCTTCTGAAATTTTGATGTTAACTCTGAGGCAATGTGGCTTTTACATAAAATGCATCTAAAGTTAACACTGTGTTAACTTTAGTATCTGTTAACTTGTTATGCTTGGTTTGCACCAAACTGTATAGTTTGATAAGATGCCAAAAATGTGTTTTTCCTATATGAAGTGTTAAAACAATTCCTTTATCTAAAACTGCTATTTGTGATTAATAACCAAGTTTGCTTATATTTAGTCCTTGAAGCTTATTTATTGTTTGAATTGTCAGATATAATGGCAGCTATATAGATAAAAGCATTTATGTTGTATTGTGTAATGCATAAAATTATAGTAAATTGAAATTGAACATTTACTCTTGAATACTGATATTTATTACAACGAAATTGATAGTAAATGTTATGGCTATTCCATTCAGATTTACAAGTTAATTATTTGAGTATGTAGTTAATACATATGATTTAAAATTTACTTACTTGATAGGTGAACCATTAAAAAACAAACTGGTTATTCATGCAAAAATTCATTGGTTCCAAAGGCATCCTTTAAGTGCATGTTCCATATAATTTAACTGTCTTATGATGACAATTGCTATCCCTTCAACAGATAGTCTAAAAGCTTATAATTAATGTATGGTCCTTATAAAAACATTTTAACTTGATTAATTGTAATTGTTATACAAATTAAAATAGTTAAGCTGTAACTGGAAGGGGGAAACTACCTAGATTGTTTTAAAGATATTATGGACACCATCAACATACTTATCAAAATTAAAAGGTGTGTCTTTCCCACCCCCAGTTATCAAGCAACTTTAAATTGAATAGCCAACAGCCAATGTAACTATGTGTTAATTATTATCATGTAGCTCCAAAGGAGAGGTGGTTTTCCTCTGTCCAGAACACATTTTTGTTGCATAATCTACACAACTATAAGTCAGAGCTTCTTGACATGTGGCACTAAGCTTGTCTTTTCGGTTCTTTTGATGTTTTACTTCCTCTAGGCTGAAAACTTCGATCTTTAAAATGTCATGCCCATATAAGAATTTGTTGTCACATTTTATAGTTGTCCTGTATATGCATGAAATATTTGCCACTGGCACTGGACAGTAAGCGAACAACAATCAATCTCAGCAAATTCAAGTCTTATCTTCTTGATATATGGTGGGGTATAATTAGGGGAAAATACCATAAAGTTTATCTTGTTATTCATGATTTTATCCAAGGTTAGTTATATTTTAGTAATTGAAGTAGAAAAAGATTAATACAGAAAATTAAAATTTTACTGTTTCCTATGTTTTGGAGATCAAACATCAATTTTTGTATACATTAAGTTAAATGTAATTATTAGAAGTTTATTGTGTCATGATATTTCTTGTTATGACAACACACTGAAAACTTTACAATTATTAAATTTTTGGACTATTAAATTGACACAAAGTTCATTTGTTTATCTGTTTGATAAATAACTGTGGGAATTCTGTGGAATATTTCTGTTTTGTTTCTGTATCTTATTTATCCGGTAGTGAATGAACAAAATGGTTTTTGGAGCTATATATAGATATTTCAATTAACCCATTTCGTGACGCATAATGTGGGACTTAAATTTCCTCGACAGAGCAGTTGATTAAACTGTTCTAGCTAGCATTCATTTTATTTTGAAAAGATATCAAATTTCTTTAGAAAAATATCTTACAGCTAGTGATATATTAACCAAAAAAACAGAGCTTTGTTTTGGACTTATAAAACTTAAGTTCAGGTACGTCACTATGAAGGAGTAATCAGTTGCCATGAATTTCAACTGTTTAAAAGTTTGGACTTTGTTTTGCTTTATATATGAAAAATGGTTAAATTTGCAAATATGGATAGCCTTATGCTTGATGTCATTGTTTTTGTAATAATTAATTTTATTCTTTTGAATGTGTGTTGTAATTAAAAGCAGTTTCTTGTGAATGATTGTGAAATGTTGGTTAGTCTGAATACAGATATTTTCAATATAGCTTTTATAGTCTTATAGATTGGCTTACGTTTATCCCTATTATACTTTTTGTCTCTGGAAAATCCTACTGGAATTTGTGATCCAGATTATTTAAAGTTGTAATTTGTAGAAGTACATTTTTATCCATTTCTGGTAAGTTATTGAAGCTATCAGTATTTAATTCATGTCTCTTTTAGTTACAGAGAGTGCAAAACATGGTTTTTGTTTTTTTTCATTTTTAAAAATCAGATTTATTTTATATAAAGCTTGTAAAATATTTGCTTATTCTATCCTTTTTCTTTTTACATAAGGCAAACAATCATATTTCTTTGCTTATTTAGCTAAGTTTGGATACAGTATTGGTTTGATAAAGGACAGCTAACGACATAGAACAATTGGTTTTTAATCATTATCTTAGGTAACCTTATATCATATTATCACCACACTGGGCTAGACCATACCCAAGTTCAATTTACTGAAATACACCAAAGAATAGATTTTGACATTTGTTTTTAATTCCGAATGCAGAATTTTATTAAAGAGTTTGAAAAGTCAAAGTTGAAATCCCCTCTTATATTGATGTAATGTAAGTATTCCTTGTTTAATACCCTCCCCAGAAAGATAGAATCTATGTATATTCCATATATATCATTTCTTTCGTTACATTTGTTGTTTTTGAATGTTAATATGAGGCGGAAGTCCAGAATTTTTTTTATTTGGTTGGGAGATAAGGATATCTGTGATCCAAAGATTAACCCATGGTTTATATCTGTTTTTTTTAAACGAGTACTTACAGCTTAAAGATATGAAATTGTAATTTTAATTCTGTTCCACCTCTTAGTATTATGGACCAATAAAGATTACTATAAGTTGTCATCACATTTTGTCATGGCCCCTGATTTGTATTATCTCTGCCCAAACCTGAAGGAGTTAAGTGTTTGTTTGAGTGTATCTAAACAAATTGTCTACAAGTTCATAAGGAAATTCTTAAGAAAAGTCTTTTGAGCCAGACATCATAATATAACTACTGAGCTGGCACATGTTCATTGCCACTGGAATCTTTTCTTTTGCATGCTTTTAGTTATAAAAGATACAAACCTAATATTATATACACTAGCATTCTCCAACTGTATGAATTAACTACAGTTTTATGCTCAGCATGCTTTCTATAGCGTATCAATTATTGTGATTGACCAAGTATTTTATTAAGCTATATAAGTCTGTTGTACTGTCAGACTGACAATTGTGATAATTTTTTGTTATGTATGTGCTGCTCTGTTGTATATAAACCTTGTTATGTATCTGAGTAAAATTGACACATGATATTTCTGTTTTGTTTTTACTCCCAAAACCAAGATAACTGGAAGTATATGTTCAAGTTATTATAACCCTGCTCCACCTCTGTATGTTCCTACATCTCATGACATTTCTGTCATATTTTTTCTCAGGAACTACAAACCAGAGCTTCATGAAATTCAGTACCATGATTTATATGAGCATGCTATACTATTTGATGAATTTTCAGATTCATTCCTCCTCAATATCCTGTTTACTGAATACTTGCCGTTTTATTAATTATTTGTAAAAATTTTTTAGGAAACTTCATATAAGAGCTTCCTAAAAGTTGTTTTCAGGTCATGTGAACAAGCTATACTGTGTGTATTGTTTGTTGTTTGTATGTCTATTTTTTCAGAAGAGTGAATTGCTGGTTGTTGGTCTGGTCTGTTGTACTGCTGTATATTTTTTATACAACCGCAAAATTTTTGCTGTCATATACCACCGTAATGGTGTGACATTGTCGTCTAGAGACATTTGGTTTCCAGACAATTGCTTGAGTATAAGTGTATGGATCTCTATGAAATTGTACAAGGTTCCATACCACAAACGGAAGGTTGGGAACTGATTTTGGGGGTTATGGCCCAAACCATTTAGGAAAATAGGGGTTGACCATTTTCAATGGGGTTTAATTGAAAGTCTTGGGGTTCTTTAATATGCTGAATCTAACGGTCTATTTAGATTTAGGATTTAAATTCCCATTTTTAAATTGGTCTACATTAAGGTCCAAAGGGTCCAAAATTGAACTTTGTTTGATTCCAACAAAAAATGAATTCTTGGGATTCTTTGAATTGCTGAATCTAAATGTGTAAGATTTTTGATTTTGGGCCTGGTTTTATAATTTGTCCACATTAAGGTTCAAAGGGTCCAAAATGAAACTTTGTTTGATTTCAACAAAAATTTATTTATTACGGTTCTTTGATATGCTGAATCTAGCCATGTATTTAGTTTTTATATGCCCGTTTACGGGAAGTATTATGGTATACCGTTGTCTGTCTGTCCGTCCATCGTCAACATGTCGGACATTAACTCAAAAACGCGTTAACCAATTTGCATAAAACTTTGGTGAATTGTTTATATCTATTGACGTGAGCTCCCTTTCGTTTTTTTTATAAATTTCAGATTTTTCGTTTCCGAGTTATGGGGTTTTATTCATTAAAAAAAGGGGGATTTTCCAGTTTTCGGACAATTTCTCAAGAATGCTTTCACCAACTTGCAAGAAACTTTGTTGAATTGTTTATATCTATTGATGTAAGCTCCCTTTAGAATTTTATAAATTTTACATTTTACATTTCTGAGTTATGGGGTTTTATGCATTAAAAAAAAGGGGGGATTTTCCATTTTTCGGACAATAACTCAAAAATGCTGTCAGCAATTCTCATGAAACTTTGGTGAATTGTTAACATCTATTGATGTAAGCTCCCTTTTGATTTTCATAAATTTCTAATATGACATTGAGAATTAATTGAACTTTATTTGTTTATAGTCTGACAACAGATTTACTAAGTATTGCGCAACAGCACAGTGTATTGCACAACAGCAAGAAATCTTTAATGAATTCAATTCATATAACCAATTTCAAGTTCTTTGACTACATTTATTCAGAAACCTATAATATGTCAAATATTTAATTACAATCCGAATTCAGACCTGTATCAAGCTTGAATATTGTGTCCATTTTTGCCCCAACTGTTCAGGGTTGGACCTCTGCGGGCGTATCCAGCTGCGCTCAGCGAAGCAGTTTATTTATTTTGGGCCCCATTATCAGATTGGTTTACACTGAGGTCCAAAGGGTCCAAAATTTAAAATTTGTTTGAATTCATCAAAAATTGAATTCTTGGGGTTTTTATACAGCCGTTTACGGGATGTATTATGGTATACCGTTGTCCATCTGTCATCAACATGTTGAACAATAACTCAAAAATGCTTTAACCAATTTGCAAGAAACTTTGGTGAATTGTTTATATCTATTGATGTGAGCTCCCTTTCGATTTTTATAAATTTTTGACTTTATGTTTCCGAGTTATGGGGTTTTATTCATAGACCACATTCATTCTGTGTCCGAAACCTATGCTGTGTCAAATACTTAATCCCAATCCAAATTCAGAGTTGTATCAAGCTTGAATGTTGTGTCCATCCAACTTCAACTGTTCAGGGTTCTACCTCTGTGGTCGTATCAAGATGCTCCCTTGGAGCATTTTATCAAAATTTTTGTTTTCATTTTTTGTCGCAACTGCGAAGAATGTCACAGATGGTGAGACATAGGGATGTTAAATGGGCAGGCAGATGTGTCGTACACTATTTGTATAAAGATTTATATTTTAAAAGATAGAAGATTCCGTATATTCTGAAGTTTCTATCTGGCATATGTCCATTATCCTTGACATCATTTTCAGGGTTCAGTTTCACATGATTTTATTACTTATTACGAGTAATGGGATAACTTTATCTGGTATACTGAATCATTGCAAGATCTACATGTCTGTCAGACCTTATTTCATGGACCAGTGATCAACATTAAGTATTTAAACTAGAAGCAATTGGTCAACAATATTTGATATATGGAATGAAAGTAAAGATCTTGATAATGTTATATTTATGTGATACCTGTAGTTAAAACTTGACCTTGAAGACTTTTAACATAATCAAACTTTACATCTTATAGCTAAACATTGCAAATATGACTGACATAAGAGGAGTGCATTAACAATGTATCCCAGTCAAAGGACAATATTTCCTACACAAATTGTCAGATTAAAATGCCACAATAATTTAATCAACAACAGATCATGACAAATATTCGACCAAATATGATAATTCTAGCACAAAAGGATCTGCAGGGAGCAGACTGATGCTTATTATTACTTTTCCTCTGTGTCACAAGCCACCAGGAACACAAGAAAGATATGGTTAATCTACTGGTCTATGATAGCAATTGTCACATTACTAGTCAAAGATCTGTTATGAAGTTGAAGTAGTCAAGTGTTTTACATCTATTATAGATAAACCACTTGATGATAAACAAACAACAATCAGTCCACCAATAAAAATTTGTAAGGGTTCCGCGGAACCCAGTGTCTTGTCTACTTTTGCTGTTAATCGCAGGCTCAACAAAAATGAGGAAAAAAATTAATAAAAATATTCCTCTCTATACTATCTTTTGATTGTAAGTAGCTTCTGTCCAAGTTTGGTAAAAATCTAGGATAGTTTATGAATCTAATAAATGTTTTAAAAAACTGCAGACTGTATGTAATGTTAACTGGAAGAAAAACTAAGTCCATTTATAAGTAAAATACGGAAAAAATGGAATTTTTTTTTTACAAAATTTACTTTTGAATATTATCTTATGATCATAAACAAGCTTCTTTCCAAGTTTGGTAGAAATCCAGGATAGTTTATTAAAGAAATTTATTAAAATTTCAAAAACTTTAACCATAGAGTGAATATTTGTGGACGCCGCCGACGAAGACAACAACGACGACGCCGACGACGGAATGTAGGATCGCTATGTCTCGCTTTTTCGACAAAAGTTGAAGGCTTGACAAAAATGAAGCAATACAACTATGTGGATTTCTAGAGAGTGCCTTTATAGCCAGGCAATAAATTAATCCAAACTGATCAACAATGATATAAGAAATACATGAAGAACAATAAGCTATTCAGTATGCAATAACTGTAAACTGAAGGGTTTCCATGTCAGCTTTGGTTCATATTCTGAATCCGAATCATGTTTCAATGTGTGTCTGTAGATTTCTATTGTTGTTTGGTTAGTTATGCATTCATTATACTACTTCAATACACAGAGTGATGTGCGACAATGAGTGCATTGTAATAATTAGGGGCCTCGGTGGCCGAGTGGTCTAAGTAGTCGAACTACTGTATCACTAGCCAGTCAACACTGAGGTTGTGAGTACTAATCCTGCACAGGGCAGGTGCACTCGACTCCAATCTTAATTGACTAGGATTGTCAGTTTTCTTACCGAAGGTCTGTGGTTCTCTCTGGGCACTTTGGCTTCCTCCACCAATAAAAACTGACCGCCACGAAATAGCACAATAGTGTTGAAAGTGGTGTTAAACACCAATCAATCAATCAATCAATCAATCATTGTAATAATTCCGTTCTTAAAGGTTTAATGGTAAATTCTGAGCTATCATTACCAACATTTGTACAGATGGGTATGTCATTGGTATCAATCTGAAGACACTGGACGTTAAGCAACCAATAATCAATCAATCATCTGAAGAATAATTCACAAAATAAGACAGTTATTTAAATATGACCCAGATGCTAGGGTCATCAAAAGTGCACCATCTAAATATGATCTCTTCAAAATTGCAACAAATGGTTCAAGGTGCCTTGTGGACAATTTGCCTTTATAAAAAGAAAAAAAAAAAAATGCTTCAAAAACAAGATCGGTTTAATTACAAAATTATAAAACAATTTAAATAAATTAGTAACAATCAAATATAATTATAGAGATAAATGTTGAAATCACTTCAAACAAATATGACTAGCATACATTTACCCATGATTAAGTAGCCTGGAATGAACTCTACACAGATATGTTCACAAATTCAATCAACCTATATTTTGTGCAATTTTAAATTTTGATGCAAGAATATCATTTGTCAATGCCATGTTCTGCCTAATTTTTTCTTTTAATGTTGACTTTTGAAGCTTTCTTTTGTAAAAGTCTTTGAGCGAAGTTACTTTGAATTGATTTGTTTTTCCATGAAATGTTGTAATGGATCCACTTATTTCTTTCCAATTTCCAAAGTACTGAATACGATAAGTTCCTATCTGTTGGTCAGCAGGAATATCCCATGTAATGGTAACTTCACTTTCACCTAGCAACATGCTGGTTGAATGCCATTCAAATCTAAAAAATCAATATGTAAAAGTTAACTCAAGAAGAAATTAAAGTTTGTTTTTGATACATACACATGTCCCTCTTGTTCATAGACAAATTCCTCCAGTCTCAGCTACCTCTAGAAACAATCAGCCATGATTAAACTTTGAAATGTAAAACCATACCTATTATCAAGCAATTCTGTCAAGATACATTCTATCAAAATGTAAGCTGTAGATGGGTAGCTAAGATAAAACTTGCCTGAATCTACTGTTGACATTTTCTCAAAAGGACAATGGTGTAAGTTTTAAAAAGGCAGGTGTTGTACCTGAGATTTACATGTAGCGGGAAAGCTACTTTTTAAAAATTTTCCTCAACCATATCCGAGACTCGGGGGGGGGCCACTTACTATGTAATGAGTGGTAGGGATGAGCCGCTGGAATAGGTCACTATTTAATGCTCCATGATATATGAAAAGGGTGAGAAATTCAGATTAAATATATAAATAGGTTGATATTATCACTTGCTTGATTATATCATAAGTATATGAAACTAATCAGATATCAGTACTTATTTTTGATGCGGTTAAACCACAGTCGTAAATGCATCAGCTATTTGTCAAACCATTTAATCTCTATTTATTCCAATGTGTTATTTCCACTGATGCTAGTTATAGATGCTATAAATCCGATTATTTTGACATTTGCACCTAATTAACATTCAAAGGTTTGTATACATAAAACATAACAGTTATGAAAAGAAATTCCATAGTGTCTTAGGGAACGGCAATGTTACTTTTTATATATTTTATAGAAAGATATAAAAGGGGCAAATAAAGGAAAGTATTTAAGATGTGACGAATTTATGGGAAAAGCAAGGTGTGATTATTGTAACTGCTTTGCTTCTAAACATGAACGTGATGGTGAGCGGGACCAAACAAATTCTCTATACTAATGGACCAGAAAATGAAAAATATCCAAATATATCTATAGGTCTGTTTTTTGTTAATTGATATATGACAAGGAATATATTTTTGATATACAAAATATATGAAAAGGGTGGGGTACTCGATGTCTCAGCTGCTCACCCCTACCAATAAAAATATTGAAGTGCCGCCACCGCCCCCCCCCCCCCCCCCCCCCCTCAAAAGAGGTCAGTTATTTCTTTGTTATTTAACCTCTTAGCAGTGCCTATTCCTATTACTGATATATGGCCATTCTACATATCCTGAAGGAATGGAATGAAGAGAAGTAGACTACTGTATACAAGGATTAATAAACATAATCTCAAGCAATTAAAATGTAATTACTTTGTCGGCCATTGTCCATCTGTGTAAACAGTTGTCCAGTTTTGACCAGGACCTAACATGTCAACGGTCAGGAATGTGTTCTCCCACTGAAAATATAAAAAGGCAGTTTTATAAAAAAACAAATGATTGTATTAAATGAAACGTCCATGTTTTTTTGTGATAGTTCTACTGATTATATTTTGGGAATACAATATATACATATGATAAACCAAAAACTATTTTATTAGTGAAAAAATGTCAAAAGGTAAATATTTTTATAGTTGCATCATACCAAATCATGTCTCAATTACAGAGTGACAAGTAACAAAAATATAAGTACACATAGCTACAATGTTCATTAAAAGTAATACACAAAACAACCTGTGCACACATGTAAATGAATGGAAAGTGTACATCCCTTTATGCACAGAGACATTAATATATTATTGAAACCTAAAATTGTCATAACTATTTAGGGTTTTTGAAATACAAATAAAATGACTCTACCTTTCTGTCATTCCTTGGATTGGCTCCAATAAACTTAACCACAACTGAATCTCCCTGAAATAAAAATGGTGAAAAATCTGTTGTAACAACATTCTTATCAACTGTTGCATTTCTTCCATCAGAATTGTCATGAATTATGAGGGATAATGATGTAAATCAATCAAAAGCAAAATATATGGATATTTTTCAGTTTGTGAATGAAACTACAGTAATTACTCCTCAGGTCACTTTCATGATAAAAAATGTCTGTCTGGGTTAGGTACTCCTGACGGATGCTTGAATGGCTACGCCCAGTGTCATATGGTAGTTTTTATGCTCAATGAGTTAAAATTAAGAATTTTTGTGATATTTATAGAAGAATCAAATTCACATCTTATTCAAACCTTAAAATCTTGGTGAATATTTATACATGTATTTTAATGATATCAAAGTTGATAGTGTTAGATTTTGTCAGTTTTTATGGACTTTCCCTTAATGAATTTGCCATGAAGTTCGGTATTTTTGTTATACTGTTTTAAGACATTACACATATGTATCTTTTATTTGAACACAAAATTCACTATTTTGCACCACGTCATGTAAATACTGCATATGGTTCCTAATGGTATCCTTCTTTTGTGTTGAAATACAATGTGACAAATAAAGGTAGAATCTTCAGAATGAAGAAGTAATTAGATCTAGATAACTGCTTGCCTACAGGTTAACTTTAATATCTTTTCAACTTACTTGTTTGTATGAAGGTTTGGCATCAACCACAACATCACCATAATGTGAACCAAATGGTGCATGATCAAATACAACTGGCAAAAGAAATGACAGCTGTTTGTCTAACAGATTTGGAGGAACAGGTCCAGGTGACACAGGTGTTCCCTAAATGAAAGAGAGATGTCAGTTTTATTGCAGTAAGAGTCTTCTCTATTTAAGTGTTTCAGTTGTGGCTTTCAACAAGGAGTTGCACAAAATGTTGTGCATAGTATATATCCATTCTTTAATATGCAATGACAATAAATTCAAAGTATGTTCCAAAAGGAAGTGACTGCCTGGAAGATTTGAAAATTGCCTACACAGCACACCTCATCATAACAGAGTTCTACACCAAATATATAAAAGAACAGAGATCCCATGTCCCCCTCCTTGCACATATTTTATCTATCCAAGGTACAAGGGCAATAACTAAAAAAAAACACTTTTTTTTTGTTCTTTAAAACTTTTCATAAATATCTTAAGAGAAATGAAGGCTTCAGAGCAAATGAAATGCGATTTCTGTTATAATTAATATTTCCAAGGCACATAACTCTTTTAAAAATAATTGATCAGCACTGATTTTTCGAACTCGTCAAAGATATTTCTGATATAAACCTATGATATAAGTTTCATAAAATTCTGGCAAAATTTGTACACATGAGAGCGCTAACAATGCAATTTCCGTATAATCAAAATTTCCAAGGGCATCTCTCTTTTAAAAATAATTGATCGGCACTGATTTTCAAATTTATCAAAGACATTGATGATATAGACCTATAATATAAATTTCATAAAAATCTGGCAAGAATTGTACACATTAGAGTGCTCACAAGGCAATTTTCCATATTATTAATATTTCCAAGCATAACTCTTTTAAAAATAATTGATCGGCACTGATTTTCGAACTCATCAAAGACATTGCTGATATAAACCTAAGAATGACATTTAAGTTTCATAAAATTCTGGCAAGAATTTTTCACAAGAGAGCGCTAACAATGAAATTTTCCATATAATTAATGTTTCCAAGGGGCATTACTCTTTTAAAAATAATTGATCGGCACTGATTTTCAAATTTGTCAGACATTGCTGATATAAACCTATGATATAAGTTACATAAAAATCTGGCAAGAATTGTACACATGAGAGCGCTAACAATGCAATTTTCCATATAATTAATGTTTCCAAGGGGCATAACTCTTTTGAAAATAATTGATCAGCACTGATTTTCGAACTCATCCAAAATATTGCTGATATAAACCTATGATATAAGTTTCCTAAAAATCTGGCAAGAATTGTACACATGAAAGTGCTAAAAATGCGCGGGGGACAAAAATCCCATAATACAGAAGCTGGGTATCATGAAACAATAGTCCATGCTCAATGAGTATATATAATAAAAATTCAAAGTATCTTCAAAGAGGAATTGACTGCTCAGCAGATCTGAAAACTGCTTACACAATACAGCTCATCATTATAAAGTTCCATACTAAATATCAAATCATTCCATAATACTGCAGTCAGGATTCTACTTCATAAAAATTATCTCCCCATTACGCCACCTACTTATTTTTTCAATCGCGAAAAATGAAAGCCATTATAGAGATGACACACTGTCAATTTAGCTCTTGAAAACGAATAATTTATCCACATAGCATCATTACAATCCTTACACGACAGTTGTATTTTAAAAGACAAATGTATCTTCTAGGTCAGATGAACCCTACCAGACAGTCGTGTACACCTTTCAATCATTCCATGTACCAAATATACTTGACTATTGCTTATGGTATCTGAGAAGAGGATCATTCTATGGAAACTAAATATTGACCAGTGAACTATGAAAATGAGGTTAAGGATATGATACCTGCCAGATAGATATGTACGAGGGTCTGGATGGGGTCCTTTATTTTTGTCTTCTTAAAATTTTTGACCATTTTTCTTTATTCTCATATATCTCTATTTTTATTTCAGTATCCCATTATTCTCTATTCTTCATTATTTTGGTCTAATTTTCTCTATTCTTTATATTTTCTGCCCTTTATTCTGCACTTTTTGCCCATTATTCTCTATTCTGTTAACCCCATCAAGACCCTCATGTACACCTTACAATCATTCAATAAACCAAATATAGTTGACATATTGCTTATAGTATTTGAAAAACAGACCAAAACATAAAATCTTAACATTGACATTTGAACCATGAAAATGAGGTCAAGGTCAGATGAAACCTGGCCAACTGACATGTACACCTTACAATCATTCAATACACCACATATTTTTGACCTACTGCTTATAATATGAGAAATGGACTTAATCATGTAACCTTAACCTTGATCACTGATCTATTAAATGTGTTTGAGGTCAGGTGAACCCTGTCTGACAGAAATGTAGACCTTGCAATGAACCCATATACCAAATATAGTTATCCTATTCCTCACAATAAGTCAGAAATTCACATGACAAAAAAAACTAAAGAGACGTTGAAGCATGAAAATGAGGTCAATTCAATTTTGAACAAGTGACTGAGCTTAACTATTTGTGCTGATATTGAGAGCAGAGGGCCATAGAATAAAGGTGTAAAAACTATGGAGTTATCAAATGTATGCAAAGAACTAATTTTCAAAGAACTTATTGTGTGAAAAAAAGGGATTTTTTACCTCGAGAAGCCGCATCACAAAAGACTTTACAGGGTTTGCTAAATTACAGAAAAACCAATCTCACTTTATGCATCAAAAATTTAACCATATATGTAAAAATGTCTCAGCTTCAAAACTAGCCATCATACATATCCAAGTTTACGATATGAGCAGAGGAATTGAGGAAAAGGCTACCATTACTGCCTACCTGAAATAAATTGCGCATCTGTACCCATATATCAGATATTAACTTCGTTACATAAGGCATATGTATTCAAGGTATAAAGCATCCAGGCCTTTTACCCTCTGAAATATAAAGCTTTATAAACATAGTTTACACCATCCATCCCGTATTCTGTCACTATCATCACAGGCGAGACAAAAACTAACAGCCTGGTTTTCACTAACACAACCAACAAAAAACAATTATTACAGATGGCAACCAACAACAACCACCACTGGTATACTTGTAACTGGCTTTGAGACAGGCACATAGTTAAACATGTTTGAGAGTTTTTAACTATTTCCCTAACCTAGGGGGGGAGGGGGGGGGGTATGATAATTTATGAAGGACTAAGGTAAACATGATATAGGCTAGATCTCTTTTATATCTCATCTCCCTTGCAATAAAAACATAGGTATTCAAATGTGCAAGGATATTTCTAAAACTTGAAGGTAAATATTTAATTCTATAATTGAGTGAAATTACAAACCTTAGCCATGGCTTCAGCTAATATCTCAAATTGTTGTATATATGCCTCTAATGTGTGTGGACCAAAAATAGTAGATCCTGCTTCATATCTCTGTGCCTTGAAAATAAAGAAAAATACATATGATAGAGAGAACTTTATATAACTGTAACATCTTATTTTTCACTTGAATTGTGTGCGTTTTTATTTTATGGTTAGCAAGGTTATCAAATATTCTGTCTTAGAAAACCTGCAGCAAAATAACAAATTCATTTTTTAAGTAAAATTCTGTCAAGTTTCATTCAGACAATCCCAGAAGTTACATAATAGAAGACAAAAATAAGATAACTTTATCAAGATATAAACAGATGAAAAATAATGGCTAGTCCAGACATTTTGGAAAGGGTCAGCAACTAACATGTAAATAAAAGTATGACATACCTGATATTCTTCAAATGTTGCAACATAATCAGCATAGTCATTAGATAGTCCTGCAATAACTGGAATGGTATCTGCAGGGAACCCGTTCATAACTAGAGTCTAAAAAGACAAGTAGAACAAGGAATGTCGATATGAATAAATCAACACTATACCAAAAGACTAATAAATAACTATTCCATAATACACTTACTGTCATTGAATTTGGAGGATCTTTTTAGCGCACAACAGTTTAAGTTGTTTATTATACTGTTTTAAATAGTATATATATTTATGTACGTGGCGGATGAATTTTATCGTATGATAATTCTATTAATATACCAATAGAATTGTAACCGGTTTTAGGAATCTGAGTGTATTTAAATTTGAAGTTATCGATAAGGGCGTTGACCATTCGCATGTACACAAGTAGTTTTGTTAGATAAACTTAAGCACATATATATTCGAAAACAGTATTAAATACCTTTTGTAACATTTTTTGTTTGTCTTTTGTAGATTGTTGAGTGCAACATTTTTTAGTTTATTTAAACAGAGGACTAATTCTGTGGTGTGGACTTTATTTACACAATTATAAATCTATGTTATCATTTGATATACATGTATTGCAAATTGAATGTTTGATATATAAAAAGGAATGGTCATCGTGCCTGACAAGTTCTAAAACTAGTGTTTTAGTTATTTCTATTATGAATGAGATAAGATACAGATTGGTTCGAGTATACAGAAATTGTATAGTCTAGTACATAAATAATTTATGTTCGTTTGAACGAAGAGAATTTAGAAAATAATGAAGCATACAAAATATTTGAACTCTCCAGTTTATTGTTGACACATTGTAATAATACCAAAAAATTTGGCAATGTTTTTAAATATGTAACACAAAACTATTAACATACAATTAAAGAATCTTTGTGAGCAAACTTTACTGTCTTGATATTATTTTTTAATAGTAATCCTTTCAATTCTGAAGGTTATCAATCAAGAAATAATATACCTTTTTCACTGCATCTCTAGTTCTTCTGCCTGACATAGTACTGTAAACAAAAATGACAAACTCATAGGAATTCAACTTTCAACTGCAACAGTTTTATTATTATTATTTGTTGATTTCACTCACAGAACTCATTGTTTTTCACTTTTTGGCTTATTAACCTTTCATTTTTACCATTTATCTTTTTATAAAATTTTCCCACATATACATGAATATTGATTAATATCTTAAAGCTAGGATCTCACCAACTTATATTAAACTTAAAATTGATATTTCAAAAGGAATGAAAAAAATACATAACGAAAATTGGAACTTTTTTTGTAGATAAATATTTTCCAAACCTAGACTAAAACAATATATTTTAGACATTTTTAAGAAGAGTTCAAGCACTGTTACTATTAAACTCAGAAATATCTATCAGTCCTTAGACAATACTAATGCTTACACTGACGATGACAAGCTAAAATAAATTAAATATCGACAGCCAAAACAAAATAGTTTCATATGAACACAAGGAATACATTTTGTTTAACTACATTAAAAAATTCATAAGGGTTCCGCGGAACCCAGTGTCTCGCCTACTTTTGCTGTTGTCTATGTTTTCAGTGTGATAGGGGAATGCACATAATAGATTTACAGTTAATGAAATAAAACATTTGAAATGTATGAAAAAAGCTATGCTTGTAAAAAAGGAATACAGTATGCAATCAAATCTATAGATTTATAAAAGAGTTGAAACATAAATTTATTGAATGAACAAATGATAAAGAAAATAATTTTTACATTGCTTGATGATTTATCCTTAATTCAAAAGTCGCAGGCTCAACAAAAATGGGGAAACAATTATTAAAAATTTTCCTCTAGATACTATCTTTAGATTGTAAGAAGCTTCTGTCCAATTTGGTAAAAATCCAGGATGGTTTATGAATCCAATAAACATTTTAAAAACTTTAACTGCAGACTGTATGTAATGTTAACTGGAAGAAAAACTAAGTCCATTTATAAGTAATATATGGAAAAACAGGAAATAAATTTTTACAAAATTTCCTTCTATATAAAAGCTTTTGATCATAAACAAGCTTCTGTCCAAGTTTGGGAAAAATCCAGGATAGTTTAAGAAAGTTATTAAAATTTCAAAAACTTTAGGAACCACAGAGTGAATGTAATGTTAACTGGCAGAAAAACTAAGTCCATTTATAAGTAAAATACTGATAAACAGGATTTTTTTTTACAAAATTTACTTCTGGATACTATCTTATGATCATAAACAAGCTTCTGTCCAAGTTTGGTAGAAATCCAGGATATTTTAAGAAAGTTATTAAAATTTTTAAAACTTTAACCACAAAGTGAATGTAATGTTAACTGGCAGAAAAACTAAGTCCATTTATAAGTAAAATACAGATAAACAGGATTTTTTTTTACAAAATTTACTTCTGGATACTATCTTATGATCATAAACAAGCTTCTGTCCAAGTTTGGTAGAAATCCAGGATAGTTTAAGAAAGTTACTAAAATTTCAAAAACTTTAACCACAGAGTGAATATTTGCTCGACAATAACACATTTAACACAAGTTAGACAATCATCTTTAAGATGTAGATTGGAATTATAATACTGACTTGCTTGAAAGGAGATTATTATTATTGTACTTGTATTTATATGTTTTGACAATATCATAGCTAGTTAAGAAGGAAAAGGATGATAAAATGCCATTATGATGAATAAAGTATCTTTTGGATTTTCAAATATTTTGGCATCCAGCATCACTGAAGAGACATCTATTGTCAAAATGTGCATTTGGTGTATACAAATTGGTACAGATAATATTATTGACCGTCCCTTTTCTTCTGATTCACCTTTAAGTAATGGACTTCTTGAAGTGCTTTGGCTATAATGCAAAGAAGTTTTAAGTGTATGCTCTACTTCTTACGTAAATTCTGCTGGAACAGCAATTAAAGCTAATTGCCCTATCCTCAACAACTGAACATCTACAATTTCTGGTTCCCACATATATGGAGATGACATCTATTAATGATAAAGCAATACAAACATATTGATAGGGTAGAAGATTTGAATGTCTTAACATTGTACAGATCATCTATATCATTGTACACATTTTGATTTGGTCATTGTATCAAGTAATATAGACTGAAGACAAACTACTGTAAATTCAGAAATTATTGCGTGCATTTATTATTGCAATTTTGTTATTTTAGACTAAAATGCAATTTTAATTTTTGCGATATTGAGATTATTACCCTGTCGCAATTTGGTAATAATAAAAACATCGCAATAATTTCTGAATTTACAGTACATGTTTTTACGTCTCCAGTATCCAGTTATACTTCAGGTTTCATTTTCTTTCTGTTCTTACCATTCAGTATCTGATAATGTAAGAAATATTCCACAAAAGTAGCCAGTGTATATGGAAAAGGATTTTTAGAATGTTTGTTATTCCCTAATCTTAGTATGACCTTCGACCTAAGATGAATTTAGCTATTTTTTAGGTCTCTTATTGGTAATATAACTCTTCACATGTTTAGGTCTATACATCCTTGGCAAGGATCCAGAATATTTTTTTACACAATTTCGGTCATTTTGAGATAACTTAAAAGTTGGACCCTTTTTTCAAACTGTCGAAATTATTCACACTAGATTCATAGCATCAACGAACTTGTGTTGACTGTTTCATTGCATTTTCTTCATGAATTTTCTTACTGTTTTTCTAAAAACATACAGTTAAACAGTTAATGGAATGCAACAGTTTAAAATTGAAATGATTTTAATGACTCAAAATGGTAAATTTCTCAGACATTGTTAACGTTTCTTTCGATTCTGAAGATGAAATTAAAACAGGAAGTTTCACGATAATACTAAAGTACGAGTAATTCCGAATTCATTTCCGGGATTCATTCTGTTTATCAAATTGACTGGAAATTACAGGATTTTTAATTTTATTACCTTTAAATGTGTTTGAATATAACAGATAATAGTTGCATTCATTTAATTGAGCATGAAATCATTTTGCATTTTACAATTTAGTGTCTAATCTATTGAAGACAATTCCAGGTATGCATAGTAAATAAAGCACACATTAAAATCACTTTTTTCTACGTAAATTAAATCAAGTTTTAATTTCAAATCAGAATTGCCAATTGTCTTTGCTGAAAAGTAATTAAATAATGAAGAAAGTTGTCATAGAATTTTAATTACTTTATAATATCAGTTCTGAGCTTGTGATCACTGTTAGGTGTGAATTAAAAACACAGGTAAAAAGTGATTAGCAATCATTGGCCAAAATTTCCCAGAGGCATTAATATAGTTATTCGGAGGGCCCTCAGGATTATCATAATATACTGGAGTAGCATTTTTCTTACAGGAAAGGGATTACAAAACAAAAACAAGTGCAAAATGGTGATAAAGAAACCAGATCTCAATGAAATGGCCAAACTTATTTATGTGAAAAAAATTAATTTGTCCTAAATCACAATCTGACATTAAGGACAAATAGCTTTCAGTTTAGAACATGACTGGTAAATATGACCGTTTCGGGACCCTTGATCCTTGGTCATTAAAAAGTTTGGTTTGAGCATTCCTGATGAAGGTAAAACAGAAAAGTGTTTCAGATACAAAAAATTCATAAAAATGTTATTATTATTATTTTCCTTCACTTAGACTTTGACATTGGACACATTACTTGTTCTCATCTGAGACTAATAGAAGTATTAATCCTAGTTCTCACCTTTTCATACAAAACTGTAAGAACTATGGGCATAGCTCACAAATTAATACCTCTCTTTTGCAATGAAACGGCAAAGTCCATATATTCAAACTGAGATGTCTGGTATGCTACTTTTTCTCAATTTTTTAGTATCTAATATTATTGACTTAAGAATCTGACACTCTACCTGCCTTTCCTCTCCAATATAAAAAAGTTAAACTTTTAGTATCAGACATATTACTAGTTCTCACCTCTCCAGTATCCAGCAATATAGGTTTTGGTTTGTGACATGCTATTTGTTCAGTTGTTGGTGCTTTCAGGAAACTACTTATCAGGTTCCAGAATGGGTTGGTTGAGTTAGATCCTATGTGAGATACAAAGACATACATTTTTCAATATTAAATTACATTATTCTAAAATCTAAAAACCCATATTGCAATCATTTAACCATGAAACTATTGTTATAACATCTTGATGTAGTTTACATTGATATTGCATCTTATTCAAATCAAACTTCCTTAAACCTAAAACATGATAACCAAACTATGAACATTATATCCTACCATAACATTTATTGTGTGGTTCACATCTTTCAGTCTAGTCTTTGATGAAATTTACTAAAATAATGTATATCTTCTTTCGAGAGAACAAATCTACTAACAGACCAAATCACATATCAACTGCTTACACAGACCAAATAACATATCAACTGCTTACACACGGGACAGAAAAAATACACACAATACAAAGCAATTTATTGAAATTATGTATAAAAACAACTTGCTGCTGTGTGATCAATTTTAATAAGAATACTTTTGACCTTGAGAGCTTCTTATTGCAATTAAGTAAATGGTAGTCATCTTAACATTTTTTAATAAACAAGTCTTCACTTTAACGATTTTCTTGAAATCTGCTGCATGTTTTTACCTTGTTCAAAATTAAATGCCCCAGGTCCATCAGTAGTTCCTGCAGCAAAGCTGTATCCCATGGCAGGTTTACAGGTTTTTACCTGTTATAAAAACAACAGACAAATATTATAGTTTAGTTACTTGGGCATGTTTAATGTTCTAAAATTATCACAAAACATTTCATAATATATATTCTATTTATATATATTTACTTCTATTATGTGATTCCCTACTCATGCAGAGTTATGTTTTATTTTACAGTATTAAAATAGGCACATAAATAAGATGAATTAGAAGAAAAGTACCATGACTGTTACTGTCACCATTATAAATGGTGGTAAATGGGTGTTTTCTTGAAATCCATTTTCAAATAGTAGTACATGCTTTATGCTGAAAAAATTCACTGTTCAAGCCCTCAAATCATGACATTACAAGCACTTACCACCATCTTAATAATACTGTGTTATTCATGGGATACCAATTTGTTGTGGATTTTGTGTGTATAGATTAACTATGAATTTAAATAGTCAAGGAAATACACATTTACTATACCTTTGTATGCAAACTTTAGCAAAAACCATGAAAACAACATTCACAAAAATACATTTTTTTCCCTCAATCCATGAAAGTTGGTATCCAAGAAAATAAATGAAGCCACAGTAATAGTTATATATATATCTTTTGTAATATTTGACCACAAGGCGCCGCAGTAATAGTTATATATATCTTTTGTAATATTTGACCACAAGGCAAAAAGTCTGATACTCTCTTAATTATTTTTTTCAGATTTTTTGTATATTGTCCTCTATATTGATTCTGTCTTCAACATATTAATTCCTTTTCTTTTGCAGTATTTCACTTAAAGTAAATCATTACATTTTTTATTTGTTGATGCTAAGCTTACTATTATGTACCAGTTAGGTAACTGTAAATACATTTGTATTGAGAAATAGTATTGACTAAATCATAAATAAATTTCATACATGTGTATAACCTTTTTAAGACATGTTTTCAAGAAACAGGAAGTAAATTATTGAGAAACCGAAAACATGTCATACAGTATTGCATAACCAGATGAAGCTTTGTGTCATATATCAAGAAGCTACGACTTGTAGTTGCTGCAATAAAATTGAGACAAAAATTTGTTAGACGGACACCCAGTATACCCCTTTTTTGAGCAGAGGTATAATAAGCATATCAGTTTTTGTAGTATTAAAATATTGTCATCAAATTCTTAGTATATGAACCTACAATTAATTGACAAGCTAATAGTTTACAATTTTTTTTTTTCAACTTTGAATATTTACATACCTAAGTTGTAGCATTAAGCTGCACCTCAACTTTTGACATATCTACATAAGAATGGTGGAAATCTACTAAAACTTTGAATATTTACATACCTTAGTTGTAGCATTAAGCTGCACCTCAACTTTTGTCATATCTACATAAGAATGGCGGAAATCTACTGGACCTGTCAACATTGTTTTGGCGGAATTATATAGTTCCTGTAAAAATGAGTCATAATAAAAACTATTTGTATATTTATTCAAGCAAAAAATGTAACCAGACATATTTTGATTGTTCCTAGAATTTAATTTCACACATTTAAAGATTACCTCATATTGCAATATAGAAAAAGTGAATTGGATTATCTCCCCTGTTACATGTAGGACAAAGTTTATATTTCCTTTAGGCACATTCTCCAGTAGTGTTCTACAACTGTGTAAAGTGTCATCAATATCTGTCCAGCCATTTAGGAGAAGTTCTGCTTATGAGAGATAATTATCACATATTGCAATAATGAAGTAGGTAAATTTGATTATGTCCAATTTAGCAAGTACGATCTTGATTATATTCTTTTGTGTACATCCTCAGTTAGTGTTCTATAACTGTGTAAAATTTCATTGATATCTGTCTAGATGTATTTCGAACTTGATCTGTGTTTTGTGGTAATAAGCATTGTGTATAAGTTTTATAACATTTGGTTGAGGCAAACTAAAGTTATAGAAAGGAAACCAATTTTGGGGACTTTTACAGACTGACAGGACGGACAAGGGTAACACTTCATGCCCCTGACGCCTAGCAGCGGGGGCATAATTATTACTAGTAATTGAGTCTTTTTATAATATGCTCTGCACCTAAAGCTAAAGCTAATAGACAGATATCTTTAACATTACTCTGTGACTGGTGAATTTTTATAGTCCAATTAAACAGACAGTATTACAATAATTGACAAAAATGGGGTCATCGGACTCGTTTTCTTGCTACATAATAAAATAGTTAGATTCACAACACATTCTATTATAAAAATTATTTTATCTGAGTTATCTCACCTTATATCTGAGTTATCTCCCCTAATGTGGCAAAGTTAAAAAAATGAATCAAACAAAAATATTCTCTTTTTTGTAAAAAACAGCCATAAATATGATAAAACGCATAATTTTCTATATTAACATGAACAGTCTTACACATGAATTACATACTACTCTCAAAATTTGCAAATTTCGTCAAAGATCTAGACTGATTGTTATCTGCTATTTCAAAATCAAAGATGGAGGAAGACACCCCAGCTACCTTAATCAATAAACAAGTGAAAACTTAGTCAACAATCTTACCAATGCCTTTTTATATTGGTTTTCTGCAATGATTTTTGTACTGTCAAACATATCTTTTCCTGGTCCAAAAGCTACACACATTTCATTCTGAAATGTTTTATATAATGTTATCATAGAGAAATAGTTAAAATATTATTTAAAATGTTGCTATTTTAAGATTCTTTGAAGACATGTTTTAAAAGAATCTTAATAAGAAAATGTACAATAAACACCAATTAAAACATGTTAAAATGAGAAAATGAAATGAAAAATGAGACACTTACCCTGCCATTACATGTACTGTGTGGTGAATCACATGGTTTCCCTGTATCTAAACACCTGGGACCAGCTGTATTTGGAGAAACATCACCTTCATTAGCTTGAGCAAAAGCAGCAACAAATTTACCCTTTTCCTGTATTAAAATAAGAAGAATTATGAATTGAGGAAATGAAACATTTAAAACTTACAGCACTGAGCATTTAATTTTTAACTCAACCTAAATTTCAATAAAACTGGGCAAGACATTAAAATATTGTATATGGGATAATAATAGTAGGGGAGGTTTGTCATGGGCTTAATTCAGGCTAAAATAAAATATAACAAAATCAGAAGATAATAGCTGCACTATCAGAAGCAACATACAGTGTTATGCCATATTAAGTCGATCAAAAGACATTTTACAATAATACTTTTCTATCCAAATGCATCACTACAAGTAATTTATTTTTTAAAATACTATATGTGTGATTCAAAATTTTTATATGGAACAGTACATCAGATTTTTGTTTTTGTTTAGTATTTTAAGCAGTGTTTTGTGGACTTCTTTGTGCTTTTTTTTGTCAGTTTATCTTCAACTGAGTTTTGAATGTCTCCTTGGTATCTTTTGACTCTTTCTCACTTCTTGTGTGATTTCTCGGTAGCATGCTCATTTCAAGTGCAGCAGGCAGTGGGGTCAATATTCATAAAAAATTGCTTGGAATCAAAATAATGTGTAATGGATGAGGAGACCTGTGCTCCTGCAGGTTCTTACTATGTGAGCATTTTAAAAATTAAAAACAAATTCACCATGTCGGCTAAGTGCAAAGAAGGTTTCTAATTCATCCCTACATAAATTTTATGGATGCCATCATGAGTGGGTGGACCGTTATGGAATATCTGTTTAACAGATGACGACGGATATTTTCTAATTGTCGTAACTAAAATCCTGTCCCCTTTTCCCTGACCGAATTAAACTTATCACCAGGTTTGTACTCACATGAGCAACAAATCGGGTGCCATATGTAGAGCAGGATCTGCTCACCCTTTCGGTGCACCCGAGATCTGCTCCCAGTTTCTAGTGGGGTTAGTGTTGCTCAGTCTATAGTTTTTCTATGTTGTGTTTTGTGTACTGTTGTTTGTCTGTTGGTCTTTTTCTTTTTAGCCATGGCGCTGTCAGTTTATTTTTTGACTTATGAGTTTGAATTTCCCTTTGGTATCTTTAGCCTCTTTTTTAGAAGCATATATTTGAGTTTAAAGCTTACATGTCTGTCTTTAAACTTCCATCCATATAATATATTTCTTGAGTAAATATCGGAAAAAGTAATTAATTGTAATGGAGCTTATAATTCTATTTCTAACCAATGATGGGAAGGCTCCTCCATTCTTGTTCATCTCAAACAGTTGTTCTGCATATCCTTTGTTATCACTGCTGATTAAATGGTTTGTGTTATTCATACTCGTACAATGAACTGCAAACCAACTAAAAAATAAACAAGAATGTGTCCATAGTACATAGATGCCCCACTCGCACTATCATTTTAAATGTTCAGTGGACCGTGAAATTGGGGTCAAAACTCTAATTGTAATTAAAATTAGAAAGAAAATATCATAGGGAACATGTGTACTAAGTTTCAAGTTGATTGGACTTCAACTTCATCAAAAACTACCTTGACCAAAAACTTTAACCTGAAGCAGGACGGACGAACGAACCGATGGACAGACCAGAAAACATAATGCCTCTACTACTATAGTAGGTGGGGCATAAAAAATAAATAATTAAATATTTGCTATAACAACAAATATCTGTTCAGTGTAAATGAATAATATTCATAAGACCAGCACATGATATCATTAAGAATGTTGAGTATAAAATTGTGGTTTACCCTTATTACCTTTGATGTCAAAACTTACCAGAGTAAACTATTCAGATAAATATCTGATATAAATGCAATACTCATTTAAAATCTTACTATTTTGTATAAAATGATTATCAGTAACAGTAACTCCTTTTTTGCAAATATAAATGCAAATAAACAGTGTGTGATATGAACAATACTGCCATGACGTAGTGAAATGTCCCCTGCCGCTATGTAAATGATGAATAAAATTTATCTGTATTACCTTATCATTCCGATGTCCTTCTCTTCAGCATCAACCAGCTTTAGTACAGTCATGTTCTTATCTACATCATACTTGTATCTGAAAGAAATGTTTTCCAATCAGCAATAAAATGCTTCGCTGGGCGCAGCTTGATACGACCGCAGAGGTCGAACCCTGAACAGTTGGGGCAAGTATGGACACAACATTCAAGCTTGATACAGCTCTGAATTTGGATTGTGATTAAATATTTGACACAGCATAGGTTTCTGACACAGAAAGAATGTGGTCTAAGAACTTCAATTTTTTTAATTTACCTATTATGGTCCAATGTCCAAAATCAAAATACATGGTTAGATTCAGCATATCAAAGAACCCCATATATTCAATTTTTGTTGAAATCAAACAAAGTTTAATTTTGGACCCCAACTTGGACAAACTTGAAAACTGGTCCCATAATCAAAAATCTAAACACATGTTTAGATTCAGCATATCAAAGTACCCGAAGAATTCAATTTTTGTTAAAATCAAACTAAGTTTAATTTTGGACCCTTTGGACCTTAATGTAGACAAATTTAAAAAACGGGTACCTAAATTAAAAATCTAAAAACACAGTTAGATTTGGCATATCAAAGAACCCCAATAATTCAATTTTTGATGAAATCAAACAAAGTTTAATTTTGGACCCTTTTGACCTCAATATGAACCAATTTGATAGCGGGCCCACAAATAAAAAATCTAAATACATGGTAAGATTCAGCATATCAAAGAACCCCATATATTCAATTTTTGTTGAAATCAAGCAAAGTTTAATTTTGGACCCCAATTTGGACCAACTTGAAAACTGGGCCAAAAATCTAAAATCTAAATACATGTTTAGATTCAGCATATCAAAGAACCCCATATATTCAATTTTTGTTGAAATCAAACAAAGTTTAATTTTGGACCCCAACTTGGACCAACTTGAAAACTGGGCCCATAATCAAAAATCTAAACACATGTTTAGATTCAGCATATCAAAGAACCCTAAGAATTCAATTTTTGTTAAAATCAAACTAAGTTTAATTTTGGACCCTTTGGACCTTAATGTAGACAAATTTAAAAAACGGGACCCAAAATTAAAAATCTAAATACACGGTTAGATTCGGCATATCAAAGAACCCCAATAATTCAATTTTTGATGAAATCAAACAAAGTTTAATTTTGGACCCTTTGGACCTCAATGTGGACCAATTTAAAAACGGGGCCCAAAATCCAAAAACTTAATACACGGTTAGATTCAGCATATTAAAGAACCCCAAGAATTCAAGAATAAAACCCCATTGAAATTGATCAAGAAATAAGCAATTTATACGAAGTATCTTCTTTTGCACAATACTGTGCAATTGAATATTTCTTGCTATTGCGCAATACTGTACAATTGACAATTTCTTGCTATTGCGCAATATTGTGCTATTGGATATTTCTTGCTATTGCGCAATACTGTTAAATTAAAGATTTCTTGCTATTGCGCAATACTGTGCAATTGAAGATTTCTTGCTATTGTGCAATACTGTGCAATTGAAAATTTCTTGCTATTGCACAATACTTATTATATAATAATTTACACATCCTGTTTGGTGTGTATCTCCTACCATATCATTATTATTTGCTTTTAAATATAAATCAGAAATAACCAACTTAAAATGGAAAATTTTAAAAGAAAAAAAAAAGGAAAAAAAGAAAAAAAAAAAAAAAAACCCCCCCCCCCCCCCAATTTTTTGAACCCCCTTATGATTCATCACCCCCAAACTCAATCCCAGCCTTCCCTTTGTGGTATGGTACCTTGCAGTACAATTTCAGAGAGATCCATACACTTGAACACAAGTTATTGTCTGGAAACTAGAAAAATGCTTATTTTTGGCCCCTTTTTGGCCCCCAATTCCTAAAATTTTGAGGCAATTACCCCCAAACTCAATTCCAGCTTTCCCTTTGTGATATGGAACCTTGTAGTACAATTTCAGAAATATCCAAACACTTACACACAAGTTATTGTCATGAAACTAGAAAAATGCTTGTTTTTTGCCCCTTTTTTGGCCCCTAATTCCTAAAATTTTGAGGCAATTACCCCCAAAATCAATTACAGCCTTCCCTTTGTGATATGGAACCTTGTGGTACAATGTCAGAGAGATCCATACACTTACACACAAGTTATTGTCTGAAAGTTACAAAAATGCTTATTTTTGGCCCCTTTTTGGCCCCTAATTCCTTAACTGTTGGTACCATAACCCCCAAAATCAATCCCAACCTTCCTTTTGTGGTATTGAACCTTATGGTGAAATTTCATGGAGATCCATTCACTTAAACTAAAGTTAGAGTGCGAAAACCAATGTGTCTTCGGACGACGCCGGACGACGACGACGACGACGACGACGACAACGACGACGACGACGACGACGCCAACGTCATACCAATATACGACCAAAAAATTTTTAATTTTTGCGGTCGTATAAAAATTTATACAGAACTCCAACATACCTAGACCCACTAATATTTTCATATAATAAAACAGACATGTTTACAGCAACCTAATATAATTTTTAAAACCAAACCTGTGGATTATGTTTCAGAAATCACAAATTTGTTATCAACTGTATCTTTAGAAATATGATTGCTACATATATGTTATTCTATATTCAGATGCAGTTTAATGAATTCTAAATTCAAACAAAATTTCCTAAAAATCAAAAATATCAGTTAATTAAAGAATATTCAGTTAGCAAGCTCAAAGTTATATGATTCAGGACAGTAAAATTGTCAAGAACAAATCTACTCTTTTTTTGTATGACCTTGACCTTAGACAAAATGAATTGAAAATCAATAGGGATCTTCCTCTTCAATCTCTTACTATATGTGATCATCTATCCAAGGTTGTATTCCCATATAATATATCCTAAAACCAATTTTCCAATTAAACGGAGAATGTGTCCATGGGACACAGATGATGCCCCACTTGCATATAACGTTATAAAGAGGCATAACTCGAGAACGGTAATTGTGACGACACCCAAATTCGACCTTAATCTGTGGTAATAAGCATTGTGTATAAGTTTAATAACATTTGGTTCAGGAAAACTAAAAGTTAGAGAACAGAAACCATTTTTGGGATGTATGTACAGACGGACAAGGGTAACACTTAATGCCCCCTCCGATGAAAGCGGGGGCATAAAAAAACAATTTGAGTTGTAAAATCCAGTAACCAAAATGACTGACTAACTGATGGGTGAAAAATTATATACCCCCCTTCTGAATACTTCGCAGGGAGGGGTATACTTATGTATATGTTGCTTTAATGTTCATTTGAACTCAGTGAAACACCAACTAGACCTGTTTTGATGGTGTTAGCTAGCAACTAATCAAAATTTAAAAAGAGTTTGATAAGACTCAATGAAAGGGCAAAAACTTTTGTGTACCAGTAAAAATCTGTTACGATGTAGACCTCTTCATTACCTGGCTCTTTCTTCTGGTGGGTTGTACAAATAAGATGTAGGACTCCTGTTTATATTACTCTCCAACAATTCTCCACTGTTTACATAGATATTGCCTGGCTTCTGGTTATTGTGAGCCCTTTCTATACTCTAATAAATGTAAAATCAACTCTTTGAAAAATTAAGCATATAAATATCTTAAATAATTCCTACTAAACCTTAGCAAAACAGTCCTGGATAAACAATAAATGGCAAATGTAAAATGTAACGGCCATTGTTAAAATGCTACAGTTGACCTTGAACACTTCAACTTATTGATTTTTCACCAAAGAACCAAGGCTTCCAAAACGGTCATATTTGCCGGATAAATATAAATTTATCTGACATTGTCCGACTGGGCCAAGCATGAAACGGACATGCTATGTGGGTTTGCCATTTCAACGTTCATGTTATTTAAAAAAAATCAACCATTTTAACTTGACCTTGTGTCTTAATCAGCCACACTTTTCCCGTCAGAAATGTGACAGTACTCTATAAACAAGCCCTACTTTAATCCCCTCTCATTGTAATCAAGGTTTATTAAGTGTCTAACAGGTGAGATTAACCTGTGATCACCTGTGTCGGGGAAACTATTTGTACCGGACATCAATCAATCTTTTTGGAAGTTATTTTTTTATTTAAATTAAAAACATTCCTGGTTCAAATTAAACTACTTTTCAGCAAAATAGATTTAGACTATCAGAAAAACTTATTTAAAACAATAAGATCATAATTTACAAGCAACATGTAAACTATTTTGTACCAGACATTGATCGCTCTATTTATTCCAAAGTCATTTTTTTTAAATTTCAGCGGTTTGCATCTTATCAATTTACTGTAGTCAAAAAGATTTAATTATCAGAAATACGTATATGAACATAATTTGAGGAAAAATTTTAAAAGGTAGTAATAAAGGTTGTACCGGTAAGTGAAAAATTGTCAGAACCACGTTGTTTCAACTAGTACACGATATGTGGTTTAATTAAGCATGTGAATTTTTCAAAAATGCTAAAATTATCATTGATACCTTTATCTAACATTCATTTCAAGTATTTTCCTGAAGAAATTATGTGGAAAGAGGTACTTAATCTCAATGGTGCTTTGAAAACGTACACGGATTTTACGTATCCGCCTCTGGTCCATGTTTTATCATTGTCAAGTCAACATCCTGTATTAGAAAAAGGTGCTTTTTAAAATCAAAAGCGAAGTTGTTGACAGCATAATTTTCCTCAAATAAAGAGTCTAAGGCAGATATTAGTATGCTGATGTTGCACACTTCGAATGATGCACTGTCAATTGATCAGTTTAGGTCAGAACATCGAATTTATAACAAAAGTCAAGTTTAAAATCGTTTTTGTGTCAATCACTGTTTATATGATGCCCAACTGATTAAAATCTTGCCTTTTGTTACAAAATCTTAAGGGATTGAAATCGGGATAAGACAAAAAATGTCCGGCTGTCTCAAAGACAAAGAACTAATAAAAATGTCTTTATTCCAACATCATTACAGGAAAATGTTTTGTGTACAATAAAACGTTTTTTTGATGATGTGTATGCTTCATCACAGAAATGGACAGAATCATTTTTACAATTATATGTATTAGTTTTATCACATTACTACAAAATTGGTTTAAAAATTAATCTTGACATATCATATATATAAAGGTAATAATTTCATGATTATCTTATTGATGTCCACTGTCTTGAGCAAATAATTTACAGTAATGAACATCTGTTTTTAATCAACCTACCATAACAATTCCTTCTACCAAAGCATCAAAAGTCTCTTTGACAAAACCAAGAGATGTAATATCATAAAGAAGATATTGATGGAATCCACCCGGTCCAGAATGCGTGTGCGTTCCACTGATACATACATTCCTTTCAGTATATAAGTTACCATACTTAGATTTTAATCGTTTTATTATCTGAAATAAACAAAATTACAATAAATATAAAATATGTACTAGCAAAAAAAAATGAAAATAACTTAATGTAAATGCACTATAATTTCTATGTAATCTTTAAATATGAAATGAATGTTTGTCCAAAAAAATTAATGTTATGGATGTTAAAAATATGAGCTATACATGATTAAATCATACACTGACGCAAACTTTTCTAAAGCATACAAACAAAAAGATACTTTTTCTATCTTAAAGTCAATGGAAGGCTACAGTTATAACAGGAAGAATCGCTTTAGTTTCCAAACTGAAGCATGATACTTGTTCTAGCCAACAGATTGATAGACAGAACAAGAGACATCAAAGAAGTTCTGAGGGAGAAATTGATGCATAAACTTAAACTTGAAGTATCTGGAGTCTCTCAGAACATGCAGAATGAAACCAAACTCACAGCAGATTCACCTTTTATTTTCAATAGTTATGATCAAATATATTGAAACACTTTCTCCAAATCTGGTCTAGAAGCCTGTCTTGCCTGATACACCAATTAGCAACATTTTGTCCTTAAACAAATGTCAACACTAGAGATAAATAAATGTGGATAGTGTCCACATTTGGACACAGATGATGCCCCCGCTTGCATATCATATAGTTATAAAGGCACATAACTGAAGAACGGTAAAAGTGAAGCTACCCAAATTTGAACTTGATCTGAGTTTTGTGGTAATAAGCATTGTGTGTAAGTCACATAACATTTGGTTGAGGCTAACTTAAGTAGAGAACAGACAGAAACTAAAAATTCAGCAATTTTTCTATAATTTGTAAACACGCATAACTCTAGAACAGTTGTGTAGAAGTTTTATAACATTTGCTTGAGACAAACTAAAGTTAAGAGAACGGAAACGAAAAATTCAGCAATTTTTATGTTTATAAAGGGACATAACTCAAGAATGGTAAAAGGGTCGCCACCAAATTTCGTACTTAATCTGTATTATGTAGTAATAAGCATTGTGTATAAGTTTCATAACATTTGGTTGAGGCAAACTAAAGTAAGAAAACGGAAACAAAAAATTTGTACTTGACCTTAGTTTTGTGGTAATGAATATTGTGTATAGGTTTCATGATGTTTGGTTGGGGTAAACTTAAGTTACAGAATGGAAACTAAAAATTTTGCAATCTTTCGATTTAGAAAGGGGCATAACTCAATAATGGTTAAAGTGACACCACCCAAATTCAACTTGATCTGTGTTTTATCAGTGGAAGTCAAAATTAAACATTGCATTGTATAAAGCATTGATTGTGGTTGATTCAACTATAATCATGGACAAAGGAAGATAACTCCAATTTTAAAAATTACTTGATATTTAGAGGAAAATAAAAATTTAGCAATTTTTCCATTTATAAAGGGGCATAACTCTAGAACGGTTAAAGTGACGCCACCAAAATTCAAACTTGATCTGTGTTTTGTGGGAATAAGCAGTGTGTACAAGTTGCATAACATTTGGTTGAAGCAAATAAACTTAAGTTAGAGAACAGAAACTAAAAATTTTGCAATTTTTCCATTTATAAAAAGGGCATAACTCTAGAACGGTTAAAGTGACACCACCAAAATTCAAACTTGATCTGTGTTTTGTGGTAATAAGCATTGTGTATAAGTTTCATAACATTTGGTTGAGGCAAGCTTAAGTTAGAGAACAGAAACTAAAAATTTTGGAATTTTTCCATTTATAAAGGGGCATAACTCTAGAACGGTTAAAGTGACGCCACCAAAATTCAAACTTGAACTGTGTTACGTGGTAATAAGCATTGTGTATAAGTTTCATAACATTTGGTTGAGGCAAACTCAAGTTAGAGAATGGAAACCAATTTTGGGACGTACGTACGTACGTACAGACGGACAAGGGTAAAACTTAATGCCCCCTCCGCTACCGCAGGGGCATAAAAATAATACTTCAAATAGACTGAGCATAAGATTAATGTTACCAATCTGTAGTTCTATAAAGGCACAACAAATAGACTGAGCATAAGATTAATGTTACCAATCTGTAGTTCTATAAAGGCACAACAAATAGACTGAGCATAAGATTAATGTTACCAATCTGTAGTTCTATAAAGGCACAACAAATAGACTGAGCATAAGATTAATGTTACCAATCTGTAGTTCTATAAAGGCTCAACAAATAGACTAAGCATAAGATTAATGTTACCAATCTGTAGTTCTATAAAGGCTCAACAAATAGACGGAGCATAAGATTAATGTTACCAATCTTTAGTTCTATAAAGGCACAATTGACAATCATGCTCTTTTTTTTTAATCAAATATCTGTGACAAGAAGCTATAAAACAGGTGTAAATACATTTAAAATATTTTAAATTATTTTCTTTTACTTCAATTACCTTTCAACAAATATACATGTATATAAAAATATAAGGAGATAATGGTGTATAGTTGCAAATGAAAAGATATTCATTAAAGACATAGATAAGACAAGAACAATTAAATGTACATGTCACCATCCCCTTTAACAATGAGCAAAACCAATACTGTATAGTGAGCTATAAAAGACCTTAGATGACAAAAATTCAATATGAAATAATTCAAAAAAGAAAACCGAAAGCCAGATGAAAACTAGTACAATATATGTAGCATATCAGATACCAATGACAACCACTGGATTAAAGGTTAAAACAATTTACTTAAGGCAAATAACATTTAATTCTTACCTCTAACTTTAAGCCTTGAGATTGCATGCATGAATCTGTATTGACAAATACTATGCGACTGCTGTTCTTTATATCAGAGATAATAAATGCTCTGCTGTACTGTCTCAAATGTATTCCATGTGTGGTTTGTGCTGGGTTGGCATATCCCATCTAATTTTTTAAAAGTAAATCTTTATTAAGAAATGATAGAACACAGGTAAATCTGATAAATATTGTGGGGAGGGTTACATGCAAAAAGATAAAAACAGTTTAACCCTGTAGTAGTGATGTCAGCCTATTCATTTACTGTGGATTATTTTTCTAGAATCAACGCTTCCTAAATCTGTCGCTGAAATAGATTCATCAAATTATATTCAATTGTTTCCTTTGTGTGCCTAATTTCATTAAGTTTGAATTGGCTAATTTACTGATTTCTGTTCACTAATGGAATTAATTTAAAAACTATCCTTTAATTTTTGTAATTTGTATATGCCTTCACTGGGAATCGAACCCGTCCTTGAAATCTGTTATGTTTGACTGACATCAACATATCGATGAAACCTCTCGGCTACCAATGGGTTACAATTTAAATGTCTTTTTTATATATATATAAATAAACATATGATATACATTGGTACGATGGACACACAGGGCTTGTACCTTTATATATACATAATAGGCAATCGTATAGTATAAGATGGTAGCCACGATTAGCATAGTTAATATCAATGAGTTAAAGAGTCAAGTTAAAGGTTGGGACTTGTCAGTTTAAGTTTGAATCCCTGTATTTTCTTTAATGTTCCTATTCTTTAGTTTATTCTGTTTTTTTCTTATTTTGTATGTAATTTTGGATATTTTTGTAATAATAGCGAGTTTTACCGTTTATTGTTGGATTATTATTGGCTATTTCACATATTTGAAACGAAAATGATTACATTCAATTTGTCATTTTTTGTTTTATAAATATTGTATGATTTCATCTGTTTACTACATAATTTTACAAATGTTTATTCGCAAATTCCTATGCGAGTAAATCGTGATGTGCCTAGAATTAGGCTTCTTGATAGAAATTTCGGGAACATACTTATTATATATACTTTAAATATGCTCTTTGTCAGGTTGTTGTCTCTTTGACACATTCTCCATTTCCATTCTCAATTTTATTAGAAATAAGTTCGAATATGTCTTATTTTGTAAACACAGATAATATTCAGATGCCTGATAATTTAAAGGCAGACGTGTTGTGTTATATTTGTATTTTTCTAACCAATTAGTTGTGATCTTAGATTTACTAATAAACCGTTGAACATGATAACATGGTTATTTAAACTCACTTACAATACCTTCTAATTAAGAAAAGGCTTTAATTTTGAAAAGACATTAACACAATAGTTTAAGTTATAGATACAATGGATAAGTGTTGATTCATGAAAAACAAACCATTCGCCCTCCGGACTCATGGTTTCTTTTTCAAGAATCAACGCTTATCTATTGTATCTATATTACAGAAACTTACATGTATGCATACAGTGGTTGATTTTTATCATATATCTTAATCTTGTTTATGCTTTTGTTCTTCACAGAAATTGTCATTAGTGGCAAAATTCAAATTTATTCACATTTTTTTATTTTCTAGGCTTGGAATGCTTTAGATATCTCATCGCTACAATTTGAGCTGCAGTGCTATATTAAGATATTAAACAGTATCTTATCTGGACATTACAATTATTTGACTGATACTTGTTATTCTTTTTATCAAATTATCAAAATTATTGTCCTTAATCATCGTCACGGCATCAGATCAATGCTAATCTGTGTCAACATTTATATATGACAAAGGTCTTAATTCTATATCAAAAATGTTGTCGCACTACAACCTCTAGAGATTTTCAAAAGTTGGCAAATATGTATTGATAAAGGAAAGGGTACCATGCAAATAACACAAATAACCATACATGAACATGATGAATTCAAACTTAAAGGAGTTTTACCAAGTGTCAAAAAAGATTTTTCAAAAATGTTCATGATGAAAAAGGATGTGTGTATTACCCAATATATGATTTTTCACCACTTTTTACAGTAGACAGTTTTTTTTAAGTGTTGAGGTCTGTATTTAATTATTTTTTTTAAGTGTTGAGGTCTGTATTTAATCATTTTTTTTAAGTGTTGAGGTCTGTATTTAATCATTTTTTTAAGTGTTGAGGTCTGTATTTAATTATTTTTTTTAAGTGTTGAGGTCTGTATTTAATCATTTTTATTAAGTGTTGAGGTCTGTATTAAATCATTTTTTTAAGTGTTGAGGTCTGTATTTAACCCTTTTTTTTTAGTGTTGAGGTCTGTAGTCTGTATTTAATCATTTATTAAGTGTTGAGGTCTTTAGAACGGGAAACCACAAGTTACCCATCGAAACTGGTAGATGGAATAAAATTGAACGTAACTATAGATATTGTAATTTATGTCATTGTAACGAGATTGGGGATGAATTTCATTACATTTTGCAGTGTAGTTCTTTGACAAACTTTCGAGCACAATATTTGGATACTTTTTTCTTGCACAGAAGTAATATACTAAAGTTTGGAAAACTATTTCAGTTAAAATCAAAAAATAAGTTAAAAAAGCTGTGCAAATTTATCAGGGTTATTACTTTTCAAGCAAGTCTTCCTGGTTAATCACCACTCTTCGCCACTTCTGTGTTATTTTGTTTTATTTTATTTTTTCTTCTCATCTTGTCATGTGTGTTTATGTTATGTTATAACTTTTGATGAACTTCTTTGTACCATTGTAACTATATGGTGTTTGAGAAATAAAGAATCTTGAACCTTGAGGTCTGTATTTAATCATTTTTTTTAAGTGTTGAGGTATGTATTTAATCATTTTTTTTAAGTGTTGAGGTCTGTATTTAATCTTTTTTTGAAGTGTTGAGGTCTGTATTTAATTATTTTTTTTAAGTGTTGAGGTCTGTAGTTAATCATTTTTTTTAAGTGTTGAGGTCTGTATTCAATCATTTTTTTAAGTGTTGAGGTCTGTATTTAATCATTTTTTGGTCTCTGGGATGCTGTCTCATTGATGTCTACCCCATATCTCCTTTTATTTAATCTTTCTTGTCCAGCTTTTTTTATCTGTGCTGATTTGAGGATGTGCCCTTTGTTCATTGTCACATTTTCCTGCAATAACAGCTGAACAGGGACACAAATAGGATACATATTTAAGTAAGTAAAGCTTATTAGACTGAGACTACTATAACACAGAGATTGGTCACTTCCCGTACTGACCAGTCAAATAGTAATTAATTGTAAGTCTTCGATCACGTGACTCGGCACGTGACTCGCAATGATTGACAAGAAGGATTCGACCGGCATTTTTGACAGCGAAAGAGAAAATAATAATTAACAAATGTGGATTTATAAAGAGTGTTATGTTCCGGTAAGTGTGAATATAAGATTTGACATGTTCATAAATGTTGGTTTATAAGCACTTTAAATAAAATAAGTGCAGTTATAGACTTGAATTTACCGACCAAACCGGAAAGTAACCTTGAGTTATTACCAGTCCGTGGGACAGGGTCAATGAGCAACTCACCCATAACTTACATTCAGATGAACAATCTGTTTTCTGGATAATGTATGTGCAAGCCTTAGTAATTAACCGATGTAATGATGTAAAATTTGTAATTATATGAAATTCCAATTTTTCTGTATCAGTAAGTTCCCGCTGCAGAACTGAGAAACACACGAGACAAGTTGCACACACACAACATGAGGTATGATAGGTGAATTGGTATTGTTAGTGAAAGAAATTTAGATTTATATTTGGTTCCCTTGATAATATATATGCAGTCTATACATACTAGTATAATAATGTGTCACCATGTGAAATACCAGTACATCATGAGTTCCTAAATAGACGTATTTTTTTTAAATAATTGACCCAAACATGATGTAAAAAGTACATGCACCTTTGGTCTGCATCCTTTATCAGTTTAACTATTTTGATCCATATTGACATGATTGGTCAATTACTGCTGAGTCTCAAGTCTCAGATTACTGTCTTAAAAATTAATGAATTGCCTATGCTATAAACTTGAAGTTGACAAACATTATTTCTTTTTATTTATAATATATTCTTTATTGTAGGAATACCCCCAGAAAGAAATCACGCATTAGAAGAAGGGAGAAGTACTACAGGAGAAAATGACTTTTTTTAGTATTTTTTTTAATTTCATTGAATTTGTCATGCTTGTCTTACATGGAGAAACAAATATTTAAGTCTTTGAATATACATTTTTATTATTATATACATTAAAACTAAGACAGGAATGCAGAAATTCACTACATTGTGTAACACGCTCAGTTTGGATAACAGTTCAATGAAAGAAAAAAAACAAGTAACCACACATCTTTATATATTAAAGGAATAGCCACTTGAAGCAAACTTTAAGGAGATTTTTATATATTTTTGCTAATGATCATCAGACAACTCCTTTAGTCCAAATGAAGTTCAATGAAGTGGATGTAAGTTATTGTAATGCACCGTAATTACCTTCAACAATGAGAAAACCTATAACGTGCAGTCAGCTTCAAAAGTCCCCGACATGGAAAATATATAACAATTCACTAGAGAAAACGAAGTGTCTACAATAACAAAGCAATTTACGAAAATTCAAATATGACGGACATGAACCAACAGCAACCACTGAATTACAGGCTCCTGACTTGAGACGGGCAAATAAAGAATGACAATGTTAAATATTTTTAGGCGCTCATCACCACCACTAGCATGGGACATTGGTGTAACGACATAACATAAAAACAAACTTTAAACATAATTTGAAAATAGTTCATTTCGAATTAATCAGGCTGACTGTACATGAAATATTTGCCACTGACAAGCAGTTGTGAATTGAAGTTGAATTTACAGAAAGGTGATATCAATATATGCTATCATATTTAACATTCTTGTTTAGATCTGACATTGCTACTTATTTATACATTTCGCATTATTTTTGGCTTCTCAGAATTTTCACATGGTAAACTGTCAGCAGTTACCCAACAAAAAAATGTTATAGGAAACCTTTTTACAAAGCATAATGCAGACAACAATTAACATGGTATGTCACCAAACATTGAACAAGCACATTTATATTTGCTGTGGCTAAAAAAACTAAAGCAAATCACAACTCTTTTCATCTGAGTTGCTCAATTATTAGGGTTACAAAAAGCATAGCGATATAACTAAAACATACGACACTTTAACAATAGACAATATTCAAATTTTCAAAAACTTTACGGCTCTGTATTGAAGCACAAAATTTCTTGTCTGGGATTTTGAAAGAGGGCACATATTTCTGGTGTTGAAAAAATGTCATCGTAAATTACCCTAATGTGGTTCTATTTATGTTAACATAGAGATAATTTGATTATTCAGATACATAATTTTGAAGCTTCTTCGTTCTGATTTACATGTACTTGCGGTTGATGCTTCTTTTGGAGTTTTTGCAGTCTTTGCAGCAGGGACGTATAGTCATCCTCAGATTCAAAATCTGATGCAGTATATTCACCACGTAAAAGATCAAGATTGAGATCACTATCATCCCAAGATAAAAAATTCGTAAGGGTTCCGCGGAACCCAGTGTCTCGCCTACTTTTTCTGTTAATCGCAGGCTCAACAAAAATGAGGAAGTAAATCAACAAAAATATTCCTCTTGATAATATCTTTTGATTGTAAGAAGCTTCTGTCCAAGTTTGGTAAAAATCCAGGATAGTTTATGAATCTAATAAATGTTTAAAAACTTTAACTGCAGACTGAATGTAATGTTAACTGGAAGAAAACAAAATTTCCTTCTAGATACTAGCATTTGATCATAAACAAGCTTCTGTCCAAGTTTGGTACAAATCCAAAATAGTATAAGAAAGTTATTAAAATTTTTAAAACTTTAAGGACAGAGTGAATGTTTTGTTTCCTGGCAGAAAATCTAAGTCCATTTAAAAGTAAAATACGGAAAAAATGGATTTATTTTTTTACAAAATTTCCTTCTAGATACTAGCTTTTGTTCATAAACAAGCTTCTGTCCAAGTTTGGTACAAATCCAAAATAGTATAAGAAAGTTATTAAAATTTTAAAAACTTAAACCACAGATTGAATGTGTTGTTTCATGGCAGTAAATCTAAGTCCATTTAAAAGTAAAATACAGAAAAAATGGATTTTTTTTTTTAACAAAATTTACTTCTGGATACTATCTTATGATCATAAACAAGCTTCTGTCCAAGTTTGGTAGAAACCCAGGATAGTTTAAAAAAGTTATTAAAATTTTAAAAACTTTAACCACAGAGTGAATGTAATATTTCCCGGCAGAAAAACTAAGTCCATTTATAAGTAAAAAACGGAAAAAATGGAATTTTATTTTTACAAAATTTACTTCTGGATACTATCTTATGATCATAAACAAGCTTATGTCCAAGTTTGGTAGAAATCCAGGATAGTTTAAGAAAGTTATTAAAATTTCAAAAACTTTAACCACAGAGTGAATATTTGTGGACGCCGCCGCCGACGACGGAATGTAGGATCGCTATGTCTCGCTTTTTCGACTAAAGTCGAAGGCTCGACAAAAATCAATGTTACTGGACATTGTGAATTGAAAAATGAAAATGCCAGCGATATTTTGGGAACATATATATAATTTGTAGGGCTTATGTTTGCTTTATGTATCCATTGCAGTTATAACCTCTTTGCTGATCTGTTACGTAAGGAAATTACTCATTTACCTTTAATGAAATTTTTTCTCTCTTCTGTGATCGCCGCTTATTACATTGTTTGCAAAAACTTGACCTAATTATCAGACGAAAATTTTAAAAAAGTGGGTGTGGGGGGGGGGGGTGGGGGTTGAAACTTGTTTGAAAAAAAAAATTTATGTTGGATAATCTGAATGAGGGTCTGGATGGGGGTTCTTTATTTCCTATAATTTCTATGCCATTTTTCTCTATTCTTTAAATCTTAATAACTTATTATTTTCTCTTCTCTGTTCTTTATTTGTCGGTCCATTTTTCTCCATTCTATACCTTTTTTGCCCCTATTTCTCCATTCTATAAAACCCCATCCACACCCTCCTGAATCCTACCACAAGTGCACCGACGATATTTGACAAGGTTTACTACAATAAACATGTATATTGGGCACTCAGCAGTGAAATACCTTACAAGTATAGAATAAAAGTTTACTGCAATAAACGGAGCCTCATGTACCTTGGGCATCCAGCTGTGAAACAAAATTCATCTCCCATGCTTTTGAGACTACCTGTCTTTACAGGTAAAATATTTGTATATTAGATACAATTAACGGACGTGTAGCAATACAATGTAACTGTAAGATTGATAAGATTAATCACATTCACATTTTCAAGAGTGGCCGCATAATAACAAACTATTAACAAATTATTAATGATTAAAAACAAAAATTTAAATATGAATAGAGATAACTGCATTTGAAAGATAAAAACTATATTCTTTTTTTTTTTTATTAATTCAATTTTGTTTTTAAATTATTTTTAAAAGAAAAATAATAATATCCGATACTGTTATAGTATTCTCAGTGATAGGTGATATATGTCGTCTGCTACGGTCGAATACGAAACTACGTTAAAATAACGTAGCTAACTACCGGAGACTCAGATAATCCGATAAATCTATAGTGACCAATCTCTGTGTTATAGCAGTCTCAGTTATTAGACAAGTTTGTAAAAAGAATTCCATTAAATATTCATGTTTTCAAGAAAAAATTGGATCTTTCTAGACAAAATTAGAAAAATTCAATTTGTAACACCCACAAAATAAACTGCAAGATGTCATTGGTTTTTTTTTCAGTAGAGAGTGGAAGTCATAGAACTCTTATTAAAAAAATTCCATGTGACAATGATTAACTTTCAAGAAAATTGTGTTTATATTAAACTAAAATTTGAATCATAAACAAATAAATGTCATTCTGATAATTTACACAAGTTTAATTCAAGAACTCTGATAGTAGTCAAAATACTATCAAAATTCTTGGTTAAATTCAATTAAATTTATCTTGATGACAAGAGGCATAACAAATTCGTCATACATTGACCCCTTGGTAAAGGGTATGACCGTTTCAAAAGCAATTTAAGGTTCATCATAACAAATGGACAAATATGGCCGTATTTTCACCTCAAAAACTACTCTGTGTACAGACTTACCTGTACAGTTTGGAAAGTTTTAAGACCTGGCATCCACTAGTTATATAAAAGTTAAAATTATTTTGCATATCAGAAAGATGAAATCTTGTTTGGATTATGATGGGCATTTTTTTTCGTTCCTGCAGAAGGTGTTAAAATTAACTAAGTTGGGAAACAATTTTGAGATGCTCCCTCTCAGGTAACAACTGGTTTGTATTGTATTGATTGTCCTTGATTGGCATGGACAATAGATATCTACACATATATAGGTGAGTTAAAGGTAGGAATTGAGTGGACCATATCAAATGCACCTCAGGTGTTTGTTTATTTTTACATCTTCTGCAGAAAGGAAAAAAAATGCCCATCAAAATCCAAAAACGATTTTATCTTTCTGATATGCAAAATAAATTTAACTTTTATATATCTAGTGGATGCCAGGCCTTAAAACTTTCCAAACTGCACAGGTAAGTCTGTACACAGAGTAGTTTTTGAGGTGAAAATACGGCCATATTTGTCCATTTGTTATGATGAACCTTAAGTGTCTGTTGTTCATACCATGTCAACTTCTGCAGCTGGTCCTGTAATGTCTGAAATTCCTGTGCCTATAATATAATTGGCATCTGCATTACAGCATACTGTTACTGCGAGCAGTAAAACCACATATGGATACATCATTTTTCATACAAACAAATGTAGTCTTCGCCAAAATACTGGCCGTCACGTGAAACCGATTGATGACTGGTTCAATATATATTAGTTGTTCTTACCGGAGATCTAATGCCAAATGATTGCCGTGACAGTTACCAGTGTTGATTATAAATTGTGACTGGGGCTGGATATGAAGCGACTGGATTCCGAAAAAAATGGTCTTCTTTGACGTCCGCGTTGAAGCCTGTGCTTTCTGAAACGTCCATTTTCCTTCTACATGCGGCTTTAATAACCATCGAATGATAAAAACAGAGACATATTATACATGTATATTGTAATAGATGTCTCTATTGTAACCACAGGCGCGAAGTGCATGTACCCCTTATTCTTTTCCTTTTATTATTTTGGGGGGGGGGGGGTATGTAAAAGTATGACAAAACTACCATTTTATTGTATTGTCTTATGGATAAGAGCAGAGAACACACCAAATAAGCGAAAATATCTATCATATTTTTCGAAATAATAGGCAAAAAACCCCATTAATGGTGAAAATAATTTTTGGTATTTAAACGGTTTCTGTCTATCTATCATAGTTTTCAAGCTAATAGGCAAAAATGAAAAAAACCAGTATCATTCGTCAATTAAAGGGGGATAACTCCTATAAATAGTAGTCTGACAGTTTTGATGTCAATAGACAATAGGGAGACAGAGGCGGATTTAGGGGGGGGGGGGGCAGGGGGCCCGGGCCCCCCCCCCTTTTTGTGGGAAAAATTTGGTTGATTATATAGGAAATCACTGAAGCATGACTGGAGCGGGCCCTCTCTTAGGCAGTCAGTGGGCCCCCACTTATGAAAATTTCTGGATCCGCCACTGGGAGATCTCAACATTCTGAACATTTTAGCTACAGTCAGATGTTCTCTATCTATCGCCGGATAATAGACAAAACTTGTATTTTACCCATATATTTTATTTTTCGCCATATAATTGGTTGGCAGGCGGGATCAACGCACATATATTTTAAACAAGATATCCCGATGAAAATTGTGGCCAAGTTTGGTTAAATTTGGCCCAGTAGTTTCAGACGAGAAGATTTTTGTAAAAAAATCAAAAATCATGTACACATGGTGGTCAATGGTTTCTAATCCACTATTGATACCCAGCGGTCGTGATGTTCATTATAAAATACGTTGATGAGGTAAAGCAGCTAGGATATTTCTTATCGTAAAAAGCGGAATTGGTGAATGTCTGTTGTCAAGCACCAATATATCACCGATTCATAAACCATGGCATCAGTACAGGTATATCATTCAGCACTAAAATTTCAACAAACATGAAATTTTGAAATGGAAACTCTGTTTTTCAAACAGAGGATAAAGAAGACTGCGGAAACAATACAGATATTGAAAATAAAACAGCAAAAAAATACAACACTGAAAACTAAAACAAAAGAAAATATAAAAATAAAAAATAAAATAAAACTAGGACTGAACGTATGTGCTCTGAAAAGGGTAGAAGTTCCTGCTCCAAATGTCAACGGTCTTATCGCTTATGGTAGGTTTTAATAGTATCTGGTGATAAGTCATATTCGGCAACGGTTATGTCACAGTCGAGAAAGGTAAGACGGTGGTAACGACAAGTGGAAGATATCCGTTGTCATCTGTGGCTTAGATTCCCATAACGGTCAAACTTTCGAAGGGATGACTTCAACGGTACCATTAATAACGCTCCGTTCTAGAGCTTCCTTGTAAGTTATAGACAGATATCAAGTAAACGCAAACTGGGAGCTATATCCTCCGATAGAGAGTGCTGCTGGAATGTTGCTACATAGAAACAAAAGGTTCACAATTGAAAAAAAATAAGTATCTCTTTGTCATAAGGTTGTGTTCTCAAATCGACCCCATTGTCGATTCCTTTGTTTGCAACAGACAGTTTAGAACCGAGAAACTCCGTCTCATGGTTTTCATATAAAGTTTGTGATTGGCAATATCCAAGATAAAAGTTGCAAGTTAGCATTTATTATATATAGAACGTGGATTATGTAACAGCGGATGAGATGCATTACGAACGGTTTCTCTATATCTGGTAGAAGGTCATTTATAGAAACACTAGTAACAGTAGGTGATGTATGATGACGATGATCATGGTTCCGCTACGTCAAGGAGCAAATTTTTGAAGCCGTACGGTGACCGATAGGTGCTTACTTCTATGTCATTTGGTCTCTGGCGGAAAGGTTGTATCATTGGCAATCATACCACATCTTCTTATTCCTATTAAGAATTGTTTCTTTAATTTCAAAAATGTTGACCTTAAATATCCCAAAGTTTCAGAGGCAACTTTACCTGCATGAAAATGTCTGACAAACTGGGTATTTGTTATTTTACTGTTAGGATTCTATTTTCTGATTTTCTGAATGAGTTAATGTCACTTATTTGTCTGGTAAGAAAACTCTACCCGACAATTAGAAATCAATGAAATGCAATTACGTCGTGCTATTGCATTTTGCTAAATTATATAATACATGTATATAAATACATGGAATCACAATGAACATCACAATATGTGGATTACAAAAAAATCTCTTCACTCAGAAAATACCACCAACTTTAATAGAGAAGAGTAGACGATGTCAGGCATATGTGTATATATATTTAATCAGAAAAGAGAAATTGCTGAAAATAAAGACACGACATTAGTTGCTTAATCCTCCTCAAATAATTTTTTGCTATTTGTCATTCAGTCCTCCTCCCATTCTTGATCTTCAAATTCTTAATAAAATTTTGAAAAATCTGTCAGTTTTTTTAAATAATTGCTCGTAATTTTTATATAAAATCTGAAGTTATTAAGAACAAAGGTAATTGCCCACTTCCAAACAAACCCAGACCCGCTTCGTATTATTTAGACTGAGTATTCATCAAATGTATAAATTTAAAAAAAAATCAAATAAAGACATATTCCCCGCTTAAATTTCCCCCTTTTCTGTAGAAATAATCGAACAACACTTAGTCTCTTGTTAATTTGGTTTTATTCGGTTAGCTAGTAAAGTTGCATTTCAGTCTAAAAAAACGAATTGGGCAGATGCATATGAGATATTCATTTATGATATGAGTAAAAATGGATTAATTTGTGACGTAAACAAACGTTTTCATGTTTATTGGATTGGTTGTTGAAATCCTTCTATGAATACTAATGTTATAATATCGTATATTTGTATTTATGAACCGATAGCATGTTGAAACTTAGAAACACTATGCCGATTTATAAATTCGAATGGTGATACTAAATTGTTTTTTGTTTGTTTTTTTCTTCTTGTGTAAACCACGATCTTTTGATTAAATCTTAATTGATATAAAACCTTCATGTTGGACTTTGATCAATAAGTTTTCCTAATTGATCTAGAGAAATAAAACAGACATGCCAAATTTCCTTTAATTAAATGGTTTAGTTAAAAATACACCTTCTAGAAGGACGAACGTAAAACGAAACGGAGGAGAATCTAGTAAGATCCGTTTCATTTTTTTCTGGTGATACATTAAAAACTACACTCTGAAAATGTAAACCTAGAAATTACTGCAAATCACATTTTAAAACTTAACCTAAATATTAAATGAACCTGCAGCTCGATTGAAAATCTTTCATTTTATTTTAAACTCACCAGTCCAGAAATTTTCTATTAGATAAAGTAATTAGCATGCCAATAAAAACCTTATCTTTCTACATTATTACTTAATTAATTTTGATACATCTGGACAAATCAGTCATTTTTGGGGTGACAAAATGCATTATGCGATATGTTATTAATAGATTCTTCAATTATGTTAATTAATTGTGCTATTTGTTGTATTTAACAATATTTATGATATGTTTATGATGGACAGCCGGTTATTTGTGATACTATCTGCCGAGATGACAAGGTCTGACGTTGTTTTGTTCTATACTTAGTTGCAATCATAGTTTACGTTGTATATCTGACGGAGCATAACACTGCACTTCTCTTAGTTCTGATTTTCGGAATATCAGTCAAACATTACAGACTGCGTTTGATATCTGATTAATTACGGAGTTCAAATTATGAAAATGTTTACAAATACTGAGAAATCACAAAATTGTCTGGAATTTAAAAGAAAATCGCTGTTTGACGAACAAAATTGTGAATAGTTATAAATTTTCCATGTAAATGGCTAATGTGCGAGATTTTGGACGCATTCGTGCATTAAATTCAACAGACAGTGGTATACATTCTGGAAGTAATAATTCTTTAAGATTATCAGTGACAAGACAAATTGAAATTGTTGACCCGGTCTCGGGATTAAATAATGTAACGATGACAGACATGGCCTTGTCACCCGAGGCGGCCGGAATATTTATTGTGTTATACTCAATAACAACATTGCTTGCAATTGTAGGGAATATTCTAGCGATCGTTGTATTTACAAAAGGAAGAAAATGTCGCACCGACTTACGTCCATTTTTACTCAATCTTGCGGTTGCTGATCTGATTATGGCAATATTCTGTATTCCATTTACTTTTGTTACAAAGTTGTTACAAAGATGGATATTTTCTCCGCCAATGTGTCCAATTGTATTGTTTTTACAACTTACTGCAGTTACTGCGAGTGTTTTTACGAACACTGCCATTGGAATAGATAGGTTTTATGCAGTGGCGTTTCCCTTGAAATCCAGGATAATTTCTCAAAGGCACACTATTATGATTGCTGTCATTTGGATAGTATCTATAACGTTTAATGTTGTCCAGTTTAAAGTCGTTCAAGCCAGACACAATAATTTGACTCAAATACTGGATTGTGTAGAAGACTGGAATGACAATACTTTATACACACGTAGAGCTTATACTTTATTCATTTTATTTATAACTTATATAATTCCATTGGCCACTCTAAGTGTGACTTACAGTATAGTCGGGTGCATTCTTTGGAGGAGGAAAATGCCAGGCCAGGTCAACGAGGCCAGAGACCAGCAACATAACAAGGCAACAAGACAGGTATTTATTACGATCAATTTGTTTCATTCTTCATCTACTAGATACAAAACAGAGGCGGAAATATTAATTAAGGGGACAATCAAAACTCACAAGTCGAGAGAGGATGACAACACCTTGACAAAAACGAATGACGACAAAACAAGCTAACAAAACACTACATAGAAAACAAAAGACGGAGCAACCTGAACCCATTTAAAACTTGGGGTGAAAGTTCAATGGACAACAGAATATTAAGGTAAAAGAGTTGTATTTTCGTAGTTTCTTCGCATTTGGTCCTAAACACGCAATTATTAAAATAGGAAGATATGGTATGATTGCCAATGAGACAACTCTCCACTTGAGACCAAATTACATAGCTATAAAACTGAGGACACGAAATGACTTTAAAACATTTCAAACGAGAAAACTAACGGTTGACATAAATGTATGCTATCAAAGGGAAAACTATCTAATACTCCTTAGAATGATTGTTGGTCTTTAAATTTCACAATTTGCATATATTTTGGCCCAGTGATATACTTTCGGTTTTTTAACATTCGTATAACAAACTTAAAAATATAGCAGATGTGGTCAGTGCAGGTCGTCCGACATATTTCTGAACAAGACCATCAGAAGACTTTTTCACATCACAGAACCATAACATAAACTTTGAACTCCTATACCAAATATCACAAATGAACAGTAAAATACTATTATACGTAAATAAGAGTTATGAGTAGTTTGTATTACTACATTGGCTGGTTCCCCAGGGTTTAGTTTTAGGGCCCTTTTTATTTTTGATTTACACAAATGATATTAGCGAAAATTTAACGTCGCTCTGTAGATTGTTTGCAGATGATACCTCCTTTGGTTATTCTAGTAGAAATACAGCCTTAATACAAGAACATATTTCAAAAGACTTAACTCAACTTAATAACTGGTCAAAAACCTGGTTAATGTCTTTTAATCCAAAAAAGACAGAAATTTTATATTTCACAAACAGGCAAAGACCAGATGACCTTTTATTTCGATTAGACAATCAAGAAATTCCGATAGTACCTAATCACAAACATTTGGGTATAACTTTAAGTGAAGATTGTAAATGGAACGATCATGTTTTAAAAATTTCTACAAACATATCAAAACATCTAGGCGTACTAAGAAAATTAGAATATAAGCTCACTCGTTCAAATCTAGAAAAACTTTATTTAACTTATATAAGACCATTATTTGAGTATAGTTGCGAAGTATGGGATAATTGTGGTGTTGCTAATACTGAACTGTTGGAAAAACTTCAGCGTGAATCTGCAAGAATTGTTATAGGCCTGCCTTATTATTGTAACAGTGAAATTTTATATTCTGAAACGGGTTGGGAACCTTTGTCTGATAGAAGAAACTGAAGAAAACTTCAGTTATTTTACAATATTTAAAATGGAAAAGCTCCTAATCATTTATGAACACTAATACCACCTCCTGTATCAGCTATTTCTGGATACAATCTTCGAAACAACCCTGACCTAATAGTACCATTTTGTAGACTAGAACTAACAAATATTTTCCCAATACTATAAGGCAATGGAATAAAATCGATAGTGTAATTAGAAATGTAGATTTCATCTCCAAATTTAAATATTCTCTACGAAAGAAATCATGTCAATCTAAAGCCCCAAAATACTATTATGTTGGAGAATGTAAGGCAAACATTATATTAACAAGACTGAGACATGCATGTTCAACTCTAAATTATGACCTTTTTAGATTCAATATAATAAATTACCAAAGCTGTCGGTGCGGCAGTCTGACTGAAGACAGATTTCATTTTTTCTTTGAGTGTCCGCTTTATGCACAAATCAGAATTCATCTTTTAGACAAAATACTTTTTGTCCCGTCTTTAGATCTTGGTACCGTTTACTAAATTGAAACGAAAATTTAACTCTAAGCCAAAATACATCATTAATTAAAAAAGTCTTGCATTTTATTCGGAAAAGTGAACGTTTTGACCTTTAGAAATATATTTTTCTTTCTCTTTTTTTTTCTTTTTTTCTTATTTTTTTTTTTAACTGATGAATAAGTTTTCGACGTAGGACTGTTGTTTATATATTTGGGAAATTGTGAACTTTCTTTTTTTTTATAGCTATTGTACAAACTATAATTATCTAATGTTGTTGTTGCCTGTCTTTAATATTTATATATTATAAATTATTATATGTAGGAGAGGACTATCTAAGTTGTGTTAACTTGTGTCTGATCCTTTTTGTTATAGGTAATAACAAATAAAATATATTTATATAAATACTACATTGGCGTAAGAATTTGATTGTTTTTCTTTATACAAACATAAATCGTTTCCACTGACCGACTTATTCGACAGTTTTTACAACAAAAGCTTCCATCTGTTTTTCATTCGGGGCAATTCTCTTCAATAAAAGAAAAATGGAATAACACCAAAATCTGATTCCAAAATCAATAACATTAGCGGTATCAAATTTAAGGCACTAGATGCAAATTTCGACAGTCAATGTCTTTTCAGTGATGATAAAGGCCAAAATATTTGAAAATACAAAACCGAAAAATCAGTTCTGATTATATATACAAAAACAGGACTAACGATAAAGACATACCCAGGCTAGGAATCAGAGCTATGGATAAGGGAGATACATTCCTTAGATCTAATTTAAACAAGATTTCCAAAAATATATAACATGAAATTTCAATCAAACAACATCCATATTTTCAAGTGGTACAGCAGGGATGGTGATACCATCGGGGACTAACAGTCCACAATCACAGACATCTACCAAGTGGTAGTAATAACATTACCGGTACCAATTTTACCAAACCACATGCGCATTTTGACAATAAAAGTCTCTTCGTTGATGCCGTATGTCAAATATTTGAAAATCCAAACCTTATAAAAACGTTATTAGAGGGCTGATAAATTAATACAAAAAAACACCAAAAGTGAAGCCAAAAGTGAAGCCAAACCCAGTAATCACATTTAAGCATTATGGAGATACATTCCTAAATCTATTTAACAGCAAATTTCAATAAAGCCACATCCGTATTTTCCTGCTCGTACCGAAGTACTGACTCTTAGACTGAACTCTAGTTATATTTTCAGTAAAATAAAGGGTTATTGCATGCATATTGGTGACTATTGTCCGAGTAGTTTTTATATTGCACGAGCCTACTAGGGATACTATTCAACAGTATTCATGCCATAAACCTTTATAAAAAATAAACGTTTTATCAAACCTACCAGAAACTGAAACCAGTCTAGAGGCAACAAATACACTCTAAGACTGCTGCTAGATAAAGATAAACAAGAATTAAGGATATTGACATAATTATTGCCTTCGAAAGAGTAGCTACAAGGGTCCAATTCGCAGAGATCGTGACATTCTCTATACAAGAGGATTATATCGGATTTCATGCCACCATTTTGACCAGACGTTGCTTCTTATGTATACATCCAAAACAGTCAAATAGACGCCCCTCTGTTGCATTGATTTTACTAGTTCTGCTGACCTTGAGGTTTGCTTATTGTTGAAGGTCGTACGGTGACCATATAATTTCTAACTTCTACGCTATTTGGTCTCTGGTGGAAAGTTGTCTCTTTGGCAAGCATACCACATCTTATTGTTATATTAAGGCTTAACTTTCAATATCGTATTCATACAAAAACCAGCACAACTCGATCATATGAGGGAAATTGACGTGATTTATTCAACTGTGTTTTTGGTTTGTTTTTTTTTCAAAATTTCTTCTGCCGTTTTTGATAACAAAAAAAATATGAAGGAACGGGTAATTTTGAAAAATGGGCACACTTTGTTGGGTGAGATATCCAGTCTTAAAATGATCTCTAGAAAGATCCAATTTCGCGGCGTTACTGACCTAGAAAAAAGAGATTTTTTTTATTTTCCTATCACATTTGACCAATATTTTCTCCACCCTTGTTGATAATGTGCTCTACATATTTGAATTTTGCGGGAAGATTATGAATGGTTACACAAGTCTACACATGCAAGACATGCTTTGGATTAAAATTTACCATACTGACCGGACGGTTAACGTTATAACCCATTATGAACAGCCTACCTTGGGCTGGTACCTGAGCCTTCAGTTCCGAAAAATTGTTATACCTCCTAAGGACTGGTAAACCCTTCACTATTGTATGTATTTGAGAATGGAACAAGTCAGAAAGAACATTACTTACTCAGCATTTCAACTCATCTTCAAATCATTATCTTTTATTATTGTACCACTTGAAGAATTAAATAGAAATGCAATACGAGTGCTGTTTTACCATAGACCTATATAAATAAGAATTATATTAGTAGCTAGTGTTCAGAAGTTCTATTTCATTTTATTACATACATAATATCGACAACAGAAACTATTTCGCCAAACTTGACTAAACTGAGTACCCTTGAAACGCAACACATTATATTCCAAGTATAACAATATATAAATGCTCTTTCAAAGCACACCTCATAGATTTGGCTCCATGCCACTTCAACAGTTTTGACTCGCAACAGAAATTTTTGTGACCTACGGGTATCTCAAAGAGTTTTTGTGCAGTTTCAAAGAAAATGAGTCGTTTTAAATTTTATTACACGGAAAAATATATTTAGGGGTTGTGTTTTATTGGTATTCAGTATATATGCAAAATATGCTAATTTCTAATTTACGACTATAAGTGAAGCTGAATTCTTACATTTGAAGATTCTTGTCATACAAAAAAAAAAGATTTTTTAGCAACATGTACACATTCATAATAACTCTTTCTGGAAGTAATATTAATTGCACCTGCTCTGCCTCTTGGAGTCATAAGTGAAACTCAAAGATGATAAAGATGGCGAATGCCAAAGACACCTGCACATAAAATATACTAGTGAATAGATATCTGACAAACTATTTTTCAATTTCAGATCGTGAAAATGTTGATCACTATAGTAACTCTGTTCGGACTATGTTGGATACCATTGCATGCGTTCATATTGACTCTTGATTTCAACTCCGAATTATTTCAACGTACAGATTTAATGCCAGTGATACAAACAATGTACTTCGTAGTACACTGGATAGCTATGTCCAACAGCTTCGTAAATCCCATCATCTATACATTCATGAACACCAGTTTCAGGGTAAGATTATAAAAATATGTGTTAGCTAACAAATAAAGGGGTATATTACAAGTTATTCTGAAAATCACAACAAAATACAGTCTCTCGTTCATCCTTCTGTGGTCTATACATCGCAGCTATCACGTTATCATTTCAGTATTTTGACTTGCGAGAATAATCAGTACTTTCTTGTACAGATTCACTAAAATTATATTCTCCTTTTATAAAGGATTCAGGAAGAGAAAAAAACAAAGCAAATTGCTTTTTTGATGAATCGCATTTCTATTGAACGATTGTCTTACAAACACAACTGAACCGGTGGTCGGTGCAGTTTGTTATAGTATACAATATTAGTTGAATAATTTATTATCTTTTTTCAATTTTTATGCCTAATAAGCTAGTCGACATACACCAATTACCGTATGTTTTTTTTTTTTTAGCATGACCTGTGTTCGTTGTTTCTTCTGTTTAAAAATCGTTCGGACTCTCTTGTATCTAATACTACGCTAATGACACAGTATTGGAAGGATAACAATGGGGTATATACAGACAGAAAAGCGCGCAAGAAGATGTCACTTCCAGTAGATTTAGAACCTGGCAACGAACCATGCGAGAACTTTAAACACAAATCAGATGTGACAAGAGGAACCTCGTGTAAAGCATTCTGATGTAATAAAGTAGTTTATCAATACTGTATTTCTGTAAACAGAGGGCAGGGTTATCTGCAACTAGTTTGAACAGATCGTTTGTTCAGGTAAAAATGGGGCCATGTATTATTTCTATCTACGGTAATTTCAGTTAATGGAATTGCATACGTTTAAGACCTTAAGATTCTGCTCTGATGCATATCTCATTTCATTTAAAAAAAAATTAGACTTTTTTTTTATTCACAAAGAAAAAAATTAGCTCAGAAAAACAAAGAACCCCAAAAGTTTAACTGATCTCTTTAAAACGGGTGAATGACACTTAGGGCTTTGTACACATTTATTGGATACACATCTTAATTATAAGTATACTTTTGATGTAAAATAGAAAAGTGATCCAGAACCGCACTAATTACTTCTTATATTACCTGAAATATTACAATACACCTCACAGAGATATACACAAAGCTGCATCTGCATATTTTATACCAGGTTAGCACTGCGGTAAAGAGCCTATTAACGATGTTATAACAAGTTTGTAATTAAGTATAATGTTAATATGTGTCAACCTATTAAAACCATACGCCAAGTGAATACACGTATAAGTTACTTAAAGTTGGGACATAGCAGTGCATTTGTCTAAGCTTTACAGACAGCACAGAAATAGCTTTTAAGCATATTTGCAAAATAGATAGTGCTAATGTGAAATCAAAATGTGTATGAGGCACCGTTTTACTATTTTTCCCTTATTTTCTGATATAAAAAAATATTTCTTGATATCAAAAAATTGAATTCCTGATATCAAAAAATATTTCTTGATATCAGGAATTCAATTTTTTCTTTCCTTAAACACGACCGAAACATCAGACCTAATGTTAGGGCTCATGGGTGAGCTCGGATGCTTTTATTGACACACAGGGAGCAATCATTGATATTTTTCTTATTTTCTGATATCAAAAAATCATTTCTTGATATCAGAAATTCGATTTTTTTATATAAAAAATCATTTTATGATATCAAAAAATAGATTTTCTGATATCAAATAAAACTGACGATTATTTGATATCAAGAAATACATTTTCTGATATCAAAAAATGACTTTTTGATATTAAAAATTCGAATTCCTGATATCAAGAAATGATTTTTTGATATCAGAAAATAAGAAAAATATCAATGATTGCTCCCTGTGTGTCAATAAAAGCATCCGAGCTCAACCATGAGCCCTAACATTAGGTCTGGTGTTTCGGTCGTGTTTAAGGAAAGAATATCTCAGAGTTCGGCTTCATCAGTCATAAGAAGTTTTGTGTGTTTGTGTTTCTCACATATTAATTATTTTAAGGTTTATAGTCAACAATTATAAGTTCCCGCTTCTTTTGTAAGCAATTATTGGTTTCCTCTAGAACAGATTTGTGCAGCCAGGTTTTTGTGAAATTAAGCCCCAGTGTTTTGGTAATCTTGTTTTTAGTTTTTTTTTCCCCGTTGTTTATGTTGCGAATTTAGTAAGTCAGTTAGTTTTGTTTAGTATAAAAATAAGGAGATGTGGTATGATTGCCAATGAGACGGCTATCCACCAAAGTTCAAATGAAGTGGATGTAAGAATTTATATAGGCAACCGTTCAGCCTTTAACAATGAGAAAACCCAATGCCGTATAGTCGGCTATAAAAGGCTCCGACATGAAAAATATGAAGGAATTCAATTTAGAAAGCTAACGACCTAATTTATAACAAAACATATTACGAAAACAAATATGACAGACATGAACCAACGACAATTACTGAACTTCAGGTTTCTGACTTGGGACAGACACATAAAGAATGTGGCGGTATTAAACCCTAACCTGGGACACTGGTGTTACATCACAACATAGTGTACGAACAAACTATAAAAATCAGTTGAAAAGGGCTTTACTCATCAGATCGATACAAAGAAGAAAAACAGCTAACAAAAACACAGACCGGACGTGGCAGGGTAACAACAACAAAAAGACACAAAGTACAGATGTGAGAGTGTTCTCAGTTACTCACAGCTAGTTCAAAACCAATAACAACAAATAAAAAAATTGCATGTCTTGTATTTTCAAATACTTCAGTCGTCTATTTCGTCTTTTTACGAGACGTTTTTTGAAAGACTGCTAGTATTTCTTATGTACCGCGCCTTGCAGATATGAGCTTTTTCTGTGAAGTATTGAAAAGTTTCAGTAGGCTTGATGTACGTTTTCATTTATAAAATACCTTCATTTTGGACGCGTTTGTCTTTGTATTAAACGACTGTCAAGAAAGTTACACTTCATTTTGAGAAAATTGGTATGTACAATTTAGGTGGGTATATGCATTGTATTAGATATATAAGGCGAAAAGATCGTGTATTACGTCAGTTGAACCTGAATATATCATACAGCCATCGTATCTAAATCATGAACACATCAGTATTTTGTTTCGATGTGTCAAGCTTTGTAAAACATTTTCCAGTATATAGTAAATTCTTTGGTCGACTAATTCCGCAGATTGGGATTGTTTGACGCAAAAGTAAATATATTATATTTTAGAATAATTTCAAAATTCTTCAATATATTGTCTTGTAGTGCATGGGAATCGAATTTCGTAATAAGTTGGATCAAGGTAATTCAGTACTCGTTCAGTTTCGTCAAACTGAAGATTAGTGTACATGTTTTTTGCTTCAAATATTGTTATTAAATAGCAGTTTTCTGGAGACTTTGAAGTCTAAATCATGTTTATAAAACTTGAAGTGTATAAGAATTTTGTTTTTGTAACAATGGACCCTTTGCCATCAATATAATGACCAATGTCGTGTAGCGGTACTCCACATTATTAAACAATTGGTCTACCGGAAACATTATTTCAGATATTTCCTGATGTTTGGGCTCATGGGTGAGCTTGGATGCTTTTATTGACACACAGGAAGACTTCATTCATTTATTTCTTATTTTCTGATATAAAAAAATTATTTTTTGATATCACAAAATCATTTTTTTGATATCAGGAAATCTATTTCTTGATATCAAAAAATAAATAATATTTTCTGATATCAATAATTCGAGTTTCTGATATAAAAAAATCGACTTCCTGATATCAAAAAATGACTTTTTGATATTAAAAAAATGAATTTTTCATATCAGAAAATATTCTTTATTTTTTTATATCAAGAAATCGATTTCCTGATATCAAAAAATTGAATTTTTGATATTAGAAAATCATTTTTTGATATCAGAAAATAAGGAATAAATAGTAAAACTGCGCCTCATAAATGTGTTTGTATTCTTCATTCAAATCGCCAATGTAGTTCAAGTCTGAGATACGAGCAAAGTACACTACCGTAGCCTTAACATTACAAAATAGACGAAATATATAGTTAAGAGTCCTATACTCTTTCGAACTTAAAACGTTCTCTTGCTATACATTAAATTCATTCTAGTCACTTTACCACTAAACTGAAAGTTTTAACATTAACTTATGACTGTGTAGACGTTTTTCTTCTTCTTTATATAAGATCATACAAGCTAATAAGTATAATTTGTAGTGTAGCTAAGTTCCGCCTTTTCAAACCAGTCAAAACAGAATTAAGATGAAAACAGAAACTTCTTCCATATTCCGTTCTCCAACGAAGGAATTGATGCTATCAACATCGCCAACATTTTACACCACAAAACCTATATAAAGGGCTACCTCACTTCAAGAACTAAAGATAATTTTAAACAATAGCAGCTGACAAGGAGTCGAACAATATTATTTTTTAATGCAGCGATACTCTACAAATGACTCATAAAAGAACCAAATATTGTCATCGCGTGTAGTTGTGACCAAACTTTAATAGTAATAAGTCTACCGTCGTTTTAAACGACATACTTTTTGAAGGAGTTAATAAATATTGACAACTTTTTTGCCCATTGTACACTTGGTAATCGCTACTTTGTCCGGAAGCATTCATTCTTGAATTGTATTTTTACAGTGTGCATGCAGGCGACCATGTTGTACCGCACTTTGAAAATTTGTTCGAAAGTTGTTTGAATATTTTGACCTAGTTAGAAATAATACACTTATGAGACCTTTCGTCCAACAGCTTTCGTAAAATAATATATCTTGCAAATCCATACTTGTATCGTCTAAAAAAACGAGCCACACCCACTCGAATTGTTATATATGCACACATTTTCTTCACGTTAAAAACCTATTGCCAATACAAAAGTAGTTTCAATTGGTATAAGTGTTCGTATTTCGTAAATCACAGATATATTGTATCTACTGTATCTTGAACTTAATTGTTATGCTTATAAAAAATGAGCCCAGTGATTAGGAATATGAAGTATAAGTATAAGTATGAGTATATAGCACTCATAGCACTACGCGAAGAGTTTTTTTTGTAAGGTTTGTCGCTAAGCTGATTTGTATAAAATTTAAGTTTTTTCTTTAGAAACTTGATTACTTGTCCCATAGACTCCTCTTCTAATTTCGAGGAGTTCCATGAGTAACTGGATATAGAAATCCTTACATCAATCATCGAAGTCTTAGATAGAAATAGGTGTTCGATTGGTTGTCCGGGATGTATAAATACGAATCCACGTCCAGTATGAGGGGGAACGTTGCCCAACGTCATGTAGAGAGAGTGCAACACTCGATGCTATTAAAGACCATCTTGACAACTCTTTGAGGGTCTGTCGGTTGCATGTTTTAAAGCAAAACTCATGGTTCTATCTGACAACCCCTCATTATCCAGTGGCAGTCATTCATCCCGGTCTGCCTAATTTGTGGATGTTAAGCAAACAACACGCAATTCTTTCTATTATTTTGTAGAGGTGATCTAAATACGCTACTAAACAAAAAATATTACTAATGATTTATGTTTATAACCGTTTTCGTTTAGATTTTATCTAGAGGCATACAAAATTGAAAGTATGAATAACTGGCATTCATACAAGTGACTCTAGCTTGGCACACGGTTATTCTTTTTTAATCTGTCGCTCATTTACAGAGTGCTTCTGGTCAGTGAAAACTCTTGAAACTCAATCATGTTAATCGCGAATTATTCAAG